GGCGAACTCGAGGGGAACAAGGTCCACGAGCTCGTCCGATGAAGCTTGTCAGGGAGGTATGTCAAAGTCCAGGATGTAGATCCCGTTGATGGAGCGGGCTCGTCCGAGGTATTTAAACGTCTCAGGAGGAGTGTCCGGGGGAGCGTAGGTAAGAATGAGGTCGCGCGTCGCGAGATCCGTGTGAATGATGACGCCACAGTCGCGGAGTTGTCCAGCCGAGAGCAGATTAAAGCGGAGGTTTGGGACGTAGAGGACGTCGTTGAACGAGATGTGGGTGTTGCTATCTCGTGCTTGTAGGACGACAAGTCCTTGCGAGTTGGCGCGCAGCTGCTCGTTGTTGGCGACGGTGATGTAGGTTGCGGGGGCGCGGCTCAGGTTTGAGACATAGCGCGTTGATCCCACCATGTGCTGTCCGCAGCAGCTGTCCAGGTACCAGGTGTTATGATTGTCGATGTTGTTTCGTCGCAGCAGTAGCGCCAATCGCGGAGTTACCAGGGTGGCCTTGTAGCGCCTGTGGAAGAAAGGGTCTTCGTCCTCCTTCCAACCCACTGGTACGTAGTGTTGATTGTCATGTGGCGGGCTTTCCCGCAATGTGATTGGTTGATTCCAATCCTGCTCGTCTTCGTCGTACAGGTAGTAGTGGTCCTCGGTGAGGAGATTATTCCATCCTTCTTCTGGTTGTAGAAGTCTTCCTTGGACTTCGTTCTCCTCGTTAGGTTCAGCAGTGCGGCGGCGGCGCGTCGCCATGTTCGCAATGATGTTCCTCGGGGCTCCTGACTGAGATCCTTGATTTTGTTGGTGTTGATGCTGTGCAGGAGGACGAGCTTGTTGATGCTGAGGTTGAGGATGACGAGCATCTTGTCGGCCGACCCAGTTGTTGTGGTAAGTGGAATTTGGGTGGCGGTAGTTGGATCGGGACTTGCATCGATCCGTTGAGTGTCCGAAGACTTTGCATATTTTGCAATAGTGGCGCCTTGGTTGTCGTCGCTCTTCTCGGTTGTCCGTGTAGAAGGCGAGGCGCTCTCGGCGCGGCGCGGAGCTTGTTCTGTTTGAGTCCATGTCCTGTTGTTCGGACAGGAGTGCGGCGCATAGCGCGGCTTCTGAGATGATTCCTCGCTGTCGGAGTAGTGCTTTACAGGGCTTCCACTCTGGCCCGAGTCCTTGAAGGACTATATTAACGAAGATCTCTTCTGAGATCGTACTCCCATGCTTCGTGATCTGGTCACGAATGTTGCGACAGCGGTTAATATACGGATTCGCCTTCTCCCCGTGCCCCATTTTTATCTCCAGGAGTTGCTGCAGAAGCCTGCTGGCGGTGACCGAATCCTTCGGCTGATAAACCTCGATGAGGTGCTTCCAAGCTTCCAAGGCTGGAGCGTCGCTCTCCTTGTAGGAGCGAATGTTGAGTTGTTCCTGTGAAATAAGAACGAGAATGAGGGTTTCACTATAGGTTCAAGGGTACAAATATGAAAGAAGTGAAGCAAGGTGCACCACCTAACAAGCAAGGTAACTACACTAAGTCTACATTGCAGGCAGTTATAAAGTGATGTATACAATAACATTCTGACACACCCCCTAACTGCCTGCAGTGAAGAACCATGTGCAGAAACACCCCCGGAAGGGGTACACCAAGTAGAGCGCAGCAGACAGAGAGGGCAAATGAGGAGGAGAGACTGTGGAGGAAGAGAAGATGCGAGGCAACGACTGAAGCTGCAGAGGCACGGGCACAGGAGCGGCTGACTCAGTGGCTACCGAAGCAAGGGCGACGGACTACTGGAGTGACTGGCTCCGCGGCTATAGACGAGCGGCAGGAGCAACGGACCCACTGGCGACTGGTGCAACAGGCTCACTGGCTACCGAAGCAAGGGCGACGGACTACAGGCGCTGCAGGCGACACGACAGCTACCTTCACACAACCTCCCCCAGCTGCCCCACTCCCCTCTCACACACTCCCTGTTCAAACCCTAGCTCCACTCCCACAGCACCCCCCTTAAACCCTAAACCCTAGGCTCCCACACACCCACCCCCCTCAGCGACAGCTGCAGCAGTGGGAGACGAGGGAGGAGGAGGAGCAAGGGGAGGAACACAGAACCGCCACCCCCACACCCGCCACCCCCATGCTCGGCACCCCACACCCCCAGCACCACGGAATGCACGGGGGGGTGGGGGGGGGGGGGGGGGGGGGAACGGGATGGGCTGCAGGTGCGGGCTGCTCCAGGGGCGGCCGCTGCAGGTGCGGGCTGCTCCAGGGGCGGCTGCTGCAGTTGCTGGCTGCTCCAGGGGCGGCTGCTGCAGGTGCGGGCTGCTCCAGGGGCGGCTGCTGCGGTTGAGGGCTGCTCCAGGGGCGGCTGCTGCAGGGGCGGCCGCTCCAGGGGCGGCTGCTGCAGGGGTAGCGGCTGCTGGGGCGGCTGCTCCAGGGGCTGCTGCTGCAGTGGCGGCTCCAGGGGCGGCTGCTGCAGTGACGGCTGCTCCAGGGGCGGCTGCTGCAGCGGCGGTTGCTCCAGGGGCGGCTGCTGCTGGGGCGGCTGCTCCAGGGGCTGCTGCTGCAGTGGCGGCTCCAGGGGCGGCTGCTGCATTGACGGCTGCTCCAGGGGCGGCGGCTCCAGGGGCGGCTGCTGCAGCGGCGGCTGCTCCAGGGGCGGCTGCTGCTGGGGCGGCTGCTGCTGGGGTGGCTGCTCCAGGGGCGGCTGCTGTTGCAAGGCAGGCCCGCGCGCTGCTGCAAAGCAGGCACGGGCGCAAGGGAGGCAGAGGCGGCGGCCAGGGGGGGGTGCGCCGCGACGAGCAGGTGACAGGGCCACAAGGGGCGGCAACGGAGCCGCTAGGGGCGGCAACGGGGCCGCGAAGAGCGGCGACGGGGCCGCTAGGGGCGGCAACGGGGCCGCTAAAGGCGGCGACGGTGCCGAGATGGGGCGGCGACAGGGCCGCGAAGTGTGGCGACGGGGCCACTGAGGGTAGCGCGAGGGGCCGTGAGAGTAGCAGCGACGGGGCCGCGAAGAGGCCGTGAGGGGCCGAGAAGGGCGGCGTCCGCGCGTCCGGGGCGCACGGCGTGCGGAAAACCGCCACGCGCCCCGAGCGCGTGGCGGGAAGAAAAAAGTGTCGCGCGCCACGGGGCGCGCGACAGAAAAGAAAGCAGCGGAAGCACGTGGGGCCCACAGGCCAAGAGCGTAGTCGCTCTGATTCCATATTAAAATACTAGCGTGAGTTTGGCTTAGGAGCCATAGTTTAGGAGCCTTGGTAGTTAAGTTCGAGGGTGAGGAGAGTGTCGAGAAAGTTGTGGAAGGAGAATGAGAATGAGGGTTTCACTATATGTTCAAGGGTACAAATATGAAAGAAGTGAAGCAAGGTGCACCACCTAACAAGCAAGGTAACTACACTAAGTCTACATTGCAGGCAGTTATAAAGTGATGTATACAATAACATTCTGACAGTTCCGCAGGCTTCATGTTTCGTAGCAGCACATTGTAGGCCATGAGTGACTCACTGTAGTATTGAGCCCTGGCGGCGTCGGTGTTTTCCACCGGTTTAGGATAGGAGCCGTCGAAGTAATGGTAGATCTGCGCTGTTTGTAGGAGGAGCTCAAGCTCGAAACTCCATGTGTAAAAGTCCTTGCCGTCAAACGCGGCAGTAGTCTTGATTTTTTAAACGCTAAGGAAGCGTGTTTGCGCAGAGTTGATAGCTTCATCACTTGGACGGGGGGCAGTTGTTGTTGATTTGTCTGTGTCGAGGGAGAAGGTGTGCGTGGCGGTATCACGACTTTTCTCAGCCGGTTGTCCAAGTTGTGCTGGTTGGGAAGAGATTCCCGCATCGCCTTTGCGCAGATCTTGGAGTTCTTTCTCCATAGTTGAAAGTCGAGCGAAGAGTTGCTCGAGAGCGGCAGTGCCGATCGTAGTTGTCGCCTCATTTGTCGCAGCCGGGTTGGATTGTCCTTCAGCCGTCAGATTTGCTTGGCCTCCGGATCCTCCGGCCATCTTAGTCTTGGAGCGTGTGCCGCTCGCCAGATCTTGGTTCGGCGAATTTCACGGAAGTGAAGTTGCGAAGAATCCCTGAGTAGCTCTCATACCATGTTACAATCCCAAGTGGGACTTAGCGAAGGATCGCTCAGGGTTGATCGCAGAGTAGTGTTGCAGCGGAAGATTTGAATCTCAGGTCAGAGTGAATGTAAATGACTGAGTTGATAAAAGCATGCATACATCGAGTTTATATAAGAGTACAAGGGAATACGAAAAGTCCTATACTAGCCATGTACTCTAAGGGGTACATTCCCTTATTACAACCGAATTCAAACCGTGCGGCGCGGGAACCCGTTTCAAACCTGTTCCCGCCTTTTTCACTTCAAATGTTTCTGCCTGCATCGGTCTTGGTCAGACAGTTGCTGTGTCGCTTCGACTCTTATGAGTCCTCGTCTTCGTACTCGGTAGAGTCGGCTCCTGCAGCATACAGGAATGCCTTCTCATAAAACTTCATATCGTAACAGAGTCGAATCCAGGTCGGGAGTGGAAGTCATGGCACACACATTTCGCTCCGCTATGTATACCCCCATATGGTAAATGCTTTGGTGAGATTAGATGTCCCTACACTCATAAGAGGCTGTGGGCGTTCTAATTGCAACGAAGAATCTGCCTAGGCCACCAAGCAAAATCTTACTGATCGTAACCCTATGCAAGCATTCACAGCAATAATTAGCCACTCTGAAACACATACAAGCTCTCTCCACCGCATTCAAAACGAATTGTTGGACTCGCCTGGAAGTCATCGGAATGGATCAGGATTCAGGAGGGTGTATTTTGCCTCGAGAGAGAGATTTCTGAACTGGATACTGGAGCCTGTCTCGTCTTCTAAAAGGCGGTTTGTTAGTGGACGGGTCGAGCCTGCTTTTCGGCTGCTCTGTCACGGTCACGTACCATGTTGCGCGTCTTATCTTAGAAGTTTTTATATCCCAGTTATTTTGCACCTTCACGTTGTGTGTTAGTTTCGTGCGAGGGACGCGAAGCGCAGTCGCAATGGTAGGCCCGCAAACCACGACGGCAGAGAGGACCGGCCGATCGAATTTCAATCCGATGGCCGAGAAAACGCACGGAGGACCGGCTGGTCGATCCCTGACCGTCGATGCGATTCAGCGCGACCGTTTGATGAAGATCGCAGCCGTCAACTGGCTAAAATCCGAAAGCTCGCTTCCGCATTCACGCGTAGTTGCGACTGACAAGTCAGGAGACGGCATTCCCGGGAAAGCCCCGAAACCTGGTAGTGCAATCCGGTTCAATCCGGATCTGGTTCGGAAAATTTACCGGGAGGATCTGAAAGTGACACGTGGCAGGAAGCCGGTGCCGCTGCAGCGCGTGATGGTTCTGGAAGTGAGCCAGTATTTGGAGAAATACCTGTGGCCGAATTTCGATCCGGAAACCGCGTCCGTGGAGCATGTGATGTCAATCATTCTCATGGTCAACGAAAAGGTGGGGATTTTGTTTTCCCCATAATTCGTTTGTTTCGTCAGTTATCCATCTGTTGTTATTGCTGACTTCGCCAGCTGATGCAGTTCCTGCTTTATTGCAGAGTAGAACGCGCAAATTGATTATTTGCCTCATGCGTTGCTGCTATCGCTTGTGCATCTCAAGCCGTAGCCCTAAATCTCGCTAGTGAACCTCAACGTCCTTGACCTGAAAATTATTCCTGAATGGAAATCCTTTTATGCTGCCTTGACTTCCTATTATCATATATCCACCCGCCCTTTTCCACTCCAAATTCTGTGGGTTTTGTCCCCTTTTCCATCTTTGTCCTTTTTTCAATATTGTGTTCGCCTGTTAGTTCCGCGAGAATGTCTCGGCATGGGACTGCTTCCAATCTCGCGCTGACATCTTTCCTGCATTCTTCAACCGAGTCCTCGCTCTCAAGGTAAACCCCAGCAATGCTGCCATAATTTCCCCTCCTAAAGCCCACGTTGTTCAGTGTTATCTGATCGTTATGCGTCTTCCTGCATGAATTGTTCTCCTTCCCCCCACGCGCTTTCTCACGTGGGATGGAACCTCTGCTTACCGCACACCACACCGTCATTCATCATCCAATCGTGGTCGGTACCCGTTTGCTTCTTCTAGGACCCCAAACGGAAGGCGGGGAGCAAGCGAGCTCGGCAGGAGGAGCAGGAGGAGCAGGAGCAGAAGAAGCAGGGAGAGCAGGAGCACAAGGAGCACGGGGAGCAGCAGCAGGTGTCTGTTGAGGGAGAGCAATCTCAGGTGGAGAATGGCGCAAGCAAAGAAGCTGCTGCGGAGGGCAACGGTGTAGAGGGGGAGGGAGGAGAACCAAAGGAGAGCGCGGGCGCAGCAGTAGGGGAGGCTGGGGAAGGGGGAGTGGGTGCTGGAGATGGGAATGAGTTGGAGGGGCAGGGGCAGGGGGGTTCAGTTGTTGGGGGAGGAGAGGAGGAGTATGAGCTGAGCATATACGAGAGGGTTAATTACATCGTCTTCATCATCCACTGCTTCCAGGTGAGGTGCTCTCACAGCTGAGTGAAAGAAGAACAGGGTGGAGTAAGGGAGTGCGAGGAGTATGAGCTGAGCATATATGAGCGTGTCAACCTCATCGTATTCATCATTCACTGCTTCCAGGTGAGGTGCTCCGTTACCTGACTGAAAGAGGAGCTGTGACGAGTAGTGTAGGTAGGAGAGGAAAAGAGGAGTATGAGCTGAGCATATATGAGCGTGTCAACTACATCGTATTCATCATTCACTGCTTCCAGGTGAGACCCACCCACCCGCCTACTGTTTCGCAATCGCAATGCCCATGTCCCTTCCTCTGTGGCTGTGGCACAGCACACCCTCTTGCCCGCCCACATGGACCGCGAGCGAGTTGCTCCCTTCGTTCCATTTCCACGGTCCGAAATCGGCTGTTCGTATCCACATTTCCCTCCCTCCCACGACCTCCCCCCCTTTTTTTCCACCCTCCCCCCTCCCCCCCCCCACCCATTCCCCCAGTCGCTGGAGAACCCACTGGTGCGGGCGTGTGTGCTGCCGCTGGTCTCTCTCCCCCTGTGGCACGCCCTCTCACCGGCCTGCAGGGAGCGCGAGCTGCACCCCCACGCGCACCTGCTCGCCCTCTGGGCTCGCCTGCTCAAGAGGGACGCCAAGAACCGCACTGCTAGGCTGGCTGCTGTGGCGGAGGGTGGGGAGAGAAGGGCCGAGGCGGAGGCCGCTGAGAGGAAGGAGAGGCGCGGGGTCCGATTCCTGCCCGGGCTGATTCTGGAGTTTTTTTCCGTGAGTGCTGGGCTCTGTGCTGGCTGTTATATAGATATAGTTTTGAAATGTTTAGAGTATGCAATATGTTTGCTGATTCCGTGTTTTATTGGACTGTCTGTCTGTCTCTCCGTCTATGTGCTGTGCTGTCCCTTACTGTGTGCCCTCCCCACCTGCCAGGTGTTGGACGAGGTGGTGGAGAAGGGACCAGACTACGAGGACGACCAGAGCGACGAGTCTGCCGGGGTGCTCCTAAAGAGGGCCGTGGAAAAGGGGCCTCATTTGCTCTGTGTCTCCGTCTGTCTCCCCTTCTGTGCTTCTGTGTGCTGCTGTGCCTGATTGCCTGCCAGGTGTTGGACGAGGTGGTGGAGAAGGGCCCGGACTACGAGGACGACCAGAGCGAGTCCGCAGGGGTGCTGCTGGAGAGGGCAGTGGACCAGCCGCGGCTGCTCTTCTGTGAGCGATTCCTGGAGCTGCTGATTGATCTGCTCAGCCAGCTGCCCACGCGCAGGTGCGTACGCGCGTATGCCTTACAGCACAACCTGCGTCGTGTCTTCTGCATTGGTAGACTGGGTCATATTCGCCCGTTTAACCACTGTAACCATCCTTCCGTTTAACCGCCTTTGTCGTGTCTTCTTGCATCCTCCGTAACCATTCTTCCGTTTCGCCCCTGTCCCCATTGTAATGTTCCCGTTGCTCCTCTCCAATCAGGTTCTTTCGTCCTGTAGTGGATGACATGGCGGTCGCCGCCCGGTGCCGCCTCAGCCGGCTGTACCGGCACCCGCGCGGCCGTCTTTTTGTGCAGCTGGTGGATCTGCTGCGATTCTACGCTAGATTCCAAATGGACGACCACGCCGGGCGGCAACTGGATGAGGAGGAGGTAGACAGGGAGCACTGCGCTCGAGTGTCGGCCCTTCAGCTGTTCCTATTCAACAACGTGCCAGAGGTGGGTGTGCTAGTGGGTTTGCTAAAAGCAGTTCAGCACGAGCAGTGTGCAAACCAACGGCACGAGGAGGAGGTGGACAGGGAGCACTGCGCTCGGGTGTCGGCCCTCCAATTGTTTCTATTCAACAAAGTGCCAGAGGTGTGTGTTACAGATTGTCAGAGATCGATGGCATCAGATGCACCTAGCTACGCAACTGGACGAGGAGGAGGTGGACAGGGAGCATTGCGCTTGGGTGTCGGCCCTCCAACTGTTTCTATTCAACAAAGTGCCAGCGGTGAGGGCTATCAGATTGTCAGAGGCAAATGGCATCAGACGCTCATACTTCATACTTCGCTCATACTTCATACATAGCTCGCCACGCAACTGGACGAGGAGGAGGTGGATAGGGAGCACTGCGCTCGTGTGACGGCCCTCCAGTTGTTCTTGTTCAACAAAGTGCCAGAGGTGAGGGTTATGAGGTTGTTGGGGATGGGTGGTGGTATCAGATGCACCACCCAAGGATGGGGAGGATAGGGAGCACTGCGCTCGTGTGTCGGCCCTCCAGCTGTTCAGCTTCAACAGAGTGCCAGAGGTGGGTGGCTGTAGCATGGTCATAGCATCCGTGCTGTTAATTCCTGGCCCACCCTTGCACCTCCCTTTTCATCCTCCCTCTCTCTCCCCATCTCCTTACATCCTGTGTTTCAGCTGCGTGGCATCGCCCTGACCAGCGTGGGCAGTGTGGAGTATGCTGACGGCACTCCTGCTGCTCATGCTTCCTTCCCCCCTTTTTACATCTCCTCTTTCAGCTGCGGGACGTGGCTCTGACCAACGTGGGCAGTGTGGAGCATGCTGACGGAGTGCGCAAGTGGATGGGGCGACTCACAGACGAGCAGCTGGCGGAGCTGGTGCTCAACAAGGTCAGTGTAACTGCAGTAGTATTTTCGCCATTTTTTGGACGCACGTGGCAGTTTGAGTTTGATTTTTTTGGTAAGTGTGTGTGTGTGTGTGTGTGTGTGTGTGTGTGTGTGTGTGTGTGTGTGTGTGTGTGTGTGTGTGTGTGTCTGTGTGTGCATGTTTTGCGCTGGGCTGCAATATCATTTCAAACTTTTATATTTCGTGTCCCTTTCTGCCACCGTGCAGCTGAAGCTGCTGTCTCGAGCAGGCCTGCCGTACCGCCCGCCACGCCACCTCCTCTCATCCGCTCGCCGCCCCAAAACCCCCACACGAATGGTGGTGGAGGAGGGTTCAGAGGAGGAGCAGCAGGCAGAGCAGGAGCAGCAGGAGGAGCAGCAGCAGGAGGAGCAGCAGTACTGGGAGCAGCAGAGGGCCGTGCTCTTCCACCGTCTCCGCCCGTTTCTCGAGGAAGTGGTCGTTTCCTTCTTCGAGAAGAAGCGCTCCCAGCGCGCGGCTCTCAACGCGCTCCCGCTCTACCCCAACGAGGACGTCATGTGGGACGAGAGCCTCATCCCCAGCGTGAACTACACCGGCGAAGGCTGCCTCGCTCTGCCGAAACTCAACCTGCAGTTCCTCACGCTGCACGATTACCTCCTGCGGAATTTCAACCTGTTTCGGCTGGAGTCGACGTACGAGATTCGCGAGGAGGTGCACGATGTGCTGAAGCGGATGGGGGCGAAGGGGAGCATGTACAGCAGTGCGGACCGGGATACGGAGTTCACCGGGTGGGCTAGGATGGCCATTCAGATCTCTTCTTTCCGGATTGTGGAGGTTAAGGCGCCGCGGCTCGGCGAGGTGCAGCCGGCGGCGGTTCTAGCGGAAGTGGAGTACTCTATAGGGGGGTATAAGGCGGCTATGCGGAGCGAGTGGGAGGAGATTAAAGAGCATGATGTGTTGTTCCTGCTGGGTATTCACCCAGATGAGATTGCGCTGCAAGCTGCGGCTGATGCCGCCGCGGCGCAGGCGGCGGCGCAGGCGAAGCGGGAGGCGGGAGAGGATGGGGCGGAGGAGGAGGAAGCAGCGGCGGATGCTGCAGCAGTGGTTTCGTCGCTGTCCGTCCCGCAGAGATACGGGCTGCGGTATGTGCGGGGGTGCGAGGTGATCGAGCTGCGCGACGAGGATAACAAGCTGATGAACGACTTTTCCGGGCGGGTGAAGCGCGAGGAGTGGAAACCGCCCAAAGGGAACCAGCGCACGGCTCTCGTCGCTCTCGACCCAGCCCAGTTTCAACTGGATTTGGAGGCCAACGGAGGGACGCTGAGAGGAGCGCAGGAGGAGGTTTACTCGGCTTTAAACGTGGTGATGAGGAGGAAACCGAAGGAGAATAACTTCAAGCCGATTCTGGAGTCGATCCGAGATCTGATGAACGAAGAGGCGTCGGTGCCGGGTTGGTTGCATGACCTGTTTTTGGGATACGATGACCCGGCGGCTGCCAGCTGGCGGCGCATGCCTGCTGAGCTGGCGCCGTGGCGGGTGGAGGTGGTGGATTTTAGAGACACGTTTGTGGACGCGGATCATTTGAAGGAGTGCTTTCCGGGGTATAAAGTCCGGTTTGTGGATGCGGATGGGTTTGAGAATCCGAACCCGCAGCCTCCGTTCCGCGTGACTATTCCGATGCCTAAGGTGCAGGAGGAGGGGCGTGGGGTGGCAGTGGGGGGGAAGAAGAAGGGGCAGGAGAAAGACGGGAAGGGGAAGGGGAAGGGGAAGAAGGGGGTGAAGGGGAAGAAGAAGGGAAAGGGGAAGGGTAAGGAAGGGGGGGAGGAGAAGGGTGGGGAGAAGCAGGAGGGGGAGCAGATGGAGGTGGATGGGGGGGAGAAGGCGAAGGGAGGAGACGGGGGAGACGAGGCTTCTCAGCAAGGGGAGCAGGGAGACAAGGGAGGGCAGGGCGAGCAGGGAGAGCAGGGAGGGCAGGGGGAGCAGCAGCAGGAGGGAAGTAAGGAGGAGGAGGGTGAGGGGGTGGTGATAGCGGAGTCGGTGCCTCTGCCTGACCCTGGGCCGTACCCTCCAAGAGTGCAGAAGAAGAACCACGTCCGCTTTACACCCACGCAGGTACGTTGATGTTACTTTTGAGAATTCTCAAAAGCAGAGTCGGTGCCACTGCCTGACCCTGGGCCGTACCCTCCAAGAGTACAGAAGAAGAACCACGTCCGCTTTACACCCACGCAGGTACCGTACTCTCCTCCCTTCTTGTTCTGTTTCCCCGCTGCCATGTGATCTCGTCTCACTGCCTCTCTCTTTTCGTGCTGCCGCATCCCACCGCCTCTCGCCTCTCCCTACGACATCTCATCACTGGCTTGGATCACCGCTCTCCACCGTGTGTCACACCTCTTTCTCCACCGCCTCTCACCAGGTGGACGCCATCATCAGTGGCGTGCAGCCCGGGCTGACCATGATTGTTGGGCCACCACGTCACTGCTTGCTCCCCCTCACCTTTCCGCACCGTCTCTCACCAGGTGGACGCCATCATCAGTGGAGTTCAGCCGGGGTTGACCATGATTGTTGGGCCTCCAGGCACGGGCACTTGCTCCCTCACTGCTCCCCCTCACCTCCCTCCACCACCACTCACCTCTCCCCACCGTCTCTCCCCAGGTGGACGCCATCATCAGTGGGTTGCAGCCCGGGCTGACCATGATAGTGGGGCCACCTGGAACTAGCACTTGCTTCTCCTCACTGCCCCCCCTCACCCCTCCACACCGCGTCTCACCTCTCCCCAGGTGGACGCCATCATTAGCGGGGTGCAGCCCGGGTTGACCATGATAGTGGGGCCGCCAGGAACGGGCAAGACCGACACGGCTGTGCAGATCCTGCAGGTGAGTGGGTTGCCCAAGGTGCAGTGGTGCAGTGCGGTGCAGTGCGGTACATATAGGTGAACGCCATCATCAGAGGAGTGCAGTCGGGGCCGACCATGATTGTTGGGCCGCCAGGAACCGGCAAGACTGACACGACTGTGCAGATTGCAGGTGAGTGGGTTGCCCAAGGTGCAGTTCAGTGCAGCGCAGTGCGGTACAGAGTGCGGTACCGCGCGGTGCAGTGCAATGCAGCATGGTACGATGCAGTGCACTCCAGTCCACAGTTTCTCAGCTTTCACAGGCCTCCCCACCTGCCTTGCCCTATCATGCCCATTTTCAATTCCTGACTCCCACTCCCTCGCTTTCTCCCCCTCTCCCTCTCACACCAGGTGCTGTATCACAACTGCCCGGAGCAGCGCACACTCGTCATCACCCACTCCAACCAGGCCCTCAACGACCTCTTTGAGAAGATCATGCAGGTGGGTGCAGTGCAGTCTAATGCGGTGCAGTGCAGTCCAGTACGGTGCTGTGTAATGTTTTGTGCGTGGCTTGCGGGTGCATGTCGCTCTGATTGTTTTACATCTCAGCTGGGCCCTGGCCACATGGTGACATGGTGGAAAGCATTGTCCTTTGAGTGCAATCCATTTCAATTTGTCAACGCCCCACCTCCTCCCACCCACCCACCCACCCCTCTCGCCCCACCCCGTTGCTCCTTCATGTTCCAGCGGGACGTGCCAGCGCGCTACATGCTGCGGCTGGGAATGGGAGAGCAGGAGCTGGACACGGAGCAGAAGTTCAGCCGCATGGGGCGAGTCAACGACATGCTTGCTCGGCGCCTTGAACTGCTGGCCGAGGTGGGTATTCAAGGGAGTGCATTAAGTCGCTAGCTCAGCCAGCGGCTAGAGCCGCCTGGCAACAGCAGGGAGTGGGTGGGGTGGCAAGGGCATGGGAGAGCAGGAGCTGGACACGGAGCAGAAGTTCAGCCGCATGGGGCGAGTCAACGACATGCTCGCCCGGCGGCTCGAGCTGCTGGCTGAGGTGGGCTTTAAACAAAGTGGGAGGTTAGACTTGGTACAGTATTGCATGGGAGAGTTGGAACGAGTGGGAGCTGGCTGGTTGAAGCAGCTTGAGCTGCTGCTGGTTAGGGTGAGCTGTCTGGGTTTATGGCTATTCTGGTCGGACTTATTTTTAGGGTTTGGGATTTAGGGATCCACGATTGTGATGTTACCCGTTTTGTGCTGATGCCTTGTTTCCATGTGGCTGTCGGGACTCACACTCCCGCCTTACCCCCTCTCTCTCAGGTGGAGCGCCTGGCAGTGACTCTTGGGCGGCCATCTGACGTGGCATACACGTGTGAGAGCGCTGCCTACTTCTGGTTGCTGCACGTGCTCGCCAGGTAGGCAGCTAGTGGTGGTTCGCCTACTAATTTGATATCGTTTTTGTGTGGTGTGCTTTTGAAAGATACTAAGGACACCCTGTGGCCCTCTGTTGGAACGTACACATGTGAAGGTGATGTGTGGCCTGCTGTCAGCTCCTGTAAGTGATGGCGGGCGGGGTAAGAAGCAAGGTTATAAAATACGGTCGTATTTTTGAAATCGCTCTACGATTTCTCACAGGAGCCTATTATAAGAAATTGTTTAAAACGGTAACATTTCAAAGATACGACTGTAATTTTGATCCTTGGTAAGAAGGCAGTCGTAGCTGCATTAGGCAGGTGCTGCACTGCATGTGCCTGCAAATGGCTGTGGGTGGGCCCAGTTGGTAACTGACATACGTGGGATTCGTAATGTTGCTCCCACCTTGTTGTTAACATACCTTTGTGCATGAGTTTGTCTTGCTGATAATGAAAATTGTGTGTGTGTCAGGTGGGAGGCATTTGTGGCCAAGTGTGAGTCGGTCCGGGATGCTGCTCCCCCTGCTGAACCTGCACCTGCTGCACCTGCTGCGGAGGCCACGCCTGCAGCTCCTGCTGCTGACGGTGGTGAGGAGGGCACTAAGGATGTGCCAATGCAGGATGCCAATGATGCTGCTCCTGCTGCACCTGCTGCTCCTTCTGGTGACGCCCCTTCTGGTGCTGCCGCTGCTGCCGCGGCTGCAGCTGGTGCTGCAGGTAGTGGCGGGGGCAGCAGAGCAGCGACCATAGTTCGGGACACCTTCCCCTTCGCCGAGTTCTTCCAGGAGGCACCGGGCTTTAAGATGACGGGCGGGTCGTACGCACAGGACATGCGCATGGCGGAGAGCTGCTTCGAGTTCCTCAAGGGCATGTTCCAGGTGGGCTTTAAGAGGATTGAGACGTGTGGTATGATAATGGACGATTGTTTTAGGCATCTCAAACAAATACTTTCTAGGGGCTGTTGAATTGAGCTCCTCTCTTCCCTCTCCCATTGCGCCCATCATTGTCCTCCCATTTGTTGGGATCTCCCATAGCTGTGAGCCAGCCCCTTCAAAAAACGTGCTGCTGCTCCTCGCCTCGCCCACCTCTCCCAAGCAGGAACTGGAGGAGTGTCGGGCGTTCGAGCTGTTCAAGACCACAGCAGACCGCTCCAATTACCTGATGGCCCGCCAGGCCAAGGTGGTGGCAATGACGTGCACGCACGCAGCGCTTAAGCGCCGGGACTTCCTGATTCTCAGATTCCACTTTGACAACCTGCTCATGGAGGGAGGAGGGAGGGAGGAGCCAGCCCAGATCCTTTGTTTTGAACCGTTTTAAACCCCTCTTTTCTCCTCCTCCACCCTTTTACTCCTGCGCAGGAGCTGGAGGAATGCCGCGCGTTCGAGCTCTTCAAAACAACGGCAGACCGCTCCAACTACCTGATGGCACGGCAGGCAAAAGTGGTGGCAATGACGTGCACGCACGCGGCGCTCAAGCGCCGGGACTTCCTGAACCTCGGATTCCACTTTGACAACCTGCTCATGGAGGAGTCGGCTCAGATCCTCGAGATCGAAACCTTCATCCCCATGCTGCTGCAGCGCCCCGACGGCCCCTCCCGCACCGTCACTGGCACCGGCAGTACCACTGCTGCTGCTTCTGCTGGTGCTGCCGCTGCTGGTGCGGCTGCTGCGGCTGGTGGTGGTGGTGGCAATGGTGCCTTGTCCTACTCTCGCCTCAAGCGCTGCATTCTAATCGGCGACCACAATCAGCTCCCCCCCGTCGTAAAAAACATGGCCTTCCAGAAGTACTCGCGCATGGATCAGAGCCTCTTCACCCGCTTCGTCCGCCTCGGAGTCCCTTACATAGAGCTCAACGCCCAGGGCCGCGCGCGGCCCTCCATCGCTCAGCTCTACAACTGGCGATACCGGGACCTGGGGGATTTGCCGGTGGTGAAAACCGGGGAGGAGTATGTGCGCGCGAACGGGGGGTTTGCGTGGGAGTATCAACTTGTGGATGTGGGGGATTGGATGGGGCGAGGGGAGAGCGAGCCGAACCCGTGGTTCTACCAGAATTTGGGCGAGGCTGAGTATGTGGTGAGCGTGTTTCAGTACATGCGGCTGATGGGGTATCCCGCTGAGAAGATCTCGATTCTGACGACGTACAACGGGCAGAAGCACCTGATAAGGGATGTTATTGAAAGGAGGTGTGCCGGGAACCCCCGCTTCGGCCGCCCCAGCAAGGTGAGCTTGCAGTGTTGCTGCCCTTGCGGTCTGCTCCTTGTGGCGGTGGGGCGTTTTTCGGGACAGGGATAGGGCTTGGTTGGGCGAGGGGGGGTATGTGGTGAGCGTGTTTCAGTACATGCAGCTGCTGGGGTATCCCGCTGAAGATCTCGATTCTGACCACGTACAACGGGCAGAAGCATTTGATCAGGGATGTCATTGAGAGGAGATGCGCCGGGAACCCCCGCTTCGGCCGTCTCAGCAAGGTGAGTGTGTGGAATGGCTTTCTCAAGGTGGTAGCAGATCATCTGCTCCCTGCTGAGTGTCTTTTGAGAAATCTAAAAAGTCACATCCAGAATTTCTCAAAAGTCACATCAACATCTTCGGCCGTCCCAGCAAGGTGAGTGTGTAGGATGGCTTTCTCAACGTGGTAGCAGATCATCTGCTCCCTGCTCACTCTCACTTGCATCTGCTATTGTTTTTCTCACTCAGTCTTTCCCCGTCATCAACCTTCTCACCTTTCACCACTCTTCACCACTTTGCGACTAATGCCATTCCTCACCTCTCTTCCTTGCTCTTCCTCCCTCCAGATAACAACAGTGGATCGCTTTCAGGGCCAGCAGAACGACTACATTCTGCTCTCCCTCGTGCGGACCCGCACCGTGGGCCACCTGCGTGACGTGCGCCGCCTCGTTGTCGCCATGTCCCGCGCCCGCCTCGCCCTCTACTGCTTCTGCCGCCGCTCGCTCTTCGAGCAGTGCTACGAGCTGCAGCCCACCTTCCAGCTGCTGCTGCAGCGCCCGGACAGGCTCGGGTTGGTGCTGGAGGAAGGGAGTAGGAGGACGGAGAGGCCGGCGGGGGAGGGGAGTGAGGGGGCGTATCTGGTGCCGGGGATTGAGGAGATGGCGCGGATTGTGGAGTGGCGCCTGCAGAATGTGACCGAACAGGTGAGCGTGAGCTGGGGAGGTGGTTTTAGAGAGTTGAAAGTGAACGTGAGGCAGAGAGGAATGGGTTGAGATGGGTTGAGAGAGGTTTGAGTCGCGGGCGCTCGCTCTTCGAGCAGTGCTACGAGCTGCAGCCCACCTTCCAGCTGCTGCTGCAGCGCCCGGACAGGCTCGGGTTGGTGCTGGAGGAAGGGAGTAGGAGCACGGAGAGGCCCGCGGGGGAGGGGAGTGAGGGGGCGTATCTGGTGCCGGGGATTGAGGAGATGGCGCGGATTGTGGAGTGGCGCCTGCAGAATGTGACCGAACAGGTGAGCTGGGGAGGTGCTTTTAGATATTTTTTAGAGAAAGTGAGGTGGAGGAGAATGGGTTTCGAGTGAGTTTGAGAGGACTTGAAATTCGTGTCTGGTGCCGGGGATTGAGGAGATGGCCAGGATTGTGGAGTGGCGCCTGCAGAATGTGACCGAACAGGTGAGAGGGGTGGGGGGGGTGGGAACAGGAGGGGAAGGGGCAGGTGAGAGGGCAGCGGTGAAGGGGAGTGAGGGGGCGTGTCTGGTGGCGGGGATTGTGGAGTGGCGCCTGCAGAATGTGACCGAACAGGTGAGCTGGGGAGGTGTTTTTACAGAGTTGAAAATGACGGTGAGGCAGAGAGGAATGGGTTGTGAGGTTTCAGAGGACTTGCGTTATTGTTCACTCTTGCGTTGCTCTTATCTCTGCAACTCTCATTCTCGCCTGTCTCTTCTGATTCTCTCTTCACACAGGAGTACATTCGGCAGAACGTGCCAGGGGCCCAGCAGCAGGCAGCACTCGCGCAGCAGCAGCAGGTGTGGATGCAGCAGGTTCAGCAGCTGAAACACGCCCAGGCACAAGCACAGGCGCAAGCACAGGGCCAGACCCAGGCCCAGGGGCAGGGTCAGGGTCAGGCACAGGGGCAGGGACAGGGACAGTCCCCAATGCAAGTGCAAATGCAAGGGCAAATGCAAGTGCAGCCACATGCATCACCGCATGGCGCGATGCAAGGGCAGATACCTGTGCGATCGCCTGTGCAGATGCTGCCGGTGCATGGGGTGCATGTGGGACAGATGCCATCTCCTGTGCAGATGCTGCCAGTGCATGGGGTGCATGTGGGGCAGGTGCTATCTCCTGTGCTGCCAGGGCAAGCGCATGCGCACATGCATGCACAGGCGCACATGCAAATGCAGGCGCAGGCACAGATGCACATGCAGGCGCAAGCACAGGCTCATGCACATGCACATGCACAGGGACATGCGCAAGCACAAGCACAGCTGCAGGTGCGGGAGCAGGCTCGGCAGATGGAGATGCACGCTCACATGGAAGCTCTGGCGCGGCTGCAGCAGCAGCAGAGGCTGCAGCGGCGGCAGCACAAGAGCGGGAGAGGTAGGGGCGGTGGGAGGGGTAGGGGGCGGGGGGGTGGGCGAGGAGGGAGGACGGGAGGGGAGGGGAAGGGGAAGGGTGGGAAGGAGGGGGTGGAGGAGGGTGGGGAGAAGGGCGAGGAAGGGAGAGCGGAGGAGCGGGAGGGGGATGAGGAGGGAGAGGGTGACGAAGGAGAGGAAGCAGAGGAGTGGGGAGAGGGTGAGGGAATGCAAGGTGTAGAAGAGCATGTGAGGGTGAAAGAGGAGCCTGGTGAGGCAGTGCAACCAGCAGTAGCTGCTGCGGCTGGTGCTGCTGCTTCTGCAGTGCAACCAGCAGTAGCACGAGGTACACCACCTGGAGCACCTGCGGGGTTGATGCCACCATCAGTGGCAGCACCAGGAACAGCAGGAACAGCAGGAGGAGCAGCAGCAGCTGTAGCTGAACCAGCAGCAGTGAGAGGACCACCACCCGCAGCACCAGCAGGGCTGATGCCGCCACTAGCAGCACCGTCAGCACCATCAGCACCAGCAGCAGAACCTGCAGCAGCAGCCACACCAGCAGCTGCCGAAGCGGTAACACGTGAACCACCACTAGTGGCACCGGTGGCTGATGTGGTGCCTGCTGCTGCAGCGGTGGCTGCTGCCGCTGCTGCTGCTGCTCCTATCGTTCCTGCTCCCGCTGCTGCTCCTGTGCCTGCTGCTGCAGGAACATCAGAGAGCGTGCGAGTGAAAACAGAGCTGGTGGAGCAAGCGAGGGAGGGGCAGCGAGTGAAGCAGGAGATATTGGAGGAGGCAGGGCAGGGGGCAGGGCAACAGCAAGTGGGAGTGGTGAAGGAAGAGCCAGCTGAGCCCGGGGCTGCAACTCCTCCTGGGGGGTCCTCTGATAGTGATTGATGCGTGCTGTGAATCGCTGTGAATCCTGTGGCTGGGTGGAGGAGGCAGGGCAGGGGGCAGGGCAGGGGGTGGGGGAGCAGCAAGTGGGAGTGGTGAAGGAGGAACCAGCTGAGCCCGGGGCTGCAACTCCTCCTGGAGGGTCCTCTGATAGTGATTGATGCATGCTGGGGTGAGGGGTGGATGGGGAGGGGGTGAGGTTGAGGGAGGGTTTGTGGAAACGCTCTCAATGGACTATGCTTGTGGTTACAGTATGGGACTTGAGTCGGCGAAATGGGATGAATCAGAAAATTCGTTTTTAATCAGCAAAAAAAAAATTTGCTGTCTGATGATCAGCTAACCACTATGTAGTACATTGCTTTACATTCTTTTAAAACCAAGAAGTTCACATTGCTAGATGTAGGGGATTTTTTTACATTCCTTAATGCGCACCTCAGCAACGCGTACAAGACCAACTGTTTCTTCGCCCGTTACTGCTGCTAACGGTGTTCGCCACATTCACGCGTCACTAATGTTGCAAGTTGCTGAAAGCATGCCACCAGTTGCTGGGCTTATAACAGAGCACTCACAGAAACCGGAAGTCAATAAGTATTGTACATGTTTCAGGTGAGTGAAAGGCTAGGTGTAGCTTGTAGCATGAAAGCATCACACCGCTTGGCACTGGTCCTGTCGAATCATATCCTGCACTCTCTCCAGCAGCACCTCATACGTCCTAGTCACCTCTATCCTTGCCCGCGACAATCTATGATAAATCCTCTCATATGACCTACCCGGTCCCTCCCACCCCTTGCGATAGAGTATAATATTCTGCCCACCCCAATAGCTGGATAGCACAGATGTTCCCCCCTGCACACTAATAAAACAGGAGCTTCGGGCCATCATTCTAAACTGAACCTCGTTGAAACTTAGGCTCGGCCAAGCCTCGTGAATCGCATGGTTCGGAACCGAGCCTCCGAACCAAACTCCTCAGCCAGCCTCGGGTGGTCGCCCAAGTCAACCCTATCTCCCTGCTCCGGGTCTGCCTTGATTGAATTCCCAGGCCGGTTATACACCACATAATACCCCTTATCTAGAAACTCGCGCGTGATTGTAACGAGGGTCGGAACGTCAATGAAATTGGTGGGGGGTTCCGCCCATTCAATCTCATACTTGTTGCTTATAATCACAAGCGGAGCCCCCCCTATAGGAACATCCAGCCATACTCGCCCCAGCTCCCGTATCCTGTGCACCAACGGGGGGGGATGCCAGTACTGCGGAATGTCACTGTAATGAAGGCCCTTGGTAAACCCATACTGTTTAATCACATAATTGTGATCGTTGGAGCGTTTACAGTCCGGGTCTGTGGAGTGGCTTGGGCTGAAATAGTAGAGGAGAGAGAGGGGCGAGGCACAAGCCTTGGTTGATTTGAGGGTTCCGTTTAGGAAATGCCAGTAGGCGTGCGGCAGGACTGCTATCAGTTCGTACCCAAACTCGCCCTTAAAGGAGATGTCTATAGCGGGGATGGAGGTGTTAGGAGGTTGGGTGGGTGATGGGTTGAAGGAGGAATTGCAGGGGCAGACCCATGGGCGGGGGGTGTCGTCTGGGGAAAGGGATGGTAGGGAGCAAGGGCGGAGGGAGAATGGGCGGAAGGAGAGAGGTCAACGCATTGCTCAGGACATGAGCCAAGAACTTCAACCTTAGGATGCTTGGTTGGAGTGAGCAACACAATTGGCTAAGGTTGTGGGTGCGAGGGCCAAACTCAACCAAGGTTAGGAAGGTTGAGGCAAATTGGGTCTTCTTGGCCCTCCGGTTTTTTCGCGAGAACTATTACGCGGGCGGACACAGGGGCAGGAAATGTCGCCTGGAGAAGGGGGTAAACAGCTGCAGGGAAGGGCGGAAGAGGCGGAAAGCGGCGGAAGGATAGAGGTAAGGTGGGAGGTTAGGTAGCACACATCGTTTAGAACACGGCTTGAGAAGAATTGATCAAAGGGGCAGATCCAATTCTCGAGTCGACTGAAAAATATGGCTTAAGGCGAAGATATCAGAGGGGCAGATCCATGGGCGGGGATGTCTGGTGAAAGGGGGTGAAAGGGGGTGAAAATGGGCAGGGAGGGGTGGGGAAGGGCGGAAGGAGTGGGCAGATGCAAGGAAGGAGGTGTCAGGCATTGTTGAAACCATGGCTTTGTTATGGTGTCAGCCAGGCAAACAGGACTACGGTTTTCTGTGGAGGGAGAAGGTGTGGGAAGGTGTCATGGCAGGCCATGACATGGATTGGTGCCTCTTAGTACGGGGAAGGGAAGAACGGGGGAGGGTGCAGGATGGATGGATGGATGGATGGATGGCTGGATGGATGGATGGATGGATGGATGGATGGATGGATGGATGGATGGATGGATGGATGGATGGATGGATGGATGGATGGATGGATGGATGGATGGATGGATGGATGGATGGATGGATGGATGGATGGATGGATGGATGGATGGATGGATGGATGGATGGATGGATGGATGGATGGATGGATGGATGGATGGATGGATGGATGGATGGATGGATGGATGGATGGATGGATGGATGGATGGATGGATGGATGGATGGATGGATGGATGGATGGATGGATGGATGGATGGATGGATGGATGGATGGATGGATGGATGGATGGATGGATGGATGGATGGATGGATGGATGGATGGATGGATGGATGGATGGATGGATGGATGGATGGATGGATGGATGGATGGATGGATGGATGGATGGATGGATGGATGGATGGATGGATGGAGAGCAGGTAAGAGTATGGTGAAGTCGCGTTCAAATGGAGCAATAAACATCGTGCTCACCTGATACACAATTTGCAGGCTTGTTTGCAGGCTCGTTTGCAGGCTCGGTGGTAGCCTCGTTAGCAGGCTTATCGGTAGGCTCGGTCGAAGGCTCAGTGGCAGGTTCGGTGACATGCTCAGAGTCAGAGCTGGCATCAGGCTTGGAATCCGAAGCTCCATCTACTTTCGCATCCGGCTCGGGAACAGTGGTCGACGTTGATTCTTCGGATGAACCAGAATCGTGCGGTGGTGGAGAGCCCTCGTCATCTGCATGGGGCAAAAGCCATTGGCAGCAGGAACAGCACAAAACGCTGAGAGAAAATAAGTGAGGAAAGGAGCTAAAGAGGAGGAGTGACGAGAGGAGGCGGTGCGACGAGGCGGAGAGAGGGGGAGGGGAGAGATGAGGGGGGAGAGGGGAGGGGGGATGGAAGAGAGAATCGGGGAGTGGGGGGAGGTGAGAGGAGGAAGGGGAGAGGGGGGAGAGGAGAGGGAAAGGGAAGAAGGGAGAGCCTGAATTACGAGCGCACCAGACGCGGCAGCAATGCGGGTTGCGAGAGTGAGGGCAAGGAGCAGGACGAGGACGAGCGACGAGCGAAGAGTGACGGTGTGCGACGAGCGACGAGCGACGATGTGCGACGGTTGACGAGCGAGCTGAAGGGGAGAAGGCCGCGTCGCGGCAGCAGCAAGGAACCTTCCGTGAACAATCAGCCCGCACGAGGCGTTGCGATTCTTGCCGCACATTGGATGATAGATGATTAAACGATGCGCTGCCGCCCTAGTAGGGGAGCTTTGGCTGGATGATTAGACGAGGCGTTGCGCTCCTAGGGGGTTTTTCTCAGAAATCCTTGCCGCACATTGGCCGAGTCCCAAGGTAATTCGATCGAAAAGCGTGTTCCGAGACGTTGCGAGCCTCGGTAAGCGTTACTGTACCGAACGGTGATGCATACTAGGCGTAGTTCTGAGGCGTCTGTAAAGGCGTACAGAGTACGTACCAGCGGTCCAGTCCGGTTCAATAGCGCGGTTCCGGCGGCTGACAGGCTACTTGTGCTTCTAGCGAGCTGAGCTTCTAGCGATGGCCGCTGCTCTCGAGGCTTCCTCTGAGGCGGCTCTAATAGGCTGACTTTCTATCAAGGGCCGCTGCTCTTCAATTCGACAGACATCATTGTTCACACCCGTTCACGTAGTGTCTGCTGGAGTGGTAAGCCTAACCATGAGCTCAGGGAACCTGTATGGACGAAAAAATACTAATGAGGACGTGAGACGAACTGACGCTGACTCGAGGAGGAGTAGAATGGTGAAGTAGGGCCGATATTGGAAGAAGTGGAGAAAACGTGCGAAAATTGCGATTGACTTTGCTGGCGAGGCGAGGGACGTGCGGATTCGAAATATGAGAATGGGTTGGAGACTGGAATGGTGAGGAGGGCCGAAGTAGGGTTGGGATGGGTTCGGTCAAGTGCGTGTTCCGAAAGAGTCGGCTGGGCCTCGCGGCGCGTTCAGTGCCGCCTTGAGCAGTTTGTGCTCGACATCCACTTACCTGTGGTACACGCAAAATTAAACACTTGTTGACTTCGCTGTATTATTTTTATATACACGAATTTAGAGCACAGCAAAATCGATCACCCCCACGCAATGTGTAACACGGGTGGCCCATCAGCAGCTGGGGGATGCAAACTAACTGCCCCGGTTTAGACTAGAGGCGTGCCGGCTCGGGAATTCGAGCCGCAGCAGCACCTGTGAGAGCAGCTTCGGGTCGACTCGACAGGCCTCTGCAGAATTCCATCGAAGCCATTCCCTCGAGGCAGCGACTATTGATCTCATCATCATCCATTGTCAGCTTTGGAGATTCTCAAAAGCAGCTGTGAGAGCAGCTTTGGATCGACAGGCTTCTGCAGGACGCCATCAAAGCCACTTGCAAGACAGCGCCGAGTGACCTCATCATCCACAACTGCTGTCAGGTTTAGGAGATTTTCAAAATCAGCAGCGAGAGCAGCTTCGGGTCGACAGGCTTCTGCAGAATTCCGTCAAAGCCACTCGCAAGGCAACGCTGACTCTGAGTGACCTCATCATCCACATCTGCTGTCAGATTTTGGAGATTTTCAAAATCAGCTGCGAGAGCAGCTTCGGGTCGACAGGCTTCTGCAGGACGCCATCAAAGCCACTCGCAAGGCAGCGCTGAGTGATTTCACCATCCACATCTGCTGTGTGTGCTACTATGAGGAGCCGAGGGATGGTGGGGGTGACTGACGCTTGCGTGTGTGATGGCTGCTCTCCTGTTACTGCCCTGGCTGTGTCTTCTGGTGGGGATGCGGGATGACGAAGCAGGGCTTGTTCGTGTGCTCGTATGGCCTCTGTGGCTGCGAATCTGGGGGGTTTACAGCGAGGCACAGAGAGAGGCAGCAGTGGAGATCACTCAGCAGTGGGGTTGAGGCAGAGGAGAAGCATGACAGTCGGCAGACGTGACAGGCAGTCAAAGTAGTAAGTGAGGTATTCACCCAAGCACTTACATGTCTCACCCACCCATGCATTCACATGACTCAACTGCCCATGCATTCACATGACTCACCACACCCGCTGCCTGAGTCTGTCCGGCTGCTTCTCTCATAATCACAACCCATCCACCCATCAGCACAAGCCACTCACCCGTCCATGAGCGGCATCTGCAGGTCCATGAGCACCACACCAACTGCCACTTGGGGTCTGCTACCCATCCTCCCCCAGCCCCAACCCCATGCCCACAACACCACTCACCCGTCCATGAGCGGCATCTGCAGGTCCATGAGCACCACATCCACATGCCCATCCACCGCTGCTGCACTGCCCCCCAGACCCATAGCGTGCTTGACTTGCTGCACCGCCTCCTCCCCGCTGGCTGCGGTGGCGACGGTGGCACCGCTGCGAGTGAGAGTGCGGCGCGCCACCACCAGATTCACCGCCGCATCGTCCACCACCTGGAGAGAGGGGAAGTGAGGGGGAGAAGGGAAAGTGAGGGGGAGAAGGGAAAGTGAGGGGGAGAAGGGAAAGTGAGAGGGAGAAGGGAAAGCGATGCAGGTTAGATAGCCAGGAGGACAGATTCAGGCGGCCACATGGATACACCTAAATCTTGAAGGGCATTTTGAGGCGCCTCATGAATATTCTCGAGGCGCATCACAAACGACCTTTCAACACGCGCGCATTTTGAGACGCCTCAAAAAGACGAGTTTTGAGACATCTCAAAACTCGTCTCAAAAATCACAAACGACCTTTCAAGGCGCGCGCATCCGATACCAAATTCTGAGGTGCTGTTCAGATCAGACCCCCCAGCGAGAGGCCTCAAAGAAAGGCAACAAGAACACGGGTTGCATTGCACAGATCTTGCATGCACTAAGCGAGGCTGCAAAACCAGGCAGCGAGTGAAACAGCAGGAGGAAGGAAAACAAAACGACGGGTCAGGAAAACAGGGTGCGAGTTGCATAAGGGACGAGTACGGGCTACGACGTGTTTGGCAAGAGGGGCGAGAGAGGTTAGTTGGTCGCACCATAATTCTCAGCCCAGCTAGCAGATTCTTTCCTTCTCCTCCTCCTTCTCCTGCTGCTGCTGCCACTCCCCTTCCCCTTGCTACGGCTGCTCCCTCTCCTCCTGCTCTCCCTCGCTCTGCGGGCCCTCCACCTCGCCCCTCCCCGTCCACAAATGAGACCCTCTTTCTGCTGTCAGTACTGCAAGTGCCGAGGCTACCACCACTGGAAGCATCAGCGAGGATAGTAACAGGCACAGCTGTAGCAGCAGACGCAGCTGTAGCAGCAGAGGCAGCTGTAGCAGCAGAGGCTGCAGCCGAAGCGAGTGCTACAGCTGGTGTTCTTGGGGATGCCATGGTGACAGCCGGGCCAACGACAGGGGCCGTTGTAGTCACCGTAGCAGCGGCAGCAGCAGCAGAAGCAGTGACGTTGGCAGTAGCAGTGATGGCTGCTGGCTGAGATGCCGCTAGGTGGGAAGAAGGCATGTGGAGCAGGCGGTGTTGGTGTAGGAGTATGGTCTGGGGGACAGAGGTGAGGGCAGGCGGGGTGAGAGGGAGAAGTGGGACGAGAGGGTGGAGAGTCATGAGAAGGTGGGTGGTGCAACTGTTGCGGCAGTGCTGGTGTGGAATTATGGTTTAGGTGTGACGGACGAGAGGGAGGAGAGGAATGAGTGGGAAGAGAGGGTGGAGAGAAGGTGGTGAGAGGGTGGAGAGAGACGTTAAACAAGAAAAGCGACAAAGAATAGGAATGTGAAATGCTTCACACAGACGCAGGAGACAAGAATGGCAGATGCCAGCGTACCTGAATGGCAGAGAGCAGGTGGTGGGAGAAGAGAGGCCGCTGACACAGCACCACTGGAACCATGCCTTTGCCACCCACACCCTCTTCCTCGTGAGTGCTTTCACCTCCCTCCTTCAATTTGTTTTCACGCCCATCCACAATATTGCTTTCATCCCTATCCTCGATACTGCTTTCTGGTCGACTGATACAAAGGCCATCGATACCCTCCTCCCTGGAATCGCCATGCATGGCCGCCTCTTCAGAATCGCTCTGCCTGTTGGCATGAGCAGCAGCATGAGCGTCAACGTTGACAGCAGCAGCATCGGCACCGCCAGCATTGGCACAATCAGCACTTTTGAGGAAAGAAAAAGAGCCAGCATCAGAACAAGCATCAGTCTCAGCTTCAGCAGCAGCATCAGCAGTGCAATCACTGCCATTAGCACGTTGCTGTCCATCTGCCACGCCTGCACCCTGCTCCTCCCCGCTATCTCCACCACCAACAACTCCCCTTCTATTTTCCGTGTCCTCGTCAGCCCCTTCGCTACACCCCCCTTTCGCTACAAGCACCACGATGCCAGACAGGGCTGGGCTGTGCAGTGGCGTGCAGCACAAGGGACTGCAGTCGTGCAACCTGCTTCTCCTGCAATCACTTGTGCTGCACACAACTGCGATATTCTGCTTTTGCCGCTCGGGTTCCTCTTGCTGCTGTGGCGGCGGATGCTGCTGCTCTTGCTGCTCCTCCTGCTCTTGCTGCTGCTGTTGCACCAATTGAGAAAAAGCCTCACGGTACCTCTTAAGGCCAGCCTCCCCACTTACCACCACCACCAGCTGCTTCCCACACAACTTAGCAAAGTGCTGGTGCGGGTGGAAATGGGAAGATCGTTGCTGGCCGGGGTGAGAACCAGCTAAGAAGCGAGCTGCTGCCTGTTCATCATTCGCCAGCAGCACAGATGCTCCTACGTGCGTCAACACACGGGCAGTCAGCTGGTCAGGGGAGGAAGAGAGCAGACACACAGAGGAGAAGCACGGATGTGGGATGAGTGGCGGGGCGGGTGTGATAGAGGCAGCAATACACAGGCCACAAAGCGAGCTGCTGCTGGTGCATTATCCGCCATAATTTGCCATTATTTGCCATCATTCGCCATTATTCGCCAGCAGCACGGATGCTCCTAGGTGCACCAACCAACCACTCAGGCAGTCAGCTGGTGGCGGGAGATGGGTTCGCTTAGCTCTGGACCTTTCGCTCAGCTCTCTGCTGCTGATGCACCTGTTGCCAAAGGCACAGCATCATGAGTCATGACACGGGACCCTTTCCTGGCAGGCAGTAGGCAGCTACCACAGTGTATTGAAGGCTTTTGAGGCGCCTCAGAGGTCCTGGCAGGCAGTATGCAGATACCAGCCTACCACAGTGTATTGAAGGCTTTTGAGGCGCCTCAGAGGTCCTGGCAGGCAGTATGCAGATACCAGCCTACCACAGTGTATTGAAGGCTTTTGAGGCGCCTCAGAGGTCCTGGCAGGCAGTATGCAGATACCAGCCTACCACAGTGTATTGAAGGCTGGACCGACGCATCACGAGCCAAGACACACCAAGGTAGACAGAGCGAGCATCCAGGCTAGGATCTGTACACCTTGGTTGACTTTTGAGTCGACTCAAAAGCCAAGACACACCAAGGTAGACAGAGCGAGCATCCAGGCTAGGATCTGTACACCTTGGTTGACTTTTGAGTCGACTCAAAAGCCAAGACACACCAAGGTAGACAGAGCGAGCATCCAGGCTAGGATCTGTACACCTTGGTTGACTTTTGAGTCGACTCAAAAGCCAAGACACACCAAGGTAGACAGAGCGAGCATCCAGGCTAGGATCTGTACACCTTGGTTGACTTTTGAGTCGACTCAAAAGCCAAGACACACCAAGGTAGACAGAGCGAGCATCCAGGCTAGGATTTGTACACCTTGGTTGACTTTTGAGTCGACTCAAAAGCCAAGACACACCAAGGTAGACAGAGCGAGCATCCAGGCTAGGATCTGTACACCTTGGTTGACTTTTGAGTCGACTCAAAAGCCAAGACACACCAAGGTAGACAGAGCGAGCATCCAGGCTAGGATCTGTACACCTTGGTGTTTGTTGCAGGACTCTTTACCTTTGCTCTCTCTGGCTGGCCATCCGCCACCACCACCAGCACTCCAGAAAGGCTCGAGCCGTCCCGTCCCATGCAGCCGTGAATTGTGGTCCCACGGCTTTCCCTGCCATCCACCTGTGTTGCATTGTCACCCTCCGCATGCACATGGATGTTTCGAGACGGCGCATGGGTCTCCCCGCAATCAACCCGCGCTGCATGCTTGCTCTCCGTGTTTCCGTTCCCATACGGAGGTTGTGGTGGGGCAGAGAGTATGGGTACGGCGAGGGTGAAAGCTGTTCCTGTAACAGGGTCGACCTTGCAGCTCATGTCACCCTTCATTAGAGTCACCTGCAGTGCAGTCACACCACGAAGACAGAAGTGGAAGGCCCAAGACCAGACACACTTGCATTGGCAGGGAAAGGATACACGGTCCTGCAAAGAACTGCAGTGTAAAACTTAGACCCCTACCAGGCAAACCAGAGCTTTAAAGCCCAACGTTTTGGAAAAGAAAGGTCCTATTTCACCAGTTGTTGACCTGTCAAGAGAAGTAAAACTATCATAACACGATTTATATACCTCAACCTATGCAATCTATTGTAAGTGTCGCATAAGGAAGATTCCTTTTCTCACCAGTTGCTTAGCCAACACGAGGCTGAGCTTTGCCGCAGCTTCTTCAGCTCCCTCCTGCAGGCTGCGCATCTCCTGCACGCATGAACATGCACACACACACACACACACATTAAGTCAAGACCGGCTTTGAGCACCAAAGCACACACGTAGATAGACTCAAGCATATGTTGAGAGACGGGCCTGTAGACTCAGGAGAGAAACATCTCTGCTCACCTCAAATCTGAACGTGAAACCGTTCATGGTCTCGCTGTTGTCACACCCGCTGTGCTCACACGTCACCACCAGCTGCATCGCCCCGCCTGCTGCTGCTCCCCTCCCCCCTCTGTAGTCACAGTCACCATCCACATTGACTGTATGGCTATTACGACCACCCATAGTACGGTTACCACGCATGTCGCCTGTACAGTTACCACGTACGCAGGGACCACGGATGTTGCACTGTCCTACTCCTCTACAGTCACATACACTACTGCTGCCATATCCTGGCCGTTTGCGCATATTGAGCCTATTGCGTGCAGGCATAGGTGGACAAAGTTTCTGCTCTTCACTGCACAGCCCAGCACTACCAGCAACACAAACCGCCGCTGCTCCTGTGTCAGCATCCCCTTTTATCGTCACACCGTCTGAGCCTATCAGTGTAGTCACCCTCGCGCTGCTGACGGCTGCATAGGACGCTGCATTGAAGGATTGATCACCAGAGAGAGGTTAGGCGACTCAGGACTTCAGTAAAATCAAATCTCCATTCGTGAGTGCATGAAGATGCCACTTATGAGTTGACTTAAAACAAACATGGGTTTTACATTTTTTGAAGAAACTAAGGAAAAGAACAGCTGAAGGCAGGTGAGGATGATAGAACCTTCTCACTCACCGTTCCACTGAGCCAGCTGAGTCAAGGGCACTTCAACATCCGCCACAGCCACCCGAACCAGCACGTAGCCCCCGTGCGGTGTGAATGACAAGGCATAGTCTGCCGTGAGAGAGGGAGCAGGAGGCGAAGGGAGGATGGAGCGGGAGAACTGCTGTGGTGAGACGACTCTGCAATAGCCAGAGCTACCCCTGTGACAAGGGCCGGCCAACTGATGCAGCAGCAAGACTCACAAGCTGCGCATTCCCATGCTCCCATGAACAGGAGCGCAGACATGAAAGTTAGCTGGCCGGCAAACTAGGCCAACTGATTGAACAGAGGTGACAACATGAAGCCGAGCTAACTTTCATGTCAGCGCCCCATCCATGACTTCACTAAAGCCAGGATCTCAAGTAGTTTGGCTGTTTTGCAGTTAGTGAATTGTGTTAGGCTGTGATTGGTTGACGAGGTAGAGTAGTTGACGAGAGCTGAAACGAGGGATGCGAAGCAAACAAAAATCGCAGTGAACTTCCGAACCAACTAGGCACGGAAATCTGGTTGGGTTCCGAAGCTCATTTCCCAGCAATGTGTCTCACTTGCCGAAAAATCTCATGCACAGCAATTTGTTTTGCAATTGAGATTCACGGTCAAATCGGGGATCAGTCGCACACTGAACCTCCAACCCAACCACTCGATTTCGCCTAAACAAACAGGGTGACTCGAGCTGCAAGTGTTTTGCAATTGAAGCCAATTTCTCTTACTTGAGATCCTGGCTTTAAGAGAGACTGAACAGATGCGTCGACAACTCGAAAACTGAAAACTGAACAGATGCGTCGGCAACTCGAAAACTGAAAACTGAACAGATGCGTCGACAACTCGAAAACTGAAAACTGAACAGATGCGTCGACAACTCGAAAACTGAAAACTGAACAGATGCGTCGACAACTCGAAAACTGAAAACTGAACAGATGCGTCGACAACTCGAAAACTGAAAACTGAACAGATGCGTCGACAACTCGAAAACTGAAAACTGAACAGATGCGTCGACAACTCGAAAACTGAAAACTGAACAGATGCGTCGACAACTCGGAAACTGAAAACTGAACAGATGCGTCGACAACTCGAAAACTGAAAACTGAACAGATGCGTCGACAACTCGAAAACTGAAAACTGAACAGATGCGTCGACAACTCGAAAACTGAAAACTGAACAGATGCGTCGACAACTCGAAAACTGAAAACTGAACAGATGCGTCGACAACTCGGAAACTGAAAACTGAACAGATGCGTCGACAACTCGAAAACTGAAAACTGAACAGATGCGTCGACAACTCGAAAACTGAAAACTGAACAGATGCGTCGACAACTCGAAAACTGAAAACTGAACAGATGCGTCGACAACTCGAAAACTGAAAACTGAACAGATGCGTCGACAACTCGAAAACTGAAAACTGAACAGATGCGTCGACAACTCGAAAACTGAAAACTGAACAGATGCGTCGACAACTCGAAAACTGAAAACTGAACAGATGCGTCGACAACTCGAAAACTGAAAACTGAACAGATGCGTCGACAACTCGAAAACTGAAAACTGAACAGATGCGTCGACAACTCGAAAACTGAAAACTGAACAGATGCGTCGACAACTCGGAAACTGAAAACTGAACAGATGCGTCGACAACTCGAAAACTGAAAACTGAACAGCTGCGTCAACAACTCCAAAACTGAAAACTGAACAGATGCGTTGACAAGTAAGTGAGCCAAGGAGACACCCACCCATGACTTGCGAGAGAGCTTGGGCGAGGCGAAGCTGATCCCCCAGCAGGTGCTGCGGCACACTGGCAATGGCATCCACCACTGCTGGCAGTTTTGAAGACACTAACGCAGCTGTGAGCGAGCAGACGTGACAGACAGAGAGACACCCACCCATGACTTGAGAAAGGGTTTGGGCGAGGCGCAGCTGATCCCCCACGAGCTGCTGCGGCACGTCGGCATCCACCACTGCTGCCACTGCCCACATCACATGCATGCAAGCACACACAGATAGAACCAAACACATATGCACACATGCGTGCGTGCGCACAAGCAAGCACATAATCATAGGTGTTGGATGCAAGAAGAGAATCCAGGGGCGCTCAAAATGCACGTTCCACCCCCCTCTCTCTTTCAAGACATTCCCCGCCACGCTCCAGCTGCAACCGCCCCGCCTCCATCTTGCACAGGTTCAAACCCTCACTATACAAACCAACACTCATTCAAACCCATTCCCTCCCGCTACCATACCAATCCCCTCCCCCTTCCCTCCCACCCCCGCCTCCCTCCTTCAAGTAATACCTATATGAGACCAGCCGCAGACTCACAGTGCACGTTCCTCTCTTGTGCCTCCGCCCATCGCCGCCCATCGCCGGCCCACCTCCCCCACCACCCATGCGCGCACGCACGTCAAACCCACCCGTCTCAGGAATCGCAGACTCACAGTGCACGTTCCTCTCTTGTGCCTCCGCCCATCGCCGCCCATCGCCGGCCCACCTCCCCCACCACCCATGCGCGCACGCACGTCAAACCCACCCGTCTCAGGAATCACAGACTCACAGTGCACGTTCCTCTCTTGTGCCTCCGCCCATCGCCGGCCCACCTCCCCCGCCACCCATGCGCGCACGCACGTCAAACCCACCCGTCTCAGGAATCGCAGACTCACAGTGCACGTTTCTCTCTTGTGCCTCCGCCCATCGCCGAGTCACCTCCCCCTCCACCCATGTGTAGAGAGGGTGTTTTTGAGACGTCTCAAAAACGCCGGCCCACCTCCCCCTCCACCCATGCGCGCACGTCAGTCAAACCCGCCAGTCTCAGAAATCGCAGACTCACAGTGCACGTTCCTCTCTTGCGCCTCCACCCATCGCCGGCCCACCTCCCCCTCCACCCACGCGCGCACGTCAAACCCGCCCATCTCCAGCTGCAACCTCCCCGCCTCCAGCTTGGAGAGGTCCAGCACCTGGTTCACGAGCTTCAGCACCTTGAGAGCAGACGAGCGCGCCGTGCTCAAGTCTGAGAGCTGGTTGTCAGACAGGCACGAGTCTGAAAGTACGTCTAGCATCCCTGGGATGGGCGGGGGGGAGGGGACAGGGGAAGTGAGTAAATCCAGCTTGGAGAGGTCCAGCACCTGGTTCACCAGCTTCAACACCTTGAGAGCTGACGAGTGCGCTGTGCCCAAGTCTGAGAGCTGATTGGTTTTGATTGAGAGAGTTGTGAGTCTGAGAGCACGTCTACCATGCCTAGTTGTTGGGGGAAAGGGAGCGGAGTGATGGGAAGGAAAGGATGATTTTGGACAGGTCCTGCACCTGATTCACCAGCTTCTAAGATGTTTTGAGATGTCTCAGAACGTCACTTTATCACGTCACCAGCTTCTAAAAGTGAGTCTGAAAGTGCGGCCAGTATGCCTGATGATGGGCAGAACGACGATTAAAGTATCTATGATACCCACCCTACCTATTATGCCCACCCCACCGTACCTACAATGCCCACCGTACCTACAATGCCCACCGTACCTACAATGCCCACCGTACCTACAATGCCCACCGTACCTACAATGCCCACCGTACCTACAATGCCCACCGTACCTACAATGCCCCCCGTACCTACAATGCCCACCGTACCTACAATGCCCCCCGTACCTACAATGCCCACCGTACCTACAATGCCCCCCGTACCTACAATGCCCACCGTACCTATGGCGTGGCGCCCCCTGTGACTACAATGCCCACCATACCGGTGATGCCACCTTACCTTACAATGCCCACTATTCGTATGATATGATGCCAACAACAACAGCAGCTCGTACCTACCTATGATGCCAACAACAACAACAGCAACTCGTACCGATGATGCCAAGCATGGGAGTGCGCAGCTCGTGAGTCATACTGGCGACAAAGCAGCTCTTGCTCCTCTCCGCCCCCTCCGCCTCCCCCCTCATCGCATCCGCCTCCACTGCGGCCCGCCTGCTCTGCTCGTACTGCCGCCGCTGCAGCCAGGCCACCACCGCCACCAGCGCCACCAGCGCCAGCACGAGCAGGGTGAAGAGGGTCGGCATTACGTATTCTTCAAACCGAGACGGAGGCTCCGTGAATCTGTGGGATCGAAACAGAGAGAGAGAGAGAGAACAGGCGTACGGTGTGAGAGAGAGGGGGAGATCGGGCAAGCACAGGATAACCACTCTTCTGCTGCCTGCCTGCTCTGCTACTGCCGCCGCTGCAGCCAGGCCACCACCGCCACCAGCGCTACCAGAGCCAGCACCAGCAGGGTGAAGAGGATGGGCATTCCGTACTCGACAAACCAAGGCGGAGGCTCCGTGAACCTGGTGGGTCAGAACAGAGGGAGAGGTTAGGGGTACAGTGGGAGAGAGAGAGTAGGGGATTGGGTTACCAGTAGCGCCAGCACCAGCTGATTGTGATTGGCTCCACAAACCAAGGCGGAGGCTCAGTGAATCTGATGAGTTGAAAGTCTCAACTTGAGACAGAGGGAGGGAACAGGCGTACAGTGGGAGACAGTGAGGGGCGGGGCTGGCTACCAGTTTGTATACATACAGTACAGACACTCCAGCCCACCCACCCACCTGCACCACAATGAATCGTTTTCCTATGCGCCACAAAGTGGACTCACCTCTCCTCCACCCCTGTTCACCCACCTGCACCACACTTGGTAGCGTCTGGGACCAGCAGCCGGCAGTGTGAGGTTCACCACTGCCCGCTTTTCCCACACACGCAGCACCGAGGGGGGCGACGGCAGCAGCGGGGCGACTGGCTGGCCGGGCTGTGGCTGGAAAAGCAGCGGCGTGGGGCCTGCGAGCATGAGTGGGGAGGCAGGGTCTGTCGTGTCGTAGAGCTCGAAAGATCGGTCTGAGCCTGCATGGGAGGAAGGGTGAGGAGAGGAGGGAGCGAGGTGAGGTGAGGAGAGGGCAGGAGCAGCAGGGAAGAGCAGCGGCGTGGGGCCTGCGAGCATGAGCGGGGCTGCAGGGTCTGTTGTATCGTAGAGCTCAAATGATCGGTCTGAGCCTGGGTTGGGACGAGGCAGGGAGGGATGAGAGGGAGGGAGGGAGGGAGGGAGGCAGGCAGGCAGGCAGGCAGGCAGGCAGGCAGGCAGGGTGCGACGTTCGAGTAACCTTCACAGGACAGGGGATCTGCAAGCATGAACGGCGCCGCGTTGTCTGTTGTGTCGTAGAGCTTGAAAGATCGGTCGGAGCCTGGGTGGGGAGAAGGGTGAGGCGAGGAGGGAGGGAGGGAGAAAAGGAGGGAGGGAGGGAGGGAGGGAGGGAGGGAGGGAGGGAGGGAGGGAGGGAGGGAGAAAATGAGGGAGGGAGGGAGGGAGGGAGGGAGGGAGGGAGGGAGGGAGGGAGGGAGGGAGGGAGAAAAGGAGGGAGGGAGGGAGGGAGGGAGGGAGGGAGGGAGGGAGGGAGGGAGGGAGGGAGGGAGGGAGGGAGGGAGGGAGGGAGGGAGGGAGGGAGGGAGGGAGGGAGGGAGGGATTGAGGGAGGAATGCAAAGTGCGAGTAACCATCACAGGGTATGGGAGGAGAAGATCTCTGAGAGCACGCTCTGCAGGACGATGACTTGTGGTTGCCTCTGTCTAACACACCGTGTGCGTGTACGGTGTACGGCTCATGTGGCACTAAAGAGGTGCGGTTGGGTGCTACTCACGTGCGGACGGAGTGGAAGATGAGAAGATCTCTGAAAGCACGCTCTGCACGACGGCCGTGAGGTTCCCACTGCACCTGGGGCCAACCATATCGCACGCATGCGCGCGCGTGCACACACACACACACACACACACACACACACACACACACACACACAGCTACTCACGTGCGGACGGAGCGGAAGAGGAGAAGATCTCAGAGAGCACACTCTGCACAATGGCAGTGAGGTTCCCGCTGCACCTGGGCCAACCATATCGCGCGCACGCACGCGCGCACACAGACAGACACACACACACAGCTACTCACGTGCGGACGGAGTGGAGGAGGAGAAGATCTCAGAGAGCACACTCTGCACGATGGCCGTGAGGTTGATGGTGGTGGTCACTGCCCCCACCACTGCTGCCTGTGCCTGCTGCTGCTGCTGCTGCTGCGAGGGGGACGCTGGGAGAGGCTGCTGCAGCACCGGAAACACCACCCCTGGTGTGGAGATTGGGAGGAGAGAAACGGAGGAAGGGGAAGAGGGCAGTGAGGTTGATGGTGGTGGTCACTGCTTCCACCACTGCTGCCTGTGCTTGCTGCTGCTGCGAGAGGGACGAGGGGAGGGGCTGCCGCAGCACCGGAAACACCACCCCTGGTGTGGGGATAGGGAGGATAGAGGGGAGAGAGAGGAAGGGAATGAAGAAGGTGTTAGGCAGAAGAGGGACAAAAGAGGGAGCGGCTTTGCTGTGAGAGAGGGAAGACAGAGGAAGGGACGGAAAGAGGAGAGGAACTGACAGTGTCTTGTGTCGACTTAAAACACACGAGGAGGAACGAGTACAATACGGATGGCGTGAAGCCAAGAAAGATTGGAGACATCATGAGTCACGTTGGCAGGCAGAGATTCGCCGACGCAGAACATGAGAGTCACCGTTATCGTCACGTTATCGTCACTCGACGCAGCACATGAGAGTCACGAGTCATGCAAAGCAACAGCGCGAGAGACTCACCCAAGCCAGCAGCGCTGGTGGCGGCGGTGGTGGCATAGGGCAGCGTGAATGTCTCCTTGGCAGAGGCACGCACGAGAGAGAGCTCCGAGGGAAAGGCCTGGAGGGCGTCTGGGAGGAGAGCAGCGTCCCACTCACCGCCCACGTCCAGCACCTAGTGGTGGGTGGGGTGGGTGCAGTGAGGGGCGGAGGTAAGGTGGGAAGCGTTCAGTGCCAAGGTGGGGCGGTATGGACTGGACACGTGAAATGAGGGTGTTTTTGAGACGTCTCAAAAACACCCTCATTTCACGAGGAGAGCAGCGTCCCACTCACTGCCCACGTCCAGCACCTAGTGGTTGGTGGTGGGGTGGGTGCAGTGATGGACGGAGGTAAGTTAGGGAGCGTTCAGTGCCAAGGTGGGGCACGGTATGGACTGATCGACTTGCTTGGCAGAGGCGTGGTTAAACAAGCGAGCTCGAATGGGTACCTTGGAGCATTACATTGGAGCAGGCGCATGCATGCAGCACGGCGGTTATGAGGCGCCTCAAGAGCAAGGGAGATCAGACGGGTACTACCTTGGGGCAGTAAAGCGGAGCTGGCACGCATGGCAGGGCGGTGAACGCATCGGTGATAGAGGCGTTGTTGCTGCGCTCAAATGCACGCCTGTGGGGAGGGAGAGTGGCACGGGAACAAGGCATGGGAGGGTGCTCAGTAGGAGGGAGCATCGGTGATGGAGCATCAGAGTTGTTCCGCAGCTCAAAGGCGGGGCCATAGGGCGAGAGAGAGGCCAAGGGGGGCAGGCATTACGAGGGAGGGAGATCCACCACAGAACTGATGCCTGCCCAGCATAGATAGAATGGCAGAAATGGCTGCGGCAGTTTTTGAGTCGACTCAAAAACGGCTGCTGCAGTGGCAAGGAGGAAAGGAGGTACTGTTTGCTCCACAGCTCGAAGGCATGGCTGGCTGGCGCGTGCGAGAGAGGCATGGCTGGCCGGCCCGAAGACACGGGTGCTTCGGTTGTTCGGTCACAAAGCGGCAGGTTGAGATTCGAGAAAGCATCAGTGATGGAGACAGATGCAATGACTGACCTCTGAGCGTGCGTGACATAGAGACACGCAAACGCCCCAGCGCCTCCAGGCCGGGTGGACTTGGTTTGGCTGAGATACGCCAGCCAGCGCCTCTCAGAGAGACACGTGTCCAGCACCCACTGGCCGTCCTCGGTCATGTGACCTAGGGATGACACCAAGCCTGCCAGCGTCTGCACACCAGGGGGGGGAAGGGGGGGGGGGAGGGGTGGGGGGGGTGGGTTGCAGTGGAAACGTCACGAGGGAGGGGTGTCAGAGGGAGCAGCACCGGAATATGATGTAACCAGTGCATGTGATGACTAAATTCTTTTGTTTCACCCACCTGCGTCTGTGTCTGGCCGATATGCGCTAACAGCTGCTGCTCCAGCCTCCAGCGCAATCGCTCGCTCCCTTACCTCCACACATCCCATCCCACCCCCTGCCACTGGTACTGCCTCGCCCAACCCAAGGCATCCCATGCAACACCTGTCGTTTCACTCACCTGCGTCTGCCTGTATGCGCCAGCAGCTGCTGCTCCTGTACCATCGCTCGCTCCTGTACCATCGCTCGCTCCTGTACCATCGCTTGCTCAATACCTCCATACATCCTGGGGCTGTGTGATTCTTTTCTTATTCACTCACCTGGGTCTGCCCGGTGTGCGCCAACAGCTGCTGCTCCAGCATTATGGCTCGCTGCGAACGTCATTGCCTCAGCTCCCCCTGCCGCTCCCCGTGCCACTGGTACTGCCTCCTCGCACAAGCCGGGATTTATCTAGAATTCTAAAAATATCCAAGCCAAGGCGTGTGATTCTTTTCTTATTCACTCACCTGGGTCTGCCCGGTGTGCGCCAGCAGCTGCTGCTCCAGCACCATGGTTCGTTGGGAGCACCATTGCCTCAGCTCCCCCTGCCGCTCCCCGTGCCACTGGTACTGCCTCGCTACGAATCGCCACACGCACACGCCCACGCCGATCATGATCCATAACGCTATTAACACGTGGAACACAGAGACTGAGGAGAAGGAGAGGAGGGTGGGGCGGAGGAGACGGAAGGGAAGGAGAGTTTGAAAAACTCTTATGAGAAAATCAGGCCAGAAGGCAGTGGGAGGCAGTGGAGTGGAGAGCTTTGGAAACTAGGGACGAACGGCGTGAAGAAAGCATGGGAAGCGGGGAACAATGGAAAGAAAGTGACAGAATTACTTTTTGGAATTCTCGCACGTAACGGCATGAAGGAAACATGGGAAGGAAGGAAGGAAGGAAGAAAACGGTAAGGGAACGACTGAAAGCCGCGAGAGGCGCGAGCGCGCCGCATGCACACGGCCAAGGCAATTGGACGACATCTGAGTCGGATTTAAGGTCACGGCCACGCCGAGAACTGCGGGTCAAGAAACGACTTTTGAGGCGCCTCAAGAGTCGGGCAAGGCAAAGACCAGCTGCGTGCAGCTGAGCTGAATCAACGGCCACGAGGGGACATTTGAGTCGACTCAGAAGCGAGCGCGTCACATGCTCGCTCACGACCAATGCAACGAAGTTCATCATGAGAAGCTGGATGGATGACATATTTGCGACCATCAAACGTCGCGGCCACGCCGAGAACGATACTGATCACTCGGTGACGGCGACGGAAATTGGATAGTGAGACGATGGCTGCTCAAATGGCGGGTGTATTGGAGTCAACATTGAGAATTCTCAGATGTGATGTGACGACCATCATATACTTGATCACTCGGACGACAAGGGAAACAGAATCGTGAGGTGCTAGCTGACAAAGTGGCGGGTGTATTGGAGTCACTTTTCAGAATTCTCACAAGTGACTTTAATATACTTGATCACTCGGACGACACAGGGGAATCGGATTGTGACCCGCAACCGGCGGGTGGCCGGGGGGCTGGTGATTGGGATGGGAATCAAAGATGAACGGGACGCATTATGAGGGGGCGCTGCGAGGAGTGACGCTGAGGTTAGGGACGCTGGGACGGGGGTTTGAGGTGAACCAGACGAACGAAGATGCGAAAAGCCCCGCCGCCTCTCACGCAGGGGAACGCAAAGCCAATGGCTCAGGAGGAGACGCGGTCGAAAGCCTGCCGACCAAGAAAAATCATGATTGTGCCAGTGACGTGAATTATAAGCTGTCTCCACACTTGCTTCTTGACCAAGCTTTCCTCCGAGTGTATTATGTGCCGGCGCTTACCTCGTCTGCGTCTTCGTCCATCATAACGTTTTCCTGCTTTCTTCCCGCCGTCACTGGCGGAATCGTCGTCGCGCTTATGACACAGTGGAGCACGGTCCCGGCGGCGTCGGAACATCGGCGCGCAGCAGAAGTCGCTGCGGGCGTTACTATGGCTGCTCGTGTTACCGCTGTTACAAGGACTGCTACCATCGGCTCCGCGATATCCTAGCCCATCGTTCAGACGACAATCAGCGCTATTAGCCGTCGCGAGATCGTCGCGCTGAGCGACGGAACTTCCGTGTACTGCCTCTCGCACAACATTGACGCGGCCGGGTCGATGCGCTGATTGCCTGGATACTCCTACTACTACTGCTGCTTCCGATTCGTCCGGCGGGTTTACGAGACAATCTGCGTTATTCTCCGCATCAGCCGCTGTTCGCGCTACAGAAGCGTCAGATTCTCCTAGGGAAACTCCCGCAGTGTCTGCTCGACGCACAGAAGCGACGGCCCGCCATAGCGAGCCGGCATGCGTCGATTCTGTCGCGCGATCGTCGCGGACCTTTCCGCTGAAAAAGCGTTTCAACTTCCTGTGAGGCATTGCGAGGACGTGGTAAACGTAAACGGAGATTCTGGCTGCGAGGTACTGCTGATACTCTTTCAAACTAAGCTCGGACGGATAAGTGAAGCTACATAGGGCCTGTTGTGATGGCCGCAGATGGCGGAGCGGTGTTGATATCTTTGGGAAGTGCTACCCTCACCTCACCTTTCGATTCGACGTATCATAACTCTGTTCAGGTTCGTTTGACGCGGTTTAGTACGCTTAACCACGATGAAGGGCGGTAATTGCTTTAAACGCTTTAGACCATTGTAAACGAACGAACGAACCCTTTCGAAGTCAATTGTAAACGAACGAAAAGCAAAATTTCCCGAAATCTTGGTTTACAAATCTGCCTGAGGCCATGAAAGGTCAACTAACCAAAGCTGCAAGATGTGTGGTGGGTGCCATTGCTTGGTTACTATGTCGGTGGGGCGGGCTTTGGTGGTGGTGCTGGTGGTGTGGGTGACGTGGCACGCCAAGAGCTCAGGACAAGGTGCAACCCGAGGATCAGATTCCATCACCTTCCGCATCGCTGCTGCTGGAGGCTAAACGTGGTTCTGCTGAATATAGAGGTTTTTAACATGTTTCATTACGGTTCAGAACGGTTATGTTCTTACCTCGAAATCGTTCCATTTATGATGGCACCGCACTACAGCTGTGCTACTGCCACCGAACCTGTCGAAGCCCTCCATGTCATCCAGTCAACACGTCCACATGTGTACAGAACAGAATCAACCGCAACAGCGGCAATGTGGCGGGCGGCGGTACTGGTGGTAATCTACAGCTCCCTGGAGCAGGCAGCTTTCTTTTCTCTAATTGATAGTAGAGAGTTTTTGTCACCACCCTGCAAAAAAATTGTTTCGTATGTATCATTTTGCACTTGAATCCCCACGCAAAGCAGTGCACTATCTTAGCTCCACTGAGCAAGTGCAAAACACACAAACACAAAATAAACAAATATGCGCTTCTTCCTTTCCATTTTGTTGTAGAATTACTTGAAGCTTACAACCAATCTCCCTATCACTGAATTCACGGCTAACTATACATTAAGGTACGAGAGCGACATCAAAGGAACCAACGAATATGTCAAACATACTAGCAGACGGGCCTAAGCTTAGTAGCCTAGGCCACGCTAAGACTAGGAAGGAGGCGCCAAGTACGAGGGAGAGTTGAACAAACGGAAACATAATTGAAGAAAAGGATATTTGGACTAGCAAGCAGCAGGATACAAATATCAAACCCTAAGGGGCTGTACTCACTATTGAGTACCCCACTGCAGGCTACACAAATAACATACTTTGACACACCCCCATAGCCAAAGTGGGGTGTAATCAGCACAATGAGCAGGCAGTGCAATAGTTCACAATTATGAGCAAAGCTAGAGGCAGTCACAGAAGGCAAGTGAGGAGGAAGAGGGACTGTGGGAGGAGAGAAGATGGGAGGCGACGACTGAAGCTGCAGACACACGGGCAACAGGAGCAGCAGCTGGCACAGTGGCTACCGAGAGCACGACGGCTCCGGACTACAGGAGTAACAGGCTCTGCGGCTACGACGAGCGGCAGGAGCAACGGACCCACGGGCGACTGGCGCAGCAGGCTCGCTGGGCTACTAGAGCGCGACGGCTCCGGACTACAGGCGCTGCGGACGACAAGACGGCTGCCTCCACTCAACCTCCCCCAACTGTCCCGCACCCCCCACACACCCCCTGCTGCACCCCTAGCTCCACTCCCACGTCACCCCCCTAGCTCCACTCCCCGCGGCTCCCACACCTCCACCCCCCTCAGCAGCAGCTGCAGCAGTGGGAGACGAAAAAGGAGGAGGGGAAAAGGAAGGGGAGCACCCACACCTCGCACCCCCATGCTCGCCACCCCACACCCCCACCACTGCGGAACGCACGGCGGAATGGGAGCAATGGGCAGCACGGGGGGGGGGGGGGGGGGACGGGACGGGCTTCTGCAGGGGCGGCTCGCGCGGGTCCTGGGGCGACTGCTGCAGGCACGGGCTGCTCCAGGGGCGGCTGATGCAGGTGCGGGCTGCTCCAGGGGCGGCTGCTGCAGTGGCGGGCGGCTCCAGGGGCGGCCGCTGCAGGTGAAAGGTAGGAGGGAGGGGGGGGGGGGGAGGAGCGCGGCCCCCAGGGCGCCCCGACGGGCGACGAGAAAGGGAGCCGCGCGGCCCCCCAGGGCCGCCACGACGGGCGACGGGAAGGGCGCCGCGCGGGCCCCCAGAGCCGCCGCGACGGGCGACGGGAGGGGACCGCGCGCGGGCCCCCGTGGGCGCCACGACGGGCGACGGGAGGGGAGGCCGCGCGGGCCCCCGAGTGCGCCTCGACGGGCGACGGGAGGGGACCGCGCGCGGGCCCCCGTGGTCGCCACGACGGGCGACGGGAGGGGAGGCCGCGCGGGCCCCCGAGTGCGCCTCGACGGGCGACGGGAGGGGACCGCGCGCGGGCCCCCGTGGTCGCCACGACGGGCGACGGGAGGGGAGGCCGCGCGGGCCCCCGAGAGCGCCACGACGGGCGACGGGAGGGGAGGCCGCGCGGGCCCCCGAGAGCGCCTCGACGGGCGACGGGAGGGGACCGCGCATGCCCCCCAAGGGCACCACGACGGGCGCCACGGAAGGGTAAACCGCCACGCGCCTCGAGCGCGCGGCGGGCAGAAATTAGGGTATCTGCGCCGCGCACCACGGGGCGCGCGGCGGACAGTACGGCAGCGGAAGCAGGTGGTGGGCCCATACAGGAAGGCGGCAGTGACACACCGCCCTCTGATACCATGTCAAACATACTAGCAGACGGGCCTAAGCTTAGTAGCCTAGGCCACGCTAAGACTAGGAAGGAGGCGCCAAGTACGAGGGAGAGTTGAACAAACGGAAACAGAATTGAAGAAAAGGATATTTGGACTAGCAAGCAGCAGGATACAAATATCAAACCCTAAGGAGCTGTACTCACTATTGAGTACCCCACTGCAGGCTACACAATGTTGACATACTTTGACAGAATAAGTGCACGATGTTAGGCGATTAGCTCAAAATATCCAATACTATAACATAAATATTTGAATACCTACATGTCAAAAAATTATGATAGCAAAAGAAGGCCTGGATTAGGACGAGAAGGAATAAATGCGGGAAAGCTTTATGCACTGTGCACCTCCAACAGTAGGATGGGAATATCTATACTACAGTCTATGCAGCGAGCAGTTTTAACGCACCCCCTAAACTGATTCGAACAAGAACCAAGTGAAAGTCACACCTACCGAATATGTACACCGTCCGAGTGCGAAAGAGGAAGAACCGGGGACATGCGCAGCGGAAGATGTAGCAGCAGCCAGGTACAGCGGTGGCATGTGCAACGGTGGTAGATGATGAGGCGGCAGATGCAGCGGTGGCAGGTGCGCAGCGGCGGTAGGTGCGGGAATGACAGGTGCAGCAGCGAGAGGAGGATAAGGGGCGTGCCAAAATGAGGAGAAGGGGGCACTAAGGAAGGGCATCCCGCAGCCCTTCATTTGCCACGGCCGCCATCAGCCGCTCGTTATCCGCCATGTCCGCCACGCCCGCCACCTCCCACCACATCAGCAGCCGCGGCAGGGCGCACGACGGGCGCAGCAAGTGCGGCAGATGTGATGCAGATGCGGCAGCGGCATGCACGACGGCCGCCCTGTCGATCACCTTGTCGTCACGACCGTCACGTTGATGACGTGTTAGCGGCAGCGAGTCACTCCGCAGTAGCAGCAGGTCGCACTAGCAACAGAGAAGGCCGACGGGAGGGAAGGCAAGCATGACTAAGAAGGACAAGGAATGCCCTAAGAACTTACAGCTCTAGAAACCATGTCAAAAAGCTATAGAAAGTGGAGGAGCTATAAATTTTGAGAGAGCAAATGAGGGATTTGATTAGGAAGGGAAGAAAGAAATACAAGGTGAAATAAAAGAAAGCATTATTATAACACTGTACTCCAGCATGTAAATTTGGCGAATGACATGTCATTCTTCACTTTTTTTTTTAATGTAATCTTCCTTATTTTGGCGAGACCGAAGCATGCCCGACCTTGGCGACCCTCACCGAGTAACAATGCCGATTAATGACGTCGGCCATGCTCTACTGAATAAAGATGGCGGTGCAGTAGATACCAATATACTACTTAGAGATGCGAAACGCGGGGCCACGGTCAAAATTATTGTCGACGAAACAGCAAGCTACAGTATCACCAATACCATCACTGCTAGGAAACTGCAACTGCCATTTAACTAATGTTTATATGATATCGATGCGTGCAGGTCAACGTCACACCGGACACCATACATAACGCGTACATCATATTCGATTTCACTGCGGGGGGGGTGACTTACTTATTCCGCAAAGACTCAATGGTGCCCACCTATTATTTCTTGGGCGTGATTAGCTTCAACTGCACAATCCGCAAATTAATTGGATGGCAGGTGACTGCACCGTGCAAGTGAGCGCTTACCATATTGCCATACCCTTAAAGTTCAACCGAGTCTTCAATGGTCCACGACGAAACATGCCATAGTGGGTGGAGCTTAGGTGTACGCTGTTAACATTCGAGAAGATGAAAACACGACTCGTCAAGAAATTTGCAGTAGCCAATGTAAGTACACTATGACTTGCCAATAAAAGAACGTAGGATCTGGCCATTTTTCTTGAGGGCATGCCAGAAGGACTGCCACCACATAGACCACAAGGTTACATCATTAAACTCAAACCAATGACGTAGTCAATAGTATATTGATAGTTTTGACTAACAAAGCCTGAACTTGACGATATGTAGAAGTGCCTGGAAGGACTACTCGAAAAAATATGGAATTTGCATTCGCCCCAGCTTGCACTAATTAATTAATTTAAGTGATAGTAGTACCAATGGCCCATGCTTACGGTATAACAAGTGCAATACACACTTGTATATTCAGGTTCAGTACTGGTTGAGTATCTTGAAGCATGAAAAACGATACATGTTCGGCACCTTGTTAGCAATTATATACAGGGTAATCAGCTAAAATCCAGGGTTGCGTACAATGGCTTCTGTCGATACCCTCTTGCTGCTTCGTCTTGCTTGCCATCTATTGGTGCCGAGACCTTTCGTGGCTTTTGTTGTATCGACTCAAAAGGCATTCGGCGCCCCCCCCGTACTGTTGGTGCTGCTCTGGGTGTGATTACTTGTCTACAATCAACACCAACGCACATACCAAAAGCCTAGTGGCCTTATTAGTACCATCATTTATGGTACCAATCACAATTACTGCTTCTGCTGCTACTTCTAGACGGCAGCACAGCAGGCACAACCACATTAGCAGCCGTGGTGGCAATCTCTGGCACCCGCGGCACCCACTGATCCGGCACCATCGCAAAGTAAGTATGCAATCCCACTGTTGCTGCAGCACCATCTTCTACAACTTCTGCTGTGGCTGCTGGTGCTCTTGCTGTCGCTTCTCTTGTTGTTTCTGATCTGGTTCCGCCCCTTGCTGAATCAGCCTATACGACAGCACAGCAGCATGACCACACAAGCAGCCGTAGTAGCAATCTCCGACACCCTCGGCACCCACTGATCCGGCGCCATCACAAGGTAAGTATGCGTGGCCTTTCGGAACTGTTTCTTGTGTTTCGACAGAGATGTCACCTTTGGAGTTGAGTATTTGCGTGCCCCACCTCCCCCTAGAAGCCCAGAAGCTTTGATCTACCTCTCCAGCTGCTTAACCCACGTGTAGGGGCAGATGAAGTCGATTATCCCCACCATCACTGTTGATCGCTCCTCCTCTTACCCCACCAGCAGATAATAGTCCATGATGGCGTGTTTCTGGGGGTGGGGATGGGGAAGGGAGCGGGTGGGAAGGGCTGGTGTGGGTGGGGAATGAGGGACAAGTTATAACTGCTGCTCACCACGAGCGTCGACCGCTCCTCTCACTCCTACCATCAGCGAGTAGTCCATGATGGGACGGGAAGGGGGTGGGATTGGGGGAGTAAGGGGTGCTGTGCACGAGGATGGGGAGGGGAAGGGGTGGTAAGCGTGTGGGTGGGGAAGGGTGGTGTGCAACGGGGTGGGGAAGATCTACTGCGACACGTTGATGCTTGCTAGTTTAGATGCGTCAGAAAGAAATAATGCACATGGAGATTGCTTCAGCAATATGAGATGTACAAAATTGTTAATAATGAGAAGCTGGTAAATTCTGGCTTTGAAGAGGCTACAAAGGCGAGTTCATATCCAAAGTTGTGCGGTCATTATAGCCAAATAATACGACATCAAAGTACACTGTAACAGAGTAGTTAGTATAGGATCGTGGGGAATATTCGCTTTACTTGTCATAGGTCAATCACACGTCAGCGTTCGCAATCGCCACGAAGGAGCGCAGACTTTTTAGCTGTCTGTGCGGTTTGTCGACGGGGCATGGCGAAACTGATGCCATGCGATGCGATTTTTTTTTAGCTTCGCGAAAACCGCGAGCATGTACATCTCCGCTTTATCGACTTCAACGGTAAACGTGTTGGTTTGGCGGGCCTTTTGCTCCGCTGCGCTGCACATCTCCGCTCCCCGGTGCTCGAGCATGATGGTATGGTACGCTGCCCGCCAAGCCCACCACTCTTCCCCTCCCTTCCTCCCCTTCTTTCCTTTCCCCCTCTCCCCCCATCTCTGCCCCGCCGCTCTTTGGGGAATGCTGCTGCTGCAACCGAATTCCAAATTCCGAATTTCAAGCGTGAGATGAGAAGCCATCATACTTGCTTCACACCATTTCCTGCTCCCATCATAAAACCTTCTGTTGTTTGGAGCAGGGATTGTCCAGCTGTTTTTTTCCCCCGCGGAGCTCGCCTTTCCCAACCTGCATTCTCTAGATTTGTCCGTTTTATGGCGGTCTCCCTGTCAGCTACTCCCGTCGTATTGACTCGTTCAGTCTCTGGTGCCTCTACTCGTTCATCCTCATTGCACTCGAGTCCCGCCTCAGCCATGGCCTCCCTGCACCATTCCGGCCAGCTCATCCCTTTGCACTCTTGGCGAAAGATTGATCTCAAGCTATCCTCGTCTACTGTTTGCGCGTGTCAGAATTCCAAGTCCGCATTCCCAATTTTCGCTTCCGCAGCGGCCGGCCCTTCGACCCCGCCGCCTCCCTCCAATTCGTCGAATCTTGGCTCCCTCTCCTCCACGACGCAATTCCAGCAGCAGCATCAGCACGAAACCACCGCACCCATTGTCCATTCCCACGAGCCGGTACCCCCAATGGAACTTTTTCACCGGGATCCGCAGCATTGGCGGGAAATCATGCTGCGAGAGAGGCACCACGAGGACGAGCTGTCGATCGTCTTGGGATTGGATTTCGGCGGGACGGGAATCAAGGGAGCGCCGGTGGACGTAGCGACGGGAACGCTGCTGCTGGAGCGGTACCGTATTCCCACGCCCAATCCCGCCACGCCACAGGCTGTCGCTGACGTCATCAGGCAGATCAAGGAGCACTTCCGGGTGAGTGCTGTTTTCTGTCAATTGCTGGCTTGTAAGCTCGTTTTTTACTTATTTTTTGTTCACCAACTGAGAATATTCAGGCCCATTGGTTTTCTTGTTCCTCCTTCAAATATGACTTCAACTTTCCTCGCTCTTTCTTCCCGCATCCCTCCGTTTGCCTCGCCAGTGGGATGGGCCAATCGGAATTGGCGTTCCGTCTGTCGTCCGACGTGGCATCGTCCGAAGTGCTGCCAATAGTGAGTACAATCAATAACAAGTTCATTGCTCCTCGAGCACGATGGAAGTAGTTTGAACCGATGAATCATCTCAAGAGGAAACTATGTGATGGAGAATGGGGCTAACCAGAGACAAACGGAAAAAAAAGGGCAAAGAATAGAGGAGCATAGTCGCTCTGTGGTAACAAGATCATGAATCCAGCCTTTACCTCATCCTAACTTCTTCCCTATTGCAAACCCCCTCCACCTCCGGAACAACGTTCGCTCCTCGCCTTGTCTCAGTTGACAAGTCCTGGATCAACATCAACGCCGTTGATCTCGTCCAATGCGCCACAGGCTGCCACGTGGCAGCAATCAACGACGCGGATGCAGCAGGATTCGCCGAAATGAGGTTCGGCGCCGGCCGACCCTTGCAGCGGGAAGGCACGGTCCTGATGACCACGTTCGGCACGGGGATAGGCACGGCACTGTTCGTGGGCGGGCATCTGGTGCCGAACCTAGAGATGGGGCACATAGAAGTCAACGGGGAAATTGCCGAGAAGGTGGCATCTGGAGCAGTGAAAGAGAAGACGGATATGAGCTGGAAGAAGTGGGCTGGGCGGGTGAACGAGTATTTGGCGCGCATGGAGCATTACCTTCAGCCGGACCTTATTGTAAGTGCTTGGTACTGTATCGTGTACAGAGTGTACAGAATTGGCGCGCCGCCAGTGGTAAGCACAGGACGGATATGAGCTGGAAGAAGTGGGCTGGGCGGGTGAACGAGTACCTGGCGCGCATGGAGCATTACCTCCAGCCGGACCTTATAGTGAGTACAAAGTACTGTATCGTGTACAGAGTGTACAGAGCGTACTGTATCAGCAATATGGATTCGGCGGATGTGAGGTGGAAAGAGAGGGCCAGGCGAGTGACTGAGTACTTGGTACGGATGGAGTGTTACCTTATTTTTCGTTGAAGGAATTCATACATTTTGCAGAGGTGCTGTGGCATACGCTGTAAGAAGTGGGCCGGGCAGGGAATAGGGACCTTGTAGTGTACGGTGCTACTGCGTCACAGCCTTATTGCAGAATACTCTTCTGCCCGTCCCACTTTTGAGGCGCCTCAAAAGTAGCAGAGTACTCTTGTGCTCGTCCCAATGTGGTTGGATTGTATTTAAGGCTGTAATGCATGCCTAATGCGTGAGCTGACAGTTTTGTTCTTTGCTGCTGTATGTTGCTGTGTGCTTGCTCGCAGGTGATTGGTGGAGGCATCAGCAAGAAGGATGAAAAGGTGAGAGGGCAGAGTAAGGGAGAGCAATGTTGCTATTCGACTTTGTCCTTCACATGCGATCTCCATGCTTGAAATATCACAATCCACACTCCCCTCCCTTTCCACGGGCATGCCTTTCCAATTCTACGAATGTTACCACCATCCCCTGCAAGCCCCCTCACTCTTACTCCCCGTCTGCACTGACTTGCAGGGAGCTCGTTTGCCCAATGTTGCAGGTCATCAGATCACCTCCGTCTACTTACTCTCTCTCACCCACCCATCCACCCCCTCCTCCACTTTTCTTCCTCACCCCATTTCTTCGTTCTCCCTCCTTCCTCCCCTGCATCTGTTGTCAGTGCCCGGGGCCACTCTTATCGTGCTTTTGAGTCGACTCAAAAGCTTCCTCCCCTGCATCTGCTGTCAGTGCCTTGCGGCACACTTATCATGGCAGTGGATATGACTCCAGTCCGCCCACTCTTATTCCCCGCCTCTCCCATCTTTCTCACTTACGATTCCCACCCTGCCCCCTCCCCCTCCTCCCCCCACCACCTGCAGTTCCTGCATCTGCTGTCGGTTCCAGGGGGCACGCACATAGTGGCAGCGGAGATGCCTTGAATCCGCGGACTCTCGTTCCCCGCCTCCATTCTCAATCCCCCTTCCTTCCCCCAACCCCTCTTCCCGCAGTTCCTGCATCTGCTCTCAGTACCTGGAGGCACGCCCATAGTGGCAGCGGAGATGCGCAACGAGGCGGGCATCGTGGGGGCGGCTGTGGGCGGGTCCATTCTGCTGGGGGAGCAGCGCGCCGCCAGGGAAGCAGCCCGCCTCACACCAACTCTGCTCAGCTGATTGTAGTCTCAACAGCAAATATACGGATGGGTTTTAGGCGCCTAAAAAATAAGCTATAAGGGGGTCACCATTTTGCTGGGGGAGCAGCGCACCGCCAGGGAAGCTGCCCGGCTCACACCCACTCTGCTCAGCTGATTAATGTCTGAACGGCAACTATACAAAGTGACAAGGTGTTGGTGCTTCTGCACAATAAGCAGCCCCAGGTCTGCCGGGGTTTAAGGATGCTGAGCTGAATAAAGTTACTGCTGCATATTACGGTACTAGGAATACGGTACTAGGAATACGGTACTAGGAATACGGTACTAGGAATACGGTACTAGGAATACGGTACTAGGAATACGGTACTAGGAATACGGTACTAGGAATACGGTGCTAGGAATACGGTGCTAGGAATACGGTGCTAGGAATACGGTGCTAGGAATACGGTGCTAGGAATACGGTCGGTGCTAGGAATACGGTCGGTGCTAGGAATACGGTCGGTGCTAGGAATACGGTGCTAGGAATACGGTGCTAGGAATACGGTGCTAGGAATACGGTGCTAGGAATACGGTGCTAGGAATACGGTGCTAGGAATACGGTGCTAGGAATACGGTGCTAGGAATACGGTGCTAGGAATACGGTGCTAGGAATACGGTGCTAGGAATACGGTGCTAGGAATACGGTGCTAGGAATACGGTGCTAGGAATACGGTGCTAGGAATACGGTGCTAGGAATACGGTGCTAGGAATACGGTGCTAGGAATACGGTGCTAGGAATACGGTGCTAGGAATACGGTGCTAGGAATACGGTGCTAGGAATACGGTGCTAGGAATACGGTGCTAGGAATACGGTGCTAGGAATACCTGGTTGCTAGGAATACGGTGCTAGGAATACGGTGCTAGGAATACGGTGCTAGGAATACGGGCTAGGAATACGGTGCTAGGAATACGGTGCTAGGAATACGGTGCTAGGAATACGGTGCTAGGAATACGGTGCTAGGAATACGGTGCTAGGAATACGGTGCTAGGAATACGGTGCTAGGAATACGGTGCTAGGAATACGGTGCTAGGAATACGGTGCTAGGAATACGGTGCTAGGAATACGGTGCTAGGAATACGGTGCTAGGAATACGGTGCTAGGAATGTAGACATGACACTATGAGTAAGAAATTACACGTATCCATCGCCAATTGCCACGGGATATTTCACACACCAGTCAGCTCGTGCCTTAGCGCCTGAGCTAAGCTTTGTGCCTCCATCATTCAGACGTGTGTCTCACTCAGACCTGACATGCGGTCCGAACCTTGGCACCAGCCACTCATCACCTCAAAGAATCATTCACCTTTCAGGGGTCACCCCTTATTTTCTGGTTTAATTAGTTTGCTAGGCGACCTGCACTTCTGACGTCGATCGTGCAATCCTAATCCAGCTGCTATCCTAGTGGAGAGGAATGTGATCCGACCATCTGCCCACCAAAAGCCATCAGCATCGGGTGCTGCCGTCCTTGGTTCTTAGCACCACACGCACCGGCCCGCCGTCAAACCCAAAGTCAGCCCCGAGCCTGGAGGAGAGGAAGCGGGTGAGTGAACGGTCCTCTGCAGCAGCAGCACTAACCACGGTCTCCCACACAGCCATCACCATCTGGTGCCTTCCTTGGTTCGCAGCACCACACGCACCGGCACACCATCAAACCCAAAGTCAGCTGCAATTCTCGTGGAAAAGAAGCGGGCGAGCGACCGGTCCCCTGCAGCAGCGGCAGTCACGCGCACCACAAAGGTGGGCGGGCGTGACTTGACTTGCACGATACTCTTGACGGAAGCTGCAGTGCACGACCCAGGAAGCTTCCTGAGGGTCTGGGTAGGGCAGGCGAGACAGGAAGAGGAACAAGTGAAGGGGGAGGAAGAGGAGTACGTAAAGCATGCATGCGTACTGGTGCACAAGTATTTCCGCACAAGTAGCGCCACAAGTATTTCTGCAATAAGAAAGTTGGGAGAGGGAGGGAGTTGCTTGTAAAACGTCCATGATGAAAGTAGTGAAAATGGTTGGAGCCGGAAACGTTATGCAGGTTTGAGTGAAACAAACGAGAGAGATTAAAACAAAATCGGGATCAGTACAACCTGTAACCTGTCTCTCCAAGTTCACCTGTGCTTCAGCCGGGCAGTGGGCAGCATGGTTATAATTAAAATCGAGTCGACTCTAAAGCCAAGCCACTTGCGGCTCACCTGTGGCAGCCAGTGCTTGAGGCGCGCAGCAGGCAGAATGTTGTTCCACCGGTCATACGCGCCTGATACCGCCTACATGAATGCATCAGCTCCTTGCCTCCCATTTCTTTGCCACCAGGCACCTAAGAAAGAAACCCCCACTCTCACCTGTGGCAGCCAGTGTTTGAGGCGGGCAGCAGGCACCATTGTGTTCCACCGGTCATACGCATCTGATACCGCTTGCATGAGCTCCTTGCCTCCCTCTCCCCGACACCTCAGCAGCGACCCCCACGCTCACCTGTGGCAGCCAGTGCTTGAGGCGGGCAGCAGGCAGCATGGTGTTCCACCGGTCGTATGCATCCGATACCGCTTGCATGAGCTCCTTGCCTCCCTCCCCGTGCAGTGCTGAGGTGAACACTATCGGCACGTTGTGCAGCTGAAGGGGGGAGGGGAGGGAGGGGATAGTCACAGCGAGAAAGGGCTTGTTCAGTCCACCTAATTCAATCTGAGACTGTATGAGACAGTCTGATACCGCCTGCATGAGCTCCTTTCCGCCCTCCCCGTGCAGTGCTGAGGTGAACACTATCGGCACATTGTGCAGCTGGGAGGAGGAGGGGAGGGGGAAAGGCAGTCCTGAGACGGCCTGACACAACCTGAGATGGCCTGGATGAGCTCCTTGCCTCCCTCCCCGTGCAGCGCTGACATGAACACTATGGGCACGTTGTGCAGCTGAGGGGGGAGGGGGAAGAGCAGCAGGAACAAGTTTGTTCAATCAATCCACCGGACAAGGCCTGAGACGGTCTGACACGGTCTGATACGGTTTGATACGGTCTGAGACGGTCCTAGATGGTCCGAGACGGCCTGCATGAGCTCCTCCTACCGCCCTTCCCATGCAGCACTGTAGTGAACACTACCAACACACGCTATGCACCTGAAGGGGGAAGGGGAAAGGAAACTAGCACGTGTGAGACGTCTGTGAACTCAATACTACGTGGCTTTGAGAACTTCCCAGTAACCAGCTAAAAGTATTTCTAGTAGACTCAAAAATCTTCTCAAGGTACTATCTAGTCCCATTGGTGGGTTCTGTACCTGGGTTGGGAGGGACGCAAATGCACAGCATGACTGGGTAGACCACCATGGACCCACAAGCCATGCCCCAGCACCACCCCTCCATCACCCACCTGGGGCAGAAGTGCAGCAATCTCCACAGGGGCCGCCCGCCTGACCTTCTTGTGCACCCACCGCTTGTCCCTCCAGTGACATCCCAACAACAACCCTCATTAACTCACCTGGGGTAAAAGTGCAGCGATTTCCAAAGGCACGGCCCGCCGGACCTTCTTGCGCACCCACCGCTTGTCCCTGTCACCCCCATAGTGACACCCCCAACTGCCCGCCTGCACACACCTGCGGCAGCAGGGCAGCAATCTCCAAAGGCACGGCCCGCCTGACCTTCTTGCGCACCCACCGCTTGTCCCTGTCGCCCCCCACTGCATCCATCTTGTTTGCCGCCACCACCACCAGCGGTAGGAGCAGCAGCAGCAGCACCCCAGTACACAGTTTTTAACCTCCTGAGGGGGGAGCTTTGAGCAGTTTCGAATACACAAAACAGACCCTCCCTCCATCACGCACCTGCGGCAGCAGGGCAGCAATCTCCAAAGGCACGGCCCGCCTGACCTTCTTGCGCACCCACCGCTTGTCCCTCTAGTCCCTCTAGTGACACCCCAACTGCCTGCCTGCACACACCAGAGGCAGCAGGGCAGCAACCACACACCCACCTGGGGCAGCAGGGCAGCGATCTCCAAAGGCACAGCCCGTCTGACCTTCTTGCGCACCCACCGCTTGTCCCTGTCGCCCCCCACCACGTCCATCTTATTCGCCGCCACTACCAGCGCCATGCCATACCTCGAAAACAAACTCACTCATTCACTCACCTGCGGCAGCAGTGCAGCAATCTCCAAAGGAACGGCCCGCCTGACCTTCTTCCTCACCCACCGCTTGTCCCTGTCGCCCCCCACCGCATCCATCTTATTGGCCGCCACTACCAGCGCACGCCCCTCCTCCCACACCCACCGCGCCAGCGACCTCTCGGCTGCCTTGAGAGACTTCTCCTCTTCCGCCACCTGCCACACCACAGTGGGGTTCGCAGTGCTTGAGGTAGAGTTGAGGAGAGGGAAGGAGCACACACTTGTTGGCTGCCACCACGAGTGCGCGCCCCTCCTCCCACACCCACCGCGCCAGCGCCCTCTCGGCTGCCTTGAGAGACTTCTCCTCTTCCGCCACCTGGCGCCGGCGGAGGGGACGACAAGACGAGGGATAGGGATTTTCATTTCACAAGGAGAAATGTGGGGCTCTGAACTTCGGACAGCTCACATGCATCGTGGGCAATGCGGCTCAAGAACACAGCTTAGAAGCTCACCACCGCGGCATCCAGCACCAGCACCACCACATGCGCTCGCCCAATGCTCCTCTCCATGTCCATGCGAACCAGCGACACCACAGCACCACCGGCACCACAGCACCACCACCCAAGGTGCCTCAGAAATCAACTCACCACAGCAGCATCCAGCACCAGCACCACCACATGCGCTCGCCCAATGCTCCTCTCCATGTCCATGCGTGCCAGCGACACCGGCCCCCTCTGCCTTGCCTGCGCTGCCTTCACCCACCCCGCCGTGTCCACCTGCCGTGGGGTTCAGAGCGGTTCAGAGGGGTTTAGGAAGAAGCCGCGACACAGGCCCCCTCTGCCTTACTTGCACTGCCTTCACTGTGCTTACCTGGCGTTTCAGAAAGGTCCAGAGGGGTTTAAAGGGGTTAAGAGGGTCTCAGAGGAAAACAATAGTGACAGAAGGGGAGTCTCGCCTGCGCTGCCTTCACCCATCCCGCCGTGTCCACCTGCCATGGAAGAGACACGGATTTAAGATTACGGGTTCAGAAAGTTTCAGAGGGTTTCAGAGAGGTCTAGAGGGGTTCAAAGGGGTCGAGAGAGTTTCAAAGGAATAAATAGCGACAGAGGGGGAGAGTTGCGTGCGCTGCCTTCACCCACATATCGTGTCCACCTGGTATAGGAGAGAACAAGAGGCCCGGCCCGAACCTGAGGTTGGAACTTGGAGGAGTAACCTTCGAAGGAAATTAAGAAGGAAATTAAGAATACCCCCTGTGGGACAATCCTGACACCCAATTGCGTTCCCCTTGGTGTGACTTGATGCCAATCCTGATGGCGGTGTTCCGGGTAAGATCCAGTTTCGATTCCAATAAGGAAGAAAACGGGGCCCATTTCAAGCTCCTGTGTGGTTACAACCCTTCCCCCCACCCTCCTTATAGAACACCACTCCACAACCTCCCCTTCCTCCCTCCCCCCCACTCTTCTTCGGCCCCCTCCTCCCCTCTCACCAGCCACATGGGCTTGCCCTGGTGAGTATTCTAGAAATCTAACAAACTCACAAACAACCGCTCTCTCTCTCTCCCCCTTACTCGTCATGCCATCCCCCTCTCCCTCCCCCCACCTCCCCCCTCCCTCTCACCAGCCACATGGGTTTGCCCTGGTACGTGATGCCAATCCGCACAGCATCCCTGCTCAGGCCCCGTCAGCACACGCTGTGCCGTCCCCACCCCCCACTCCCCACACCCCCCTCTCACCAGCCACATGGGCTTGCCCTGGTAGGTGATGCCGATCCGCACAGCATCCCTAGTGAGTCCCGGTTCCGGCCCCGTCAGCACGCGCTGCGCGCCCAGCAGCGAGTTGACCAGCGTTGACTTGCCCACGTTCGGCAGCCCCGCTATCGCCAGCTGTAACGGTATCTCTGCTGCCTCTGCCGCCTCTGCTGCTGCTGCTGAGGATGATAACAACGCTTGTGCTGCTGCTTCGTCCTCCTCCACCTCCTCCTCCTCCTCCTCCTCCTCTGCCGCATCTAATGTTGTTATATCCAGAGCTCCAGAGGCATGAGCAGCGCCACCATTCAGTGCATCAGAGCGCTCATTGCCATCAGGCAACAGCGCAGCAGAATCGCCCCGCTCCGCGCGTGCGCTTATCCCTGTGCTGCACAGAACACCACCAAGGAGAGAGAGACGTGGAGGGAAAGCAAAGCATCGCATCACACAAGGTTGCCTGATATTTTCCCGCCTGAGCCACTTTAAAAGCAGCAGGGCCAGCCCATTGAAGCTCTCATGAGCTCACTAGAGAGCATCAAAGCCAAACACATGAGGAAAAAATCCCCTCCACCTGAAACAACCACATGTGCTCACCTGAAATGGCCATCTTTCTTCCTTCCATCTCCTCTCTCCGCTCCCTCATTTCCGTCTCCCTCTCCTCCCGCTCATCCCTTTCCCTCTCCTCCATCTCCCTCTCCCTCTCTTCCACTGGTCCCTTCACAGCAGCATACAGGTCTTCCAATCCCTCCCCAGACTCAGCAGATATGGGAATCGGGTCGCCAAACCCCAGCGAATAGGCTTCTGCCACGTGGCAGGCCAGCAGGCCTGTGCTGTCGCCGCCCAGCCCCTCGCATTTATTCGCCAGCACTACCACCCGGTGCTTTGGGACGGAGCGGCGCAGCCAATCAGCAACCTCCACGTCAGCAGGTTGAATTCCAGCTCTTAGGAAAGGGGTTCCGATGAGGTACGGTGGGTGGGAGGGAAAGAGGAGAGGGGTGGGAGTGAGCAAGAGAAAGAGCAAGATGAGTGAGTGTTGGAGAAGGAAACATTGGGGATAAGAGAGAGAGCAAAAGAGTGAAGGATACAAAATAGGGAGATTCAAAGGAAAAGAAGACGGGAGGGAGGAGTGGAGGGGGATGGGGTTGGTGAAGGGGAGGGGGGAATGGGCGGGGGGGTACAATGGAATAAGAGCGAGAGAAGGGGAGCTGGACGGAGGAGGAGAGAGCAGAAGAGAGAACAAAGGACCGTGCTGCATGGTATCAGAGCACTGCACCGTGCACACACCCACCTGGCATCCACGAGAAACAGCACCGCAGCTGCCTGCCCCAGCAAGTACGACGTAATCTCAGCCGTTCGTTGCAGAATCGACGCCTCCATCGCCGCACGTTCCGCCTCTGGTAAATTCCCCAGCAGGCTCGGAGTGAATCCCACAAGCCTACTCCCACCACCACTCTCTGCTGCCCCACTACCCTCATGCCCCCGGTGGGAGGCAGAGGTCGCGGGTTCGAGTCCTGCTGTGTCAAATACTCGAAAGCGGAGCCCAAAGAAGGAGCACACGCCCTCACGCACGTCTCTCGTCATGTGGCCCTGCGGTGTGTCGCATACCAGAGCCTCCCTTCGCCGCATGAGTCTGGATGGATCGTATGGGCGGGCGGATGTACGTATGTTGAATAAGCTGAAAGAATACATAAAGGGGTGTCACATTGCGCTGCATTAACCTGCACGGGGGTGGAGAGAGGTGGAGGGGGGTTTGCTTCTGTGCAATCAGGCTACTTACTTGTTGAACAAAGCTGACTTCCCAACGTTGGGTCGCCCTACGATCACAACAATCGGACGGCTGTCAGCCATCGCCACAACCGGTATGCTCGGCTCCTCCGCCTCCACTGCTTCATCGCTATTGTCACCCGCTGCTGCACCCGCGCTATTGTCACCCGCTGCTGCACCCCCGCTATTGTCACCCTCCCCGTCTTCGCCTGGTCGAATAGGTGACGCAGTGACGTCAGAATCCGATGGCACCACGTCAGCACCGTGCGAGGTGGAGAGGAACCTCGTCAAAGTGTGTGCTGGCGGGGAGACGAAGCTCTCACGACCCCAACGGTCGATCAAGTAATTTGCTCTGAACGCGACGTCACGGCTACCGCGAGGATCTGCAGTGAGTGACCGTTGGGTTGACTCAAGTGGCCGTTGGGTTGACTCAAGTGACCGTTGGGTTGACTCAACGGCTACTTTGCGCGGCCATGGATAGGATCCGAATCTTAGGTAATGCGTATGATCGGATGGACAATCAAATGGACGGTCAGATGGCCGATCAAATGGACGGTCGGATGGACGATGCGGATCGTAAGCGGTCCTAAGTGGGTTTCCTGTTGATTGCTGCGCCGCTTGTGGGACGGTTTGGAACGACGCGGCGGCGGCGAGTGGATTGGTGTGGAAGGCGCGCTGAAGATGACTGGACACGGCGCACCAGGACCGGCGCCGCGCGTGGAAAGGCGACATGGAAAGACGATAGCGTCACGGTGTCATGGGACGGTGCGGGAAATTCATGCGAGGCAACGCGACGATGCAATGGGCGGTATGAGACTGTGGGAAGTCAACAGGTGCTTGTGGGAAGCTGAAGGGCGATTTTCAATTTCAGACAGAAAGGTCAAGTATAGTTAAATCCGAACCTTCTATGTTTTGACGAATTATTTCTTAGCGAATATCAGCTAGTCGACGCGGTGTCTGACGTGGCCTTCATACTCACCACAAGAAGTGATTTCGGGTGGTGGTTCCACGAAATTCATTTCTCGACACACCACCAGTTGTTTCGGCTCTGGTCGCCATAGCAAATTCTCGCAGAACTACGAGTGCTATTTCGGATTCCGCTCAAATCGTGCGATAACAGGGTAACACAACTACGATCCCAACAAGTGAATGCCGAAACACTTGTGGGCTTGCCACAAGCTGCTGCCAGATACGGAATAGCACCATGAACTCCAAATTCTGCACTTCGCCCGAAAACAAGAAATCCGGCAGACCACCAGACCAGCCTGCACCTGTTGCTTGAAATTTACTTTTGAGGTTGTTTATCTTCGAGCATTTCAGTTGCTCACCTCCTACTCCTCCATACCTGTATCGTCTTGGGACTGGGAAATAGGAGCATTGCTCGAATATCTTGGCTATTTATATAGCAATGGCTGTCGTTTCTCCCAGCTGCTCGCTTCGTGCTTCCAATGTCTCTACCATCGCGACATCTCTATCCAGACGCCCCACGAATGCGCGCCTCGCCTTTCCACAACCGTCCACCATTCTCCCCGCCATCTCCGGCGTTTCCACTCTCCGTCAGTCCATCGCGCTCTCCACCCGCGTAATCCCCACCCCCGCCTCTCAACACCGTCCCAGCCGCCAATCCACCCACTCACGCGTCGCAGTAATCTCCGCCGCAGCCGCGAGCGACACTCCCGAGGCCGCATCGTCTGCTTCGTCGCCGCCAAACCCGCCGGTAGAACGAGTCCTCGTCGTCGGCGCATCCGGCGGCGTGGGTCAACTATGCGTCGCGTCGCTCGTAGCTAAGAACCGCTCCGTGCGCGCGCTGGTTAGGAGCGTCGAGAAAGCCGAGTCGCTATTCGCCGACGCGCCCGCGGATTTGATTCAGATCGTGACCGCAGATCTCCGCCAGCCCGGCACCATCTCCCCCGCGCTCTTCGCCGGAATATCCGCAGCGATCGTGTGCGTCGGAACGACGGCGTTTCCGTCGAAACGATGGGACGGCGACAACGGACCGGAGCAAACAGGTACGTTCCCAGTCCAAGCTTGTTGCGATCTTGCCGGGTGTGCTCTCGGTTATTGGGATGCATGTGCTCTCGGGTGACCATTGGCGATTCGTGCTTCGCCGTCCAAGCGGTGGGACGGCGACAACGGGCCGGAGCAAACAGGTACGTTTCCATCCCATGCTACTCGGTTATTGTTGCGATCTTGCGTGGTGTGTTGCCGATTATTGGGATGACACGTGTGTGCCGATCATTCCCGATTCTTGCTTTCCCGTCCAAATGGTGGGACGGAGACAACGAGCTGGCTCAAACAGGGAAGTTCGTACGCTGATTCTTGATTCTCCCCTTAAAGGTGCACGCGCGGTTATTGGGGTGTGTTGGGGGGGCATTGGGGACCAATTGAGGCCAGTGGGGACCAGTGGGGTACAACTGCTCCCTTTTCTGAGCATTAATAAACCTTTCTGGCTCGAAGTTATTTTTAGAATTCCCAGCTTTATTTAACCACTGCACGCAGCTCCGGTACGGTCTTTAAATCTCTCATATTCTGAGCTCCCATTCCCGTCCTCCTTACACCGGAGTGAAGAACCTCCTAGCGGCTCTCCCTCGCGACCTTCCGCATAACATTCCTATAGTTTCCCTCATAATCATTCTTCCTCTCCACCCCACCCCACCCTTTCCAATTAGCCAGACTACATAGGGGTGATGAACCTCTCCCGCCTTGTCTTAGTCTCATCAGCCGGCGTCGAACGCTACAGCCACCCCCACCCCCTCCCCCCCTTCGCCAGACTACATAGGAGTGAAGAACCTCCTAGCAGCCCTCCCGCAAGACCTCTCTCGCCTCGTCTTCGTCTCATCAGCCGGCGTGGAGCGCTACCACCAGCTGCCCTACTCCACCCTCTTCCTCATGTGCTCATTTCAACCTCTCCCCCCTCTCTTCCCCAACCCCCCCCCCCCGCACCCCCCGCCAGACTACATAGGGGTGAAGAACCTCCTAGCAGCCCTCCCCCGTGACCTCTCCCGCATCGTCTTCGTCTCATCAGCCGGCGTGGAGCGCTACAACCAGCTGCCCTACTCCATCCTCAACCTCTTCCTCACATGCTCATTTCCCCCCCCTCCCCCCCCAACTTCCCCAACCCCTTCCCCCCGCCCCCTTCGCCAGACTACGTAGGAGTGAAGAACCTCCTAGCAGCACTCCCGCAAGACCTCTCCCGCATCGTCTTCGTGTCATCAGCCGGCGTGGAGCGCTACAATCAACTCCCCTACTCCATCCTCAACCTCTTCGGGGTGCTCAAGTACAAGAAAATGGCCGAAGACCTCGTGAAATCCTCGGGCATTCCGTACACTATCCTGCGCCCAGGCAGGCTCACAGACGGGCCCTACACCAGTTACGACCTGAACACGCTGCTCAAGGCAACGGCTGGGATGAGAAAGGCTGTGGAGGTGAGGAGAGGGAGTGATACGTTCTCAGGGGAGACGAGCCGAGTGGTGCTGGCAGAGGGGTGTGTGCAGGCCTTGGGGGTGAAGGCGGCAGAGAATGAGGTGTTTGAGATGCTGTCAGTGGAAGGGGAGGGTCCGGGCGGGGACGAGAGCGCGTGGGATAAGATTTTTGCATCGGCTCCTGCTGGGAAGTGAAGTTGATTGGGTTGATGGAGGCCGGAATCAAGGGCTTGAGATGGAGAGGGGCGGGGGAGGATGAGAGTGCATGGGAGAATGGAATTCACATCTGCTCCTGCAGAACTACCACGGTATGCTGTATAGTTTTACCGTAGATGGTAAGAGAGCAAAGGTAAAAGGGCAGGCAGATTGGGTGGTGTGGGGAAGTGGACTTTCAAGGGTGGTATGGTATGTATAATGTATGGTATGCCTCCTTCCTTCCTCGTTTCTGTAAGTAGCTTCTGTACGATTAGGTGGCCACTGGCCAACAGTGATACGCCTGCCTGCTTTGACAATCAGCAGCACGCATGAAGGCAAGTGTGTGCCTGCCTGCCCATCTGCTCAACAATTAAATCAAAATTCAGAATAACTATCGTTTTGGGCAGTCAAAAAGTCAAATACTGCCCACTGAACCTACCTACAGGTCAGCTACGGGCAGCAACACCTTGCACCTAAAATAAAAGTCAGCTGGAGAGGCACAGTCAGGTGCACAACCCATCAAAAGAGCATCTATGACTGGATATGCAGCCAGACAAACCAAGATACGTTCCTAAAAAAAACAGGGTAAAGTTCACTGAATACGTAGAACACAAAAAGGCACAAGCGCAGGTATGGGCACAGGCACGGGCACGGGCACGGGCGCGGACACAGGCACGGGCACGGGCAGGCACAGGCACAGGCATAAGCATGGCACTGGCGCAGGCAAATGCCTGCACTGTTAGTGCAAAACACAAACCAGAGTGGGGGGAAAGGAGTGGTGGTAAATCCGCCAGCTCCTTCCACCAAAAACACCATCTGCTCCACAGGTGTTGGGACAAAGGTGAGGTGAGGTGAGGCTGCTGCTGCAGTCTCTGCTGCAGACTAGCTGGGAAAAAGAATCAAGCGCATTAACCATGCTGCTGCTGCAGTCGCTGCTGCCGCCGCCGTTGCTGGCTGCTGCCTTGGTGCCTGAACGTGTTGCTTCTGGTGCTTCTGGTGATTCTGGTGTAGCAACGAGGCGACAGCAGCGACAACCAATGCAGCACTGCTGCAGCTATGGCAAAACGTGCTGCTCCTCCTGAGACGTCAGGCACTAGTAGTTGCTGGGTTTGTGTTGGCACGAGACGATAACCACATGTGGTAACTCGGGAAGGTTGCAGTTACCAACCAACCACGGAAGCTGACCAGAGTTGGTGCTCGATCTGATGTTCTACTAACGAGGTGGTAGCGCTGTGAAGCTCTGTGGAGCACGGCCGCTAGAAACCGTCGATGAGAGCTTCCAAAGCTGTGTAAGAAGTAACGCGTAGATGTTGGATGGAAAAAGGTGTTGCCCAGATCCAAGGAGAAGAAGATGAAAGGTGGAGGAAAGGTGGAGCAAAGTGGGAGGACATGCGGAGGACATGCGGAGGACAGGCGGAGAGAAGGTGGAGAAAACAGCGGCGGATGTAGGAAGAGGGAAGCAAGGAAAAGCCGAGAGGGATTAGGCGGAGGCGAGAGAAGCAAGACGAAGAGCGGAGGAGGTTGGGAAAGTCAAGGGAATCTAGGAGCGAAGAGCAAGCTTGAGGCGCGGCGTGGGGTGCAGGTGCAGCACCATGAACTCTAGACGCGTCTGAAACTCCTCGGGCATGTCTGGCGACATGGAGAACTGCGGGGGAGGGGGGGAGACAGACGGAGAGAACAGAATGGAATGATATATGGCGCCTTAAAACTGGAGCAGGTGCAGCACCATGAACTCGAGACGCGTGACAAACTCCTTTGGCATGTTTGGGGAAGAAAGACGGGCGAGACAAACATAGCAGTCCGTTTTTTTTTTGCCTGAGAAACGGGAGCAGGTGCAGCACCATGAAGTTGAAGGCGGGCGTAACCGAAAAGAAATACACAAAGGAGACATAAAATAAAAATCAGCGAGAAAATGGGCACAAGTCAGTTGCTTACCTCGAATCGGTGCAGCAGAATGGCGACAGCAGCGCGGATGATCTTGAGCGACAGCCGCTGCCCCACGCACGACCGAGCGCCCGCACCAAACATGAGGAACTGCGGCCCCGGCTCTGGCGCCACAAACTCATAGTCATGCCCAGGGACCATCTTCCCCTCCCTCCACGGACTCGCACCACTCGCACCACCCACACCCGCTGCTTCCTCTGGTTTTCTCCCGCCCTCCTCGCCTTGCCGCCCGATCCCCGCTCCTAGGATCCCATGCGTCCCCTCTCGGTGAGCCATTGAGCCTAGGCCCGCGCCCACGCGGGTATCCCGTTGCCAGCGGAAGTGGATGAATCTATCAGGGTTGAATTTTGCTGCGTCGCTTCCCCACAGGGCTGGGTTCAGCTGTAGCTGGTACACTGGCAAGGCTATAATCGCCCCAGACGGTACCAAGTGGAAAGAGCTGCTACCACTGCCGCCATTCCCACCGTTACCACCCACTCCATCCCCGGTATTGGATCCCTCAGTACCGTTTCCCCCACCACCCGTTTCCCCCCCTCTAGAAACGCCAAGACCACCACCGCCGTCGCTGGAGCCGCTACTGCCACCACTGCCACTGCCACTGGGAGCGGACAGCCGTTGATCTTCCCTGCTGCTGGGCGCAGACAGCCATAGATCTTCGTTCACAGCAGCGCGTGTGAGCATGGGGAGAACCGGCATGCACCGCGCTGCCTCGTATATCACCGCATTCAGGTAATCCAGCCGCAGTAAATCCTCGTCTTTAGGCGCCTCGTTACCGCATACAGCTCTGATCTCCCGGAACACTCGGTCCTGCACCTCAGGGTGTAGCGACAGGCACACGAGCACGCGTTTCAGGAGCGCAGGCACGAGGAGGTACCCGTGAAACATGAGTGCTGCTGCCTCTGTCTGAGCGACCTCTTGTGTGTAAACGGGTTGGCCTAAAGCGGAGCGCTCTGCTAGCATTGCTGAGAGGAAACTCTCCCTTAACAGCTGCTGCTGCTGCTGCTCCTGTTCCTGCTGCTGTGTCTCCTGCTGTTGCTCCTGCTGCTGCTCCTGTTTGGTCTCGGCCTCTGATCCCTTGGACTCCCCACCACCACTGCCGCTACCAGCTTCTCCCGCTCCTCCTTCCTCGGACCCCTCGCCATGTCCCCTCCTCTGCTGCTTCACGTCCTTGGCAAACGTACCCGATACAAGCTGGTGGATCGCCCCTCTATAGTCCTCCGCTACACTCATCAGCTTCCGATATGCCGGCAGCCACACCGGAAGGTAACCAAAGCTCGCGAAATCCTGCACGGAATGCGCGAAAAACTCCAAGTCGCTGGCAACGCGGTCCTTTAAGTCCGAGTCGGGAAACGCGGGGCCGAATAAGGAGCCTCCTAGAACGCCGACGACCATGTCTTTGCACGCCTGCGTCACGTCCAGCTCGCCGCCAGACGCGGAGAGCGCGCCCCACTCGCGCGCGGTCACGTCAGCCACACGGCACGCCACCTCGTGCACCTGGAACTTGAGAGTGGTGTGGCAGTGGTAGTCGAGAAACGACCGCCGCGCGCGAGGCTGGAAGCAGCGGGAGAGAAGGCGGGAGGAGGGAGGAGTTAAACTCCCAAGTTAACGCAACTTACGGAGCCAGAAAAAAGAATAGAATAGAAAAAAAGATACGTACCGTACATAAAGTTCGGGTCCTCACAGCTGAACCCGTGAGACAGCCTGTCTGACAGAAAGTTTCGTGGAACTTGCCTGGATGAAGGTGGAAAAGCAAGCGGAGTTCTTCCCGAGACACGCTTCAATCACGCGGCAGTACAGCGGCGACCGCTCGCGCGCGTGCATGAGCACGTTGCGAACCTGCTGCGGGTCCTCCACCGATATGAGCAGCCTCACGGGGTTGAGCCAGAGCCGCACCACCGGCCCGTACTTGGCGTGCATGGCGGCGAGCACATCTGCGAGCCGCGATTCAACGGTCGCGCGAGGCGCGTGCGCACGAGATAGAGGGAGAGAGTGAGGAGAGGGAGGGGGGGGGGGGGGGGGGGGGAGGGAGGGGAAGGGGGAAGACGTTTGTTTGGCGTGTGTAGCGGCGAGAAAATCTGCGACCATCAATTATAAGTTAGCTCAAAATGTTTTAATATCTACACGAACATGAAAATAACTCTGTGAACTCCGCTCTCTCGAGCACAGCAATACAGACCACCGGTTCAAAGCTCGCTCAGGAAGTCCGAAGTGGGAACGGAAGTTATGGGGTTCAAGCAGTATGGCTGCGGGAGAGGAGAGAGGAAGCAGGAAAATTCTGAAACGTCTCAAAACTAGAAGGAGAAGCAGGGAAGAACCAGACGAGCTTACTTTTCATTCCACTCATGCCGCCAGCGTCTTGAATTTCCTTTATATTCCCCCAAAATGACTGGCACCTGGGCCCTGGAAACTTGTTCCCGCGTCGCCAGTAGGCCACTAGAGGGTAAAGCCATTTTATCAACCAGCTGACAAAAAATATCGCGGCTCCTACAAATATTAAGCGTATCATGTTGACTTGATAGTACCTGAAACATCATAGGGTAGTGAAAGGTCATCAGGTGGTTCAATATAACAAACGTCCGACTCGGAGTGGCGCGAATCGCAAATCCCCATACTCACCTACTAAAATATCGCGAAGAGGGAAACCTAATGGTGGGGAAACATTAATCCGGTCTGTGGGCCATGGAAGTGTAGGTCCTGTAGAAATAGCCGGCCTAAACCACCTCGCACGACAGAAAAAATTGATGGTGATTGACGTGACAAACGATGCAGGAAACAGGTGAGAGTCCAAAATAGGTCCAACGGCTGGAGGGAAAACCTAATCCTTATCCAACTTGTTTACACAACTGCCAGCCAGCCTAATTCCCCCCCAACCAAACAAAAGCAGTTGCCTTCTGTGCTGCTGCTCTGCTTGCTTGGGGGGCAGTGGCCTAGTGGGTGGGCCCTCTGCTGCTCGTCTCTTTCTGAACGGCCGCCAAATTTGTTTTGATCCACCCTTATGTTTTCGTTCTTTTATTTAACTGAAATTCGTCATAAAAGGCGACGTTGTACCACTGTAAAATATGTACAGAACTTCACAAGGCTGAAGGATAAAAACCCCGGTCAGCGTTGATAACAGATTATTCAAGCTGTGGACGCTGGGTGACCACCCATATTTTACATGGCATCTTCCATTCCTCTTTTCTGCATCTCCCCCCTCCCAATCCTGAAGTGGCCCAGTCAAGTTAGATGGGACTTCCGAAGGATGAGGTTGCGGGATCAAACCCCAGTGCCGGCGAGTTCCGCCAGCCCCCCAGAAGGGGGTTTCGCACTGCTCACCTGGGAGTGGATATGCCTTACCTCGATACCCAGCGAGGCGTGTAAATAAGTGGGTAGACGGATTACGATCGACAGCCGGGGGTAACCCAAAAGGGGGATTTCCCCCCTCCTTTACCTTTACCTCCCCCTTCTCCCACTCTCGCACACGGAAACTCCGCCTCTATTCCAGCTCAGCAAGAGCAGCGAAGCCAATTTGCAAAAAGAGCGATTTCTCGTCGACTTGGCGACAGGGTGGCGTCGATGGATTCGCGCAAACAAGCAACCTTGATTGGCTGATAAAAAAATCAAAATCTGCATGCTCGAGATTTTTCACCCTTTTCCCCCGCACAGCATCCATCTGCTGGGCGGAGTGGCTGCGACGCGTGCGACGCGTCAAACTTCAATCAAGAGGGCGACAAGTCAAACTTCGGGACGTTGGACACGGACAAGCCAATGAGCGCACAACTGTCGCGCCCGACCGAAGCAGCTCGCTCGGTTCGGTTCGTTCGGCTCACGCAAGTCACGCCGGGCCTCTCCCCTCGACTTGGGCCACCCTGCCATGTCAGAGTTCCCAACCAAGCAGGTCGGTTGGGGGGCGGGAAAACCAAGGTAAAAAGAACTATAGATAAATGAAGTATGGTTATGATGACTATGCAATGTCAGACCGACAACCCAGATATAATAAGGAATACTGGGTCAATCACAAATGAGAATGGAAGGAAAGCAATCGAAGCCGTCAGTCCGCGTCGATACTGGGTCAATCGCAAACGAAAGTGGAAGGGAAGCAATCGACGCCGTCGGTCCGTATCAGCACCAGTGCCAGATGCGTACGCTGAGTGCCTTCCTACTGTGACGTGTGGCCAACGTCAGGACTAAATTGCGTGAATGTTCAGGTCCAGATTTCAGGTACCTACATAGAAGATCGTTGCCAGTGGAAATAAATCGTGGTACATTATCTCAGTATCCCGCATAGCCACCAGGGAGGCCAGATATTTCGTCTCTCGTTTCTGATAGTTTCGGTGCCTACTCGCGACGATCTATGGCTGGAGTTGTCGTTGTCAGCTCCGAGGATCACTGGAGGTCAACCCTCAACGGGGCCAAGAATGACGGCAAAGTGGTGAGCCGACGGTCGATCTAGCTTTCAGCGTGTAGGGTCTGGCGATGATCCTGCGGTTACGTTATGCGCTCGCAGGCCCGGTATTGATGCAAGATTCCCTTTGTGTTTTTAGAATCGGTAGTCATCGCAACTTGCGTCGATCAAGTTTCCGACCTTGGTGCTACCTGACCATTCAGGTGATCGTGGATTTCACCGCCACTTGGTGCGGCCCTTGCCGAATGATTGGACCAATCTTTGCCGAGTACGCGACTCAATTTCCGTCGATAATATTCCTTAAAGTGGACGTCGACGCTCTCCCGGTTCGTGCTCCCCGTGATTCCCGCTGCCTGTTACTCCGTCAAGCCTTGTTTTCCTTTTCTGTCTTATCGAATGTTTTTGTGTGTTTGAAATCGCTAAAGAGTTTCTGCTTCCGAATATTGCAGAACGTGGCAGCGGAGTGTAAAGTTGCCGCCATGCCGACCTTCCATGTTTTCAAGGGCGGTGAGAAGGTGGATGAGCTTGTTGGAGCGAGCCAGGAGAAGCTTCTTAAGTTGATCCAGAAGTACGCTCAGTGAGCTGAGCTCTTTTCTCTAACATACCGATTTATGGGATCTCCATTCGCATTACGAATAGAGGTGACTGTTTGTTTAGTCATTCCTTCTTGTACGTACGGACAGATAGCTGCTTGCGTAAAAATAGTTTTTGGTGGGGCGGGGATCATGATCTTCTTGTACAGTACTAGTAGGGAGGATGCTCACGTTTTGGCTACCCTTGCTAGTGGCTTGTCACCTTCCTCCTGCACACCCATGTTTTTTTACGCCCTCGCGTACCATATTTCTTATCTTTTCCGCCGGAGTTTTTGTCCTCAAATACCTACACCTTTTGTGAAGTTTCCAGCTCCAATCGGGAATATTTGTGGCGCTAAAGAGTGAAACACACCACACTACTCTTCCTCATACGTGATAGATGATGTGTGCTGTAGTGGTAGTTCTACACTTGATCACTTGACTTGCATAGCTTACAGCATACTGTGTAACATGTTCTGCGTATGATGGTTACTGCAAGTGGAAATGCTATTGCAGGAAGGAGGTGGTTTGGCCAACGAAACGGTACGATTTCCGGCGATTGACGAATTGTCGCGCTTCTCAGGCGAAATACTTTCTGCCCGTGCGAAATACCTTTTGTTGCGCTCGGGCGGGTTCACGACTTGAATTCCTTTCGCATTACATTGGCACGCCAAGTTCCTTCGCGCCATGTTTCTCTTTCGCGCCTCAAAATGCCGAGACGTTGATGCTTTGCGCCGGGATTTGAGAAGGTAGAGAAAGTCCGCCGGCGGACTCCAGCTGGCTGGGTGCACAGTTCGCCGAGCCGATCCGAGCTGAGGGGAGGACTGGGATCAACATCACAGGCATGCGAAATAGTATGGTAACCCTATTCGATTGTATGCAAAACCGTCGATACCTCGGTTTCGGAGTTATTGACATATTGCCCTAGAATCGTGGTTCTATGTACTTCAAAGTCAGATTTTTACCACGCTTTGTTGTCATATAAAACTCGATTTATTCGGGCGACTGTTCTGCCATATGAGCAGCACTGTTCCCTACACCTGCAGAAAAAATAAAACCCAATCGGAAAGGGATGCGACTCGGGAGGCATCAACCCTAAAAACAATGCCCTTTCCCGTGTTTAGGGTTGATCCCTCCCTGAAATGAGTCCCGGTCCCTAGGGGTTTTATTTTTTTCTTGCCTGCCCTAACAGCACCCGGTAGCAATATATATTACTTTCATTCCAACGAATTTTCCGGTCGAAATTATTGTTGCCCGCAGGAATCGTTGTCAGGCGCCAAACAAGGCGCGGTAAGAACAGAATGAAAAGAAATCGAAAGCGTATTCGATTGTTGCACATATTGCTTTCTTTTTGTGCTGCGTCAGCTGTTACACAGTGTTTCGAGTGGCGGTACCAGACAGACTTGCGCAGTGGAACTGGGGTATCGACGGTTTTGCATACAATCGAATAGGGTTACCAGACAGTTTTGCATGCCTGTGATGTTGGCCCGGGAGGACTGCCTGCCTGCCATGACCGTGACGTGTTGGCAACGCCACTTCAGCCCCAAGGATGTTCAGATTTTCAGGACCACTTCGCCACGTCAGGGCGAATGTTCAGTGCCCAGATTTCAGATGAGTAAAGGCTGTCATGTTTCGCCAGTGAAGATCATAAAGCCACCAGTACAATTTCTCAGTATTTTCCATACCCACCAAGCACGCTGACTAGCCCGTTTCATCGCTCGCTATCTTTATTTTCTGTACCTGTTCGCGACGATCAATGGGTGGGGCAGTTATCGTTGTCACCAACGAGGCTGAGTGGGACCGCTGCCTCGAGGAGGCTGGGGATAAAGCGGTGAGCTGATTTGACAGCGTCGATCGCTCTCAGCGTCGCTGCCGCGGTTGATTCTGCAGTTTCGTTATATGCCGTCGCAGGCCGGGGATCGATCCAATCGATCCAACATTCCGTCGCCGTATTTTGTTTGTTACACTCGGTGGTAGTCATCGCATCGTAGTACTGAACTTGATCAAGTTTCTGACCTTGGTACTCCCTGATTCTTCAGGTCGTCGTGGATTTTCATGCGGTTTGGTGCGGGCCGTGCAAGGTGATCGCTCCAACTTTTGAGGCGTACTCGACTCAATTTACAAACGTCGTCTTCCTTAAAGTGGACGTCGATGTCGCTCAGGTTCGTGTTTGCCGTGATTTGTCCTGGCTGTCGCTTTGTCTTCTTTTCTCTGCTCTGTCGAGACCTGCTTTTATCTGCTCTTTATCGATACGTTTCGTCACTGATGGTTCCTGCTTCCTAACATTGCAGAGAGTGGCAGAGCTGTGCAATGTTTCCGCCATGCCGACCTTCCAAGTGTACAAGAACAAAACTAAGGTGGCGGAACTTATTGGAGCGAGCAAGGAAAAGCTTCTTGCGTTGATCAAGCAGTATAACTAGGATGTCGACCTAGTGAGCTGAGCTCTTTCCCTTAGGGTTTCCTAGGGTATGGTACCGATTTTTTGGATGCCCATAAGCATGTTCAGGAACTACAACTGAGTATTTATTTTTGGTATGTATGAGAGAATGGTGCATTTGCTGGCCCTTCTCTCCTTACATTTGTGGCCACACGATCATGCCCTCTCCACCTCCACACCACCACTTGCTTGCATTGCATCAACCAACCAGCCATTGCAGGAACCAGCAGAGTGGACAAGCCCCGCTTGATCCTGTTGGTTGTGTTGTCATGTCAGCCCGGCAGGCCCAACAACAGGTGGTAGTTACATTCTTACAGAAAGCTTGTTTGTAGCCCGTAAGCCAGGGACTCTCCAAGTGAAACCTAGGGATTGGGCCGAGGTGATGGTGAGAGACTCGTCGAAGCCTTTTGTACTCGGGCTGGACATAGTTGACTTCACATTGGCATCAAATGTGGATACCGGCGATAGAACCCTGTTCATGTTTTATCCCAAGGGATTCGGCTGAGGTGACTTTGAGAGCCGGAAGGCGCGGACGCGCTGGACACCTTTGAACTCGGGCTCGACGGTTGCATCGGCATCGAACGTGGATCCCGGTGATAGAACCTTGTCCAGGTTTGCCAACTTCTTCCCCACTTCCCCATTGACGCTGCAAATATAAAATCACAACACAACAAGAGAAGGAGAAAAAAAGCAGCATTTGAAGGTTGGAGAACTGGCATTAGCAGATAAATCTAGGCGAGCAGCATTGCCGCAGACGCACCTGGTTCCCGGGTTCTGTGCGACGTCATACGATGCACTCCGGCGATGAACACGAGCCGCCTTACGCAGCCTGCCAGCCTGGCTCCTCTGCTGCTGCTTCTGCTGCTCCTGGCTTGTCACTGCCTGAGAGTTGAGGAGAGGAGAGTTGAGCCTCCCATACGATGCCTTTGGCGGCAGCTGCTGCCGCAGCAGCAGGTGCTGTGGCTGCTGCGGCTGCTGCGGCTGCTCTTCAGGAGGGGATCGCGAGAGTGCGAGGGGTGAGTGAGTTGGAGAGTCTGATTGCTCCTCCATACCAAAAGTGAAGCTTCTCCTCTTTGGTTCCCCCAGCTGTGCCGCTGCTTCCAGTGCATAGGATTCACCTTCTGGTGGGCAAGGCTCGGCAGGTAGCGACGACGAAGAAGGCAAGATGCTGCTGGTCCGCCTTACTCTTTTGGGTATCTCTGCATGGCCTGCAGCGTCGGAACCACCGGAACTACCAGCAGGATACATCCTGCCTGAACTGGCTGAGGGGTGCAAGTTAGGTGCACTGGGGGAGCCACTGGCGCTGGTAACAGCAGCAACAGGAGAGTCACCAGCACTGGGAGCACGGAAGAATATGTCAGAAGCAATGGAGGGGCGTGCGGGAGGGGGGTCAGCTGTAAGAGAAAGACCCGAGGAGGAATAACAGGGTTGATTGGAAGGGGAGGCAGCAGCGACAGAAGCGTCTGCATCGCCTGCACTGCCGGCACTGGAAGCACCGGCGGCACTGGCTGCATGGAAGAAGGAACCAGATGCAGTGGAAGGGCGCTTGGAAGCGAACGCAGGCGAGCCCTGCAGCGATCCCCAGCTAGGGCGGCGCCGGTGGCGTCGAGACGGCGAGGCAGCAGCAGAGGCAGAGGGAGAAGCAGACGCAGAGACCGAGGCAGAGGCAGAGCCGGCAGAAGCAAAGGCACCAGAGCCGCGGGCTGACGGGCTGGCTCGTTTTCGTATAGAGTTGCCGGGGGAAGAGAAGTCCGGGAGGAGGGAAGCAGCGGAGTAGGCTTGCTGCCTCTGGATGTTCTTGGGATCCAGGTAGCGCTCGCGGCTCCACTCCCTTCCCTGCACGCAGTTCAAGCCAGAGAGGGGATTTTGTTTTGTTTCCTTTTAGAGTTCTAAAAACAACCGCTCACGGATCACTCCCTTCGCTGCACGAAGTCAAGCCAGAAAGGGTTTTTTGTTTGTTTGTTTGTTTGTCACGGCTCCACTCCCTGCCCTGCACACAGTCAAGCCAGAGAGGGGAGGGAGGCTGGACTTCTGAGGCGCCTCAAAAAGAGAAGTGGCGGATTAGGCTTGCTGTCTGTGGATGTTGGCTGGGTTTAAGCACCTCCACTCCTTCCCCTGCACGCACTCGCTGGGTGGGAGAAAGAAGTGGGTGGGAGAAAGAAGTGGGTGGGGAGAGACTTTTGAGGCGCCTCAAGATCCTCCCCATGTAAAATCCGCGAGAGATGAGACAACCTTTGAGGCGCCTCAAATGTGGTCCAGGTACCTTCACTCCTTCCCCTGCACGCACTCACTGGGAGGGGGAAAGAAAAGAAGTGGGTGGGGAGAGAGAGGATGTTTCAGGCCCTTGAAAAAAAAACAGATTTCGACTCAACGAGATTGAAGAAGTGTTTTGAGACGTCTCAAAACACTTCTTCAATCACAAGGATGTTTCAGGCCCTTGAAAGAGAACAGATTTCGACTCAACGAGCACAGATCACAGGCCAGCAAGCCCACTGGTCATGCTTCCCACACCCACATTGCATTCACCACTGGTTTCCTTCAAGCCTCACCTTGTTGAGTTTATCCATCAGATCGTCCATTGTCCTCTGCACGGAGGACAGACCCTCCTGTGATGACTCTTCAATGTACAGACGCCAAGCCAGGGAGCACGCTGGACATGCTTCCCACACCCACATAACACCCACATGACATCCACCACTGGTTTCCTTCAAGCCTCACCTTGTTGAATTTATCCATCAGATCGTCCATTGTCCGTTGCACGGAGGACACACCCTCCTGCGACGACTCTATCATCCTCTGTACAGATGCCAAGCCAGGAAGCACGCTGGTTACGCTTCCCACACTTGGTGGTATGCTAGTTGCTACCGGTGCCACAGTTAAAGCATCAGTAGGAGATCGATTGCTCGTGCTGTTAGCAGCGGCCGTGGTTATTTTCGGCCGCAAGCTGGTTGCTGCGTCGAAAGTTGCACCCACGGAGGATAGGATACTGGTTGACCCGAGGTTTACAGGGGGTAAACCTGGAATCAACCTGGATGTCCCATGATCGGTTGTAGGTACATTGGCAGGAAAAGAACTTTCTCCTGCTGCTGTGAGCTTTGCAGCTGCTGCAGCAGCAGGGGCAGTGGTGGCAGCAGCAGCAGCGGCAGCAGCAGAAGAAGAAGCAGCAGCAGCGGAGGCAGCAGCAGCAGCAGTGGTGGTAGTAATGGCTGATCCAGCTGTTTCTGCATCTGCGTCTACTTCTGTTTTTGCTTCTCCTTCCCCGGAGGTTTCTCTTTCTGCTGCTGCTTCTCCAACATGGCTTATAGAGGTGGATACATGCAGCCCTGATAGTGCTTCTCCTGCTGCCACTGCCCCTCCAGCCACTACTTGTCCTGCTGCCACTGCCCCTCCTTCTACTGCTTCTCCTCCTCCTGTCATTGCCCCTGCTGCCACTGCCCCTTCTGACACCATTTCTGCTGCAGGGGCCGCCCCTGCTGCTGCAGTCACCTGTGCTGCTGCTGCAGAAGAAGCATCTGAAGCAGCAGCACCAGAGTCAGAACCCACCACCACATCCTTTTCAACTATAGCAGCAGCATCACGTTTATCCCCACCAAAAGCCAAATCCCCATCACGTTCCTCCTCCTCCCCAACCTCATCCCATATCCCCCCCTCCTCACTCCCTTCCTCCAGCAGCGGCGCTAGCACCTCCGGCCGCTTGCTGCCTTTGCCTGCCATCCCCACGCACGCAGCACTGCCGAGACCGATGGACGGATCAGGCCAGACAGGACCCCCTAGGCACGACACAGTAACATCAGGGATTGCCCTGCTTGAAGGGCTAGATGTGCCACTGCCAGGAGTAGGAGATGGAGTGGTGCGAGAAGAAGAGGCGCGGTGGGATGCGGTGGGCGGCGGTTTAAAAAGAGGCAGGCAACCAGCGCTGCTCTGAACGGATTGAGCTGTAGCAGCGGCGGCAGTGGCGGCGGCGGTGGCGGTGGTTGTGATAGTGCTGCTGCTACTGCTGCTGCCGTGGAAGCTGGTTGAAGCGGCAGGAACACGTGAGAAGGGATTGGAGGAGGGACCAGGACCAGCATCAACATAGCCCTCAATTGAGCCTCCGCACTCCTCGTTCCCCACACTTGCTCTACCATCACTATCCTTGCCTCCTTCCATACCACTGTTGTCATCCATGTCAGGACGATTCTTGCCGCCCTTGCCTGTTTTGCAACTTGCACCGGACTTCCCGCCCGAGCCACAAGACAGGCCGAAACACCGCTGCTGCTGCCGCAGCAGCTGCTGATCGTCCGCCTCCTCGTCGTCCTCCTCCTCCTCATATGGTGGTGACAGATGTGAACCACGTGCTTCCCTGCAGCGTTGAGCCACGCCAGCATCGTTACGCACACACACACGCACGAGCGCCGGCGCGCGCGCGCAATTCCAAGCGCAAGCACAAGCACAGGCGCAGGCGCAGGCACAAGCACAGGCGCAGGCACAGGCACAAGCACAGGCGCAGGCACAGGCACAAGCACAGGCGCAGGCACAAGCACAGGCGCAGGCGCAGGCACAGGCGCAGGCGCAGGCACAGGCGCAGGCACAGGCACAAGCACAGGCGCAGGCACAAGCACAGGCGCAGGCGCAGGCACAGGCACAGGCACAGGCACAGGCACAGGCACAGGCACAGGCACAGGCGCAGGCACAGGCACAGGCACAGGCACAGGCGCACACATAAGCACACACACACGCACACGCACACACCCAAGCACAAGCAAAAGCACAAGCACAAGCACAAGCACAAGCACAAGCACACACACACATGTTTCGAATTGATCGGGGAATATGCAGGGAGGAAGCCAGGGGGGGGTGGAAGTGGAGGGGGATGAAGCGAAGCAGAGGAAAAAGTAAGGAGTGAGAGAGCTGCGAAACAGATTTGTTGGACATGCCTACTGGATGTAACGGTAACCAGGTCGTACCTGTTGTAACGGTAACCGCGGTAAATGAGCAAGCCCACATAGGCGATGCAGCAGAGCAGCGAGACAACGAGGCAGAGGATGAGCAGCGCCGTGAACTTCTGCACGTTCACCTCCGTTAGCACAGCAGAGGCCGTCTGGTCGTCGACACACATGCTGTCCTTCTGAGAAGGTGAGGGTGGAGGGAGAGGGAAGAAGAATGGGCAGCACCATAAGCTTCTGCACGTTCACCTCCGTTAGCACTGCTGATGCCGTCTGGTCGTCCACACACATGCTGTCTTTCTGAAAGAGGATGAGGGGGCGGGGGAAGAGGGAAGAGGGAAAAGGATTAGCAAAGCTGTAAACGTCTGCACATTGACCTCCGTCAACACTGCAGACGCGATCGGGTCCTCGACACACATGTTGTCCTTCTGATGTTCTGAAGAGGGTGGGATGAGGAAGAGGGAAGAGGGAGTACAGGATATGAACAAGTAATACATTTACACCTGGTGCAAAACTTTAGGTTAAGAAACGCACTCGTATCAAATATACGGGAAAGTAGCGCACCTACACTTTGTGCAAAACGTTGAGGAATGCGCTTACAGTTATTACCAAACTTGCGGTTAAGCAGTGCACTTACACTTGTATCAAACTTAGAAAGTCACTCCTGTATCTGTCCAAGGAAGCCATCAGAGGTTCAGAGGTTTAGAGAACACAAATTCTCATATATTATTTTCTTTCATATGCACCTGTAAGTAATGCACCTGTTCTGCTCACTAAAATCGTCCAAAGAGGGACCGAGTGAAACGTTTGTCTCCGACACACCTGCAAGTACTGCGCCTTGAGCCTCTCGAGCTCCCCTTGCATCTGACGCTCGTGAGGGGTCTCAAAAGCCTACCCACCTGCAGATACTGAGTCAACCAATCCACATAATCTTCTTTCTCATCCACCCACCTCCGCACCGCATCTGTGTGAGGAAAACCCCAAAAGGTACTGAGTCAATGAATCATCACATGTGGCTCTTTCACGCACCCACCTGCAAGTACTGCTCCTTGAGCCGCCCCTGCTCCTCTTTCATCGTGAGCTCAAGAATGGCCCGGGAGCATGAGCTTCGTTCACACACACATGTATGAAACAGGCGTGTTTCCTGTCGACGGGAGTTGGCCCCGCCTTCATTTGGCGACGCCGTTTTCGTAGTCAGGTGTGCGGGAGGTGCAGCCGACTGCTCTCTGTGGTCGACGCCGACTTAGGCGAGGAAGTCGGCGGGTTTGGTCGACTTCCACGGGACCACTGCGAAGCCGCCGACGACGGGAGGTCGGCGACCGACTTCGACTGGAGTGGTCGAGAAAGGGGTTCGTCGCCTGCGAGGACGCCGACTTGGTGAAGTCGACCTGGGCGGTCGACGAGCAGTACATCAGATGGCGGGCTCTTAGCGCCCAAGTCGGCGCCGACTTGGAGGATCAAGTCGGCGTGGTTAGCCGTCTTCAACGGTGAGCCGACTTGGAGGAAGTCGGCGACAGCGAGGCCGACTTCGGCGAAGCCGGCTGTGGTGTTAGTCGACGAGGTGAAGTCGGCGACGACGAAGGCGTTCGTCGACAGGACGCCGACCTACGGACGCCGACTTGGGGGGCGCCGACTTGTGGACGTCGGCCTCCACCGACTTGCTGCGCTGGCGGTCGACCTGCCTGGTTGCTAGGCTTGCTTGGCGCCTGATGTAGTCAACCTTTGTCATTGCTTTGTATCATTGTTCTCAACTTTTGTTAGTGAAACTCTTGTTGTTTTGCCCCGTGAACGCACAAGTGTTAGAGAACACAAGGAACGCTACGATCACTCGACCCACCCGTGCTTTCCCCCGTAGTCCAGCTGCTGGTGTAGAGTGACTCTCCGCACGCACATGTATGAAACAGGCGTGTCTCCGAATCCTCACACTCTTCTCTCGCACCCACCTGCAAGTACTGCTCCCTGAGCCTCTCCAGCACCCCTTTCATCGTGAGCTTAAGAATGGCTTGAGAGCATGATCTTCTTTCACACACACATGTATGAATCAGGTGTGTCTCCAAATCCTCACGCTCTTCTTTTGCACCCACCTGCAAGTACTGCTCCTTCAACCGCTCCAGCTCCCCCTTCATTGTCAGCTCCAGGATGGCTTGAGAAATGTCCGCCCCCACCTGTGACCCTTTGGGGAATGCCTGCAGGGTGACGGCAGTGAGAGAAAAGGGAGATTGGAAAAAGGCATTTAAGGTTGTGACATGTCCGGAGAGGGAGAATGGTGAGGGACGGCAGGGGAGGGAATGGGAGGGGAGGGGAGGGGAGGGAGGGAAGAGAGGGGAGAGAGGGGAGGGAAGGGAGGGAGGAGAGGGGAGGGAGGTGAAGGATGTGAGGGAGGGGAGGGAGGAAAACAATGCAATTCGCACATCCCAAGGTGTAAAAACAAATAAAGGTGAGGAATAATAGATGTGGAGCATGTGCCCATGCTCCACAGTGCCCATGCTCCACAGTGCCCATGCTCCACTCCCTCCCCGCATGCACACAGATTGTGAACACACGCATGCACCACGTGCACGACAGCACACCACAGTGCACCACACGCGACCATGCTGCACCCACAAAGGCGAGGTTGAGGATGGAGAAGGGCTGCGACGCCTGCACGGCATCACAGAAGGACGCCGAGAAGAGGTCGAGGTAGGGGTCCTCGTCCACTATCACTGTCACGCGCCCGGAGCTGAGGGAAGATGCATACTCGCTCTCCCCTGCCAGTGACACCAGCTTGTCCTGATGGGGTTTCGGGGTTGTTGGCAAAGTGGGAATAGGGAGAGGCACATTTCTTTTGATGCAGGCCTTTGTGGTAAGTGACTTCCGCACTTTTCGAGGTTTGGGGGACAGTGTGACACTGTTTCATCTCCCTGAACCTAGTCTCTTGGGGTTTATAAAGGCTGGGAGTCATTCCCAACTTGAAATGCTTCATAATTTTTACTCTGAGACTATAGTTGCTGCTAGACCGCCATTCGCTCAAACTATCATAGCGTCGTCTATTCTATTTATCTAATCAGGTGATTTACGGCATCTAGACGCGCCTTATCCAGTGTATAGCGCATAACTTTATGCAGAAGCCAGTTCGCTATCAACGCTTGAAACTGCTTAGCGCAAATCCGTCTGTGCACTCCCTCTTTCGCTCTAAACACATTTTAGCATGTAGTGACCATAACAAAAGATGCACTCACAGATGCAACGCCCAGCTGCAGCAGGTACGAGTGCACGAAGGAACCCTGCTGGTACCCAATGGGTGCATTGTTGGTGAGGGCAGAGTAAATGTCCTGGTGCTCGGGATGGTTGGGTAGACGGGCGGGTTGCAGGGAGGTGGAGAGGTAAAAGCTTGAATGCATGCAGCGAGAGTGAGAGGCGTGGGCACGCATGTATTGAGAAAGGAGCCCCACGGGTAGCCGATAAGGGAGTCGCGGGTGACGGTGGAGAAGTGTCCTAGAGGTTGGGGTGGGTCGGTGGAGGGTGGAGTAGATTTCTTGGTGGGTGGGTGGGGGGGGGGGCGCCTCCGGGGCAGGTCGCGGAGAGATAGAGAGATGCAAGCATGCATGCACGAGGTGCGAGAGATACCAGCGATATTCGAAGGTAGATGCATGAGGAAAGAGGACTGCCGAGAGCCGATGGGCGAGTTGCTCGTGAGGGCGCAGTAGTTGCCTTGGCGGGATGGGTGGAGGGTGGAGGGTGTTAAGAGGTGATGCAGGCGAAAAACGCCTCTACAGGGAGAATGAGAGGCATAGGCACGGATGTGTCGGGAAGCGGTTTTTGCTGATAGGCCGGGTGGGTGGATTGCGCAAGGGCAGGCTGCAATGAGACGAAGAGGCGTTGCAGGGTGCGGATGCAGTATGGGGCATGAAGGGATGGAGGAGAACCTGGAATTGGTTCGCAAAGAAGGTTGCTCTTCACAAAGGAGAGGAATTTTTTTATCCAACCAACATGTGCGGGCTCGTAGGGAACGAGTATGATGGCATGGCAGGTGCTCACGTCTAGCGCGAACGGAACAGAAGTGACTACAAGAAGGACAAGTGATTGTTCATAAGAAAAGGGATGCTGACCAGGATTTGCGGAACAAGCTTCTGCAATGTGAGAATGAAAGTAAGACTGCCACGTAGGATGTGGCTATGATGAAGGCGAGCGTGCCGAAACGAATACGTACGTTCAATTGGAAATAGTATTTCCTTGACTAAAAAAAAGTCTCACCAGGATTTGCGGAACAAGCTTCTGCAATGTGAGAATGGAAGTAAGACTGGCCACGTAGGATGTGGCTATGATGAAGGCGAGCAGCAGCCAGATCACCACAACCGCCCTTGCAAGCGTCGTGTGGATGTGAAAGACTGTAGGAGGGAGGTGAGAAGGAGGTGCGGCACACGAGAATTTGGGGGAAGGAGCCTTTGCACCGTGAGGCGAGCAGCAGCCAGATCACCACGACTGCCCTTGCAAGCGTCGTGTGGATGTGAAAGACTGTAGGAGGGAGGTGAGAAGGAGGTGCGGCACACGAGAATTTGGGGAAGGAGCCTTTGCACCGTGAGGCGAGCAGCAGCCAGATCACCACGACTGCCCTTGCAAGCGCCGTGTGGATGTGAAACACTGCAGGGAGGAGGTGTGACGCACACACACACACCATCACCACCACCACCACCACCACAGGTGGAAGACTGTTGAGACGTCTCAAACACCATTCTGGCAAGTGTCGTGCGGATGCGAAACACTGCAGGTGCAGGGAGGCGGTGTGACGCACCCACCCACATATAGAGATGATGATGCTGATGCTATGCTACTGCGCATGCCTATTACAATGCCGGCAGGAAGCAGAGCTGAGAAAATGCATGACAGTGGAGGGAGGATTAATATGGGGTTTGCAAGTTGCGACTGAGTAGAGCCGTGCATTTGAGATTTCATTTCTCAAACGCGACAAATGCAAAGTGATGGCTGTAAAGTTGGGAGTGAGTACCATGTAAGGAGAGGTGACTTCTGAGCTGATTCAAGAGTACTGTCTGAAATAAGAGCTCCTGTTTTGAGAATTCTCAAAAGCGACTCAGACAAGAGGCCTTTGAAATTTCTCCAAAGAGAGTTGTTTTTTTAGGCGCCTCAAAACTCAAAAGAGAGGTGACTTCTGAGCTGGTTCAGGTCAAGAGCACTGTGTGAAACCACTGCACCGGAACAGATTGTGAGAATCCTCAGAAGAGAGGAGACTGGGAAGGCCGAGAGGCGAGGGGAGCGGTGCAGAGAGGTGGGGAGAGGGCGCACCCGGAATGGAGAAGAACGTGTGACAGCCGTACCTGCACGCGAGGGGAAGGGTGGAAGGGACAACCAACCAACGGCACAAAGTGGGTGAAGGTGTGTCTGTCTGTGTGTCTGCGTGTTTGAGGTGTGACTCACCTTTAAACGACACGGTGGCAATCAAGTCGCTCTGCAACAAACACACTACCTGAAGCGTAACCAAGCAGCCCACCCACTCACCACACGGCTGTGACGAGGCGCTTCCTGCAGCGTGCCCTGGAAGTCAGGCGTGCGCTGCCTGTCCAGTTGCACGGCTAGCAGCCCTGTGATAATGCTGATGGCTGCAGTGTGACCTTCCCCAGATGCTACAACCACCACCACCACCTTCAACACCACAGCACCCCACTAAACGGCCCACCTACTCACCATACGGCTGTCATGATGCAGCGTGCCCTGGAAGTCAGGCGTGCGCTGCGCTGCCTGTCCAGCATCATACCGAGCAGCCCAGAGAGCAGCTCAGCCAGCAGCCCTGTGACGACACACAGAGCTTCAACTTGCTCCGACCGACACGTCACACGCCTGAAGGCTCAAACGCCGGGCCACTCACCACACGGCTGTCATGAGGCGTTTCTGCAGCGTGCCCTGGAAATCAGGCGTCCTCTGTCTGTCCAGCAGCACGGCGAGCAGACCCGTGATGATGCAGATGGCGGCAGTGACGGCCCACATGGAGGCCGTGAACGGGGAGAAGACCAGCCATGGGTTGTTATATGGCCGCGAGTAGCCCATCACGCTCAACCCCGATTGCTGGGAGAGGAGGCACGGGAAAGGGAGTGTAAGGGAGAAGAGGGAGGAGAAGGAGAAGGCAGCAGCAGCGGGGGTAGTGTGTGTGTGTGTGTGTGTGTGTGTGTGTGTGTGTGTGAGAGTGAGTTTGTGTTTGAGTGGGCGTCAATAGTGAAGCAGACACTGCAGGATTTGCTGCCAGGTCATGACCAGCCCAGATTATGAAAGAACATGGGAAGGGGAGAACAACAGCAGAAGTGGTGTATTAGAACCATGATTAGCCTATTTCCCAATGGGCCAATTCAACCACATGCCCCCCCCCCCTCACATAACTCCATCTCACATGCCCCCAGTTCAGATGGGCTAGCATCTACAGTCCAGCATGTGCTGGCACCTGGATGATGCAAAGATAGTTCCAATTCACTAACCAACTGGAATAATAAGGCATGTTTTCTTGGTCGTTCAGCGCACCCATACTGTTAGAATTATATTATAGCATGCTAAGCCTTTTGTAACTGTACACCAAGTGTGGTGTACAGTTGCGTTGGGACTACAGCCTTGCATGTTGGGGTGTCAATCCAACCCAATTGTGGTGGAGCCTTCAAATGCAACCCATTGGTCCTTAGGGTGCCAACATTTGGGGAATGTTGCCAACCCAACCCAATGGGCCACAGGGTTGGTCCCAATTGCAAGTTGGGGTCCCCTTCCACCCCACTTGGGATAGGGCTTCCCAACCACCACCACCCAACTCTCTTCCCTTCCAAGCTCCCCTTCCAAGCTTACCCTCCAATCACTATGTATGCTCCTTTCTCATTCTAATGAAACAACTTTTGAGTTCTCCCCTTCCCAACTATGGAATTCTTTCACATAACCCCCCCAAGACGACACCTGTAGCCCTTGAGAAGACCACTTCGGGCCATTTCATCGTCCATTTCCAACACTCCTCTCACTGGGAGGGCCCACCTATGGCACTGGAAATCGGCTGACAGCAGGAATCGAACCCCAGTTTTCTCCACGCTCACCACACCATGCAGGGATAGCTCCATTTTGCTAACCAGCTGGGATAAAATTGCATGCACCCATACCCCCTCAGGGCGACACTTGTAGCCTTTGAGGAGACCACTTCAGGCCATTCAAATGTCCACTTCCAACATATAGCACCTGCATGCATGGGCTAGCAGGTACGGTTGGGCATTTGCCGCTACCTGGAATGGCCCCGCCTGGTACGTACCTGGATGGGGTAGGTGAAGAAGACGACTTTGCTCCGCGAGTCCAGCACTGTGATATCGCCCACTGCTGCATCGTATGTCTGCCAGCCAGCCAGCCAGGGGTGCAGAGAGCAGAGCGACATATGTTAGCAGAGGTCAGCACAGGGCACATGGCAGCGCTGGGCACAGGGCAGCGCATGGCACAGGGCAGCACAGGGCACAGGGCTTGAGGGTGTAGGGTAACCTTCTTCTGAGGCGCCTCAAGATGTCTTCAAGACTGGTGAGGTGCGATCAGCTTGCAGCATGGTATGGCATGGCATGTCATGTCATAGCATGTACGGCATGTACGACATTAAAGGAGAGACCATTGCTCCTCTAGGTCACTTACCTACTACCATCCTGAAGAGAAGTGATACCCTACGCACGATTCACCTTGTTGGCTACGGCCAGCACCATCTGTGTGTAGCTGAGCGCTGTGTCGCCGTACAGCACAAACTCATATTCGATCTCGTAGGGTAACACAACAAGGCGCAGGGACTCTTTATATAGGTGCCTAAAAAAGAGAGGTGCGCACCTTGTTGAAGACGGCCAGCACCATCTGTGTGTAACTCAGAGCCGCGTCGCCGTACAGCACAAACTCGTAGTCCAGCTTGTAGGGTAACCGCGTAACGGCCAGGCGGAACACCTCCACGCAGTAGCCTGAGAAGCGGCTGTTGCCCTCCCCCAACGCATCCGACACGTTCACATACTCCTTGTACTGCTGGCGAAGAGAGGAACGGAAGGGAGAGTAATTTCTGAGCAAACTCAACAGTCACTGCACTATAGCAGGGCATGCTATTCTTGCTTTCCCCCAAGGCGTCCGACACATTCACATACTCCTTGTATTGCTGGCGGGGGGAGCGGGGGGAAGGAGGGGAGAAAGAGGGTTCGGGGGGAGGGAGGGTAACTTTTGAGTAGACCAAACCAAACAGTCACTAGGGCCTGAGAAGCGGCTGTTGCCCTCCCCCAAGGCGTCCGACACATTCACATACACCTTGTATTGCTGGCCGGGTTTAGGGCATATAAACGTTCACGCCACTGTTAACTTGTTGATATAGATACCTGGTGACTAGGGCACCTGTTGATAACGGCACCTGTCGAGAAGTGTACGTGCACCTGTTGATAATGGCACCTGTGGTGTGGATAAGGAAACCTGTTGTGATTCTCTAACCTGCACTGTGCACCATTGAACAAGCACCTGTTTACTCGGCACTGCGATTCGAAGCCGGGTTTTGGGAAACGATCCAGTTGGCGCCTGCAGGAGACAGCGAGACACGAGGAGACAGAAAGCAGAGGCAGGGGCAGGGGCAGGGGCAGGGGCCAGATAAGGTGCAGGGAATGATGTGCACAACGACCAGTATTTGTGACACTGCAATGCATTCCTACAACAACAACAACAAGAACAACAAGAACCCACCCATGGAGTGGTTGTGGAACAAAGAGGAGACGAAATGGGCAGTGCTTCCCCAGCAATAACAAGCCTGCTGCGAGTATTGCTGAAAGGCTGAAAGCGTGACTACCCCTTTCTACCTACCTGGGTGAGTCCTCCAGGGAAGACGACCGGAAGAGCATTCAGAGTCTGCACACAGCAGAGCAGAGCAGGACAGAGCAGAGCAGGGAGGCAACGGCACTCAGAATAACAAGTTAAATGGGCTCAAGAAACACCATGCATGCAGTTTAAACCTAACCAGTTCAACCCGAACCACAGCCCAATCGAACTGGTAGGCCCAGGTAGGTACCGCTTAGGGTTCAATTCAACCACCTGACAGGTTCGACACGGTTCGGGCCGAACCAGTTCAGGTTAGGCCAGTGCTCTTGTTACCAGAAAGGCACAACATAGATCAAATTTTTGAGCTGGAGCCTAAAATCCAAGCCTGGATTCGACTTGACTCGACACAGGGGAAGCGCGGGAAGGTAGGGAGAGTGGGTAGGGTCGGGGGGCTGGCTGAGCCGGAAGAAGGGACGAGGCCGACTAACCTGTGCACTGGGGCCTGCGACAGGCCCTGGGGGCGAAGCAGGGAAGGCGGTGGAAGGCGAGGAGGATTGGGGATGGTTGGGGGATGGGCGGGAGGTGGGGACGAGGCCGACTAACCTGTGCACCGGGGCCCGCGACAGGCCCTGGGGGCGAAGCAGGGGAGGCAGTGGAAGGTGGGGAGGATTGGGGGGGTGGGCGGGAGGAGGAGGGGACGAGGCCAAGGGAGGAGGACCAGAGTGCCACTTCCACGGGCGCCCCTCGCTGCATGTTGACAATGCGAATCTCGTTTGCTGCTAGGTCTCCGTGTGGGGTTAGGGCGATCCTGAGGGGAGGGGGAACGTGAGGGGGGGGAAGAGTGAGGGAGGAGGGGAGTGAGGGAGGGGAGAGTGAGGGAGGGGGAAGTGAGGGAGAGGAGAGTGAGGGAGGGGGAAGTGAGGGAGGGAGGAGGGGCACAAGGTGGAAGCTAGACAGGAGGAGGACCAGAGTGCCACGTCCACGGGCGCCCCTCGCTGCATGTTGACAATGCGAATCTCGTTTGCTGCTAGGTCTCCGTGTGGGGTTAGCGCGATCCTGATGTGGGGGGGGGGGCAAGAAAGGCAGGGGTAAAACGAGGGAAGGGGGAAGCAAGGCAAGAGGGAAGTGAAAGAGGGGGAAAGTGAGGGGGGACGGGGAGAAGAGGTGGGGTGCACAAGGTGGGAGGTGGACGGGAGGAGGACCAGAGGGCCACTTCCACGGGCGCCCCTCGCTGGATGTTGAAAAAGCGAATCTCGTTCGCTGCCAGGTCTCCGTGTGGGGTTAGCGCGATCCTGATGGGAGATGAATGGGTGCAAAGCGGTTGAGACCGTTCGAGGAGTGTGAGAACGTGGAAGGGAGAGGTGGAGAGAGCAGGTGGGGGAAGGAGGAAGTGGGGGGGCGAAGGGGACAACAGGAATGGGATTGGAGGAACTGCGGAGGAGAGCAGGTGTGGGGGGAAGCGAAGGTTCGGAGGAAGTACAGTGAACGTAGACACGTACGTTGTGTATGAAGGTAGGTGGAGAAACGGGGAGACGGGACGAGGAGGATACGCACAGAGACAGACGGAAATGAGCAAGCCCATGTCACTCTCACTTGAATGTCGCAGATAACTCGCGGTTTATGCTCACCCACACTTCCTTCCCCCACACTCCTCTCGTCACATTCCCCCCCCCCCTTCGCGCTCCCCACACTCCCCTACGCAGACTCCTCACACACATCCCCTTTCCCCTCAACACGCCTCACCTGCCCTGCAGCCCGTCGAAGCTGGTCTTGAGAAGAGCCTTCCGCAGTGCCGGTCCCACTGTGGTTGGGTTGGGTTGGGATGGAACAGTGCGGGGCAAGCATTGGAGCACCGCGGGGCAAACATCAATCTGGTCAACGCTGGGATGATGGGGATGATGGGGATGATGGGGATCATGGGCGAGACGCATGGAGCAAGGAGGAGCATGGGGGCAAGCTGCATGAGGGCAAGACGCATGGGGCAAGGACAGCATGGGGCAAGGAGCATGGGGCAAGGCGCAGCATACATGCACTTTGTTGCAGGCGGGTGAGTGGTGGGGCAAGCGCATCCTGGGTGCCATTAGGAAGCGACGGAAGCACAGGCAGCTCCAGCTGCTGGAATTCTCGCCCTACCCCCTCTTGCTGCTGCCCCGTTTGCTGCTGCATTCTCTTCTCTTGCCCTTCTTTCTGCTGCGCCCCCGTTTGCTGCTGCATTCGCCTCTGTTGCACCACTTGTTTTTGCTGCCCCAATTTCTGCTGCTGTGCTGGTGTGGTCTCATTGGAGGACGAGTTGGTTGGTACAGGAGCGGAGGGGTAGAGCAGCGAGTGCAGCGCGCGTGCGACGAGGGAGACAGCATCGTGGGACGAGAGCGCGTATGGGGATGGCCTCTGGCATGGCGGGAGGGAGGAGTGGAGTGGGGGGGAAGGGATTGAGAGGGAGGTGTGTGGTAGGAGGGGATACAGTAACTGTCAGCAGCAGGATGGCAGCAGGATGACCTAAGCAGATGTGCAAAGAACATAAACAGCAAGATGCAGCAGCTACAAACAGGTTAGTTCCTGAGTGGCGATTCTTTGAGTGTCTCGGACAGACATGAGTTCATGAAGAGCATAGGGCTTACCCCCATGGTGCGTCCAGCAGGGTACAGTGAGTGAGGCATTGAGGAGCTACTGAAGAATCTCACACACTAGCTTATAACGAGCATAAAGTGTAGTGTACCTCTATGGAGAGTCCAGGGTATTGTGAGGCATTGAGGTGCTTCCAGCGATCAAGGAAGGATGAGAGGCGCGGGGAGGAGGGCACAGGGCACTTGTTAATAACGAGCATAGGGTGTAGTGTACCTCTATGGAGAGCCCAGGGTACTGTGAGGCATTGAGGTGCTTCCAGCGATCGAGGAAGGATGAGAGGCGCGGGGAGGAGGGCACAGGGCACTTGTTAATAACGAGCATAGGGTGTAGTGTACCTCTATGGAGAGCCCAGGGTACTGTGAGGCATTGAGGTGCTTCCAGCGATCGAGGAAGGATGAGAGGCGCGGTGAGGAGGGCACGTGGGTGGTTGTGATGATTAGGCCCTGTGATCGAAGGGTGAGAGAGCGGTGGAGTGGGGTTGAGAGAAGCGAGGAGAGAGAGGGAGAGAACATGCAGTTGGTTGTGGTGATGAGACCCTGGAAGAGAGGAGAGAGGGGTGGGGTGGGGTTGAGATAGGCGAGGAGATTCAGACGAGAGGAGAGGAGAGGAGCAGAGTGGAGAGGAGAGGAGAGGAGAGGAGAGGAGCAGAGTGGAGAGGAGAGGAGAGGAGAGGAGAGGAGAGGAGAGGAGAGGAGAAGAGAGGAGAGGAGAGGAGAGGAGAGGGGAGGAGAGGAGGGGAGGAGAGAAGAGGAGACAAGATGGGACCATTCAAGCCAATAAACACTCGAGACATAGCACAGTTATTTATGATCCTCTAATACATTCCATCACCCCACTCACACCAGCACCCCACTCACAGCAGCACCCCACTCACAGCAGCACCCCACTCACACCAGCACCCCACTCACACCAGCACCCCACTCACACCAGCACCCCACTCACACCAGCACCCCACTCACACCAGCACCCCACTCACACCAGCACCATTCTCCACTCACAACACAATCACCATTCTGCACCAAACACTCACATCCAAGTGTTGGCTGGACGTGACACTCATGACAGCCGCTCCCTCCGAGGAGATCCACACGCTGCTGCGCGCATACAGCCGCAGCTTCTTGGCTGATAGGGGGTGATGGTGAGGAGGATGAGGGTGGGGGTGGGTGGGAGCATAAACAGTGAGGTTGAGCATGAACGACTAGGGTCGCTTGGCAGAATTTTTCACTTCGACAGCCAGAGAAGCTGAGTGAGCTCATTCTCCTGAGCTTAGTTTCTCTCTGAGTAGCTCCCCGACCTTCCCCTACCACCACGGCAGGGCCTTCTTTCCCCACTCTATATATTAGGAAATCGATAACTAACGCGTGCATCCTAGCCTAGCTATATCCCTGGTGAAACGAAGAAAGACACTGTGTTAGTCCTTTTAGACTTAATTTCGCAGGAAGGCCGGTGTGTTTAGCCTAAGCCTCCCAACCTCTGCTTTCACCAAGAGTATCGGCCCCAACGCCCCAACCCCTAACACACTCAGAGACAGCCGTGCTTCTTCCTCCTTTCTACACTAATGCACTACTCCCATTGAGCTGCTTACAAAATCCACCTGCTTCAACAGAATAGTGGGGAGAGCAGGGCACCCACCTGCTTGAACGACGGTGGAGAATACAGTGGTGTAGGCGTGCAGCACATAGACCGCCACGTCTAGCGGCAGCCGTTTTTCTCTTTCCACCTTTCGCTTGTCTCGCTTTTGCCATGCCTACTTTCTACATAACCCACCTGCTTGAACGACGGTAGAGAAGATAGTGATGGAGGCGTGCAGCACGTACACCGCCACGTCTAGTGGCACCAGGGAGGACACGTAGTCGGCATGTCCCTGGTGCCACCACGTCCAGCGGCACCAGGGAGGACACGTAGTCGGCATGTCCCTGGTGCCACCACGTCCAGCGGCACCAGGGAGGACACGTAGTCGGCATGTCCCTGGTGCCACCACGTCTAGTGGCACCAGGGAGGACACGTAGTCGGCATGTCCCTGGTGCCACCACGTCCAGCGGCACCAGGGAGGACACGTAGTCGGCATGTCCCTGGTGCCACCACGTCCAGCGGCACCAGGGAGGACACGTAGTCGGCATGTCCCTGGTGCCACCACGTCCAGCGGCACCAGGGAGGACACGTAGTCGGCATGTCCCTGGTGCCACCACGTCCAGCGGCACCAGGGAGGACACGTAGTCGGCATGTCCCTGGTGCCACCACGTCCAGCGGCACCAGGGAGGACACGTAGTCGGCATGTCCCTGGTGCCACCACGTCCAGCGGCACCAGGGAGGACACGTAGTCGGCATGTCCCTGGTGCCACCACGTCCAGCGGCACCAGGGAGGACACGTAGTCGGCATGTCCCTGGTGCCACCACGTCCAGCGGCACCAGGGAGGACACGTAGTCGGCATGTCCCTGGTGCCACCACGTCCAGCGGCACCAGGGAGGACACGTAGTCGGCATGTCCCTGGTGCCACCACGTCCAGCGGCACCAGGGAGGACACGTAGTCGGCATGTCCCTGGTGCCACGTCCAGTGGAATCAGGGACGACATGTGCTCGTGAATGGCCTCGTCTGTGGCTGACGTTTGAAAAGTCTAAAGAAACTATCTGTTCTGCGACACCCACCTGCTTCGACGACAGTGGAGAAGATAGTGGTGGAGGCATGCAGCACATAGACCGCCACGTCTAGTGGCACCAGGGAGGACATGTAATCGTGAATGGCCTCGTGTGAGGCTGACAGCGGGATGGCCACCCGCACCGCCACATCCGCCTCCGCCTGTTAGGGCAAGGGCAAGGGAAGGCACCCATCGCACAGCACCACACAGCACCACACAGCACCACACAGCACCACACAGCACAGCAAAGCATTTCAGGGAGGACATGCGGATGGCCTTGTCTGTGGCTGACAGCGGGATGGCCACCCGCACTGCCACATCCGCCTCTGCCTGTTAGGGCAAGGGCAAGAGAAGGCACCCATCGCACAACACCACACACCACCGCACAGCACCGCACAGCACCGCAAAGCACAGCAAAGCACTTCAGGGAGGACATGTGGTCGTGAATGGCCTCGTCTGAGGCTGACAAGGGGATGGCCACCCGCACTGCCACATCTGCCTCCGCCTGTTAAAAGAGGGGGGAAGGGTTGGGGCAAGTGGAGCACCGCACAGCACCGCACAGCACAGCACAGCACAGCACAGCAGGGAGGACATGTGACAGCGGGATGGATGGCCACCCGCACTGCCTCATCCGCCTCCGCCTGTTAGGGCAAGGGCAAGGCAAGCCATCACATCACACAGCACAGTTTGGGATGAGTCGGGAAAAGGATCTATTGTGAGACGCCTTACATAACGCCCTCAAGTGTGGCTGACAGCGGGATGGATGGCCACCCGCACTGCCACATCCGCCTCCGCCTGTTTTGGTCAAGGCAAGGTAAGCCATTGCACAGCATAGTTTGGAATCGGCCGGGGCAAGGTGAGACATCATGAGAGGTAGGACGGAGCGGAAGCATGTACACAACACATGCTTCCGCGTTGGCAAGCCCGCATGTGTGGCTGACGGCGGCACGGCCACCTCCTGCACTGTTTGGGGGTGACGGCGTCCGCATGTGTGGCTGACGGCGGCACGGCCACCTCCTGCACTGTTTGGGTTGGGGGTGACGGCGTCCGCATGTGTGCAAGGGGAGCCGTCAGACTGTTTGTGAGTTGGGTCGATTTCTTACGAGCCTCAAAAGAACATCCGCCACAGCCTGTTTGCGGGAGGGGGGCAGCATGGGGAGCTGTTGCGGGGAGGTATGCACACAACAATGGCAGCAGGAAGGAAGGCATGTGCGTGCGCTTGATCAGCTCTGATTGGTTGAGCCGAGGAAGGAGGGGGGGTGGGCGGGGGTGGTTGGAGGAGGAAAGCGGCTTTGGTTTGCGGTCGACGACTCAATAGTCCCATCGGTTCGGTCGTCGCTGTAGATGAGAGCCACCTGCTGCCACTTGTAGCGCTTGATCAGCACTGATTGGTTGAGACGAGGGGTGAGGGAGGGGGTTGGAGAGGGGGTTGGGGGGTTGGCTTCGACTCGACTCAAGAGTCCACTCAATAGTCATGACGGCCCGGCCATCACATAGGTGTGTTTTTTTAGGCGCCTCAAACGTTGGGGAGGGGTTGGGGGCTGGCTTCGACTCAACTCACAAGTCCACTCGATAGTCATGGCGGCCCGGCCATCACATAGATGTGTCGACTTTTTAGGGGGCTTGGGTTACTGAACCCATCCCATGGCCTGCACCCGTACTTGCCATGGCCTGCACCCGTACCTGCCATGGCGGCCATCTGCACGCCGTCGCTGGGCACGGTGCACATGGGGAACACAGGTGAGTGCCTGCTGCTACCTGTACCTGCACCCACGCTGCAGCACCCATACATGGCATAGCATAGTACGGTGTGTGCACACCTGCCATGGCGGCCATCTGCACGCCATCGCTGGGCACGGTGCGCATGAAGAAGGGGCGAGTGGCGCCCTGCGTCAGCTGCACGTCCGTTGCTGATGCCGATATGAACGGCACCTGGTGGGGGGGGATGTGTGGGGGGGGAGGGGGGTTGGGGTTGGGGGGCACGAAGGGGGAGACACTCAGCGCCCTGAGTAGGCTGCATGTCCGTTGCTGATGCCGATATGAACGGCACCTGGTGGGGAGGGTCACGATTTGGGGCACAGGACGAAGGGGGAAGGGCGCAGCCGCGCGGGAAGGAGGGGCATCTAGATATATAAACATGACGAGTTACGAGATTTATAGGATAGGGTTGATAGAACAGCGGGACAGTCTGTAGTAGTCATCTTTCTACGGTTTATTGTGTTTGGGTGGCATTGGTTGTCTGATCTGTTACCTGGGTTGCGGCCGCAATTGGGCTGAATCGGGCGGCCTGATCAGACGTGTGCGGACCAATCACAGCCACTGGATGGTTCTCGAGCAGTTTAAATGCTGCCACGTGGAGGCAGCAGACGAAGACACGTGGAGAAGATGAGGAAGCAAAAGTGAGGGTAGAGGGGAATGACGGAAAGTCATTGATGGTGGGAGGATGGGAGATGAAAGGAGAGGATGGGAGAGGATGGGAGAGGATGGGAGGGGATGGGAGAAGGATGGAAGAGGATAGGAGGGGATGGGAGGGGATGGGAGAAGAACGGGTGGGAGAGGATGGGAGGGGATGGGAGAGGATGGGATAGGCTGAGAGACAATGGGAGAGGATGGGATAGGCGGGGGGAGATCCAGCAAGCGCAGCAGAGTGAAACGGCCGAGAAGCGAGCAGAGGAAGAGGAGGGGGGGGTGGGAAGGGGGGGGGGAGGGGAATGGGCCTTGGGGTTGGGACAGATAAAAGGGGGAGGGGGGAGCGTGGAGGGGAAGGGGAAGAGAGGGGGAGAATGGGAGGGAAGGGGAAGAGAAGGGGAGAACGGGAGGGAAGGGGGAGAGAAGGGGAGAATGGGAGGGAAGGGGAAGAGAAGGGGAGAATGGGAGGGAAGGGGAAGAGAAGGGGAGAATGGGAGGGAAGGGGAAGAGAAGGGGAGAATGGGAGGGAAGGGGAAGAGAAGGGGAGAATGGGAGGGAAGGGGAAGAGAAGGGGAGAATGGGAGGGAAGGGGAAGAGAAGGGGAGAATGGGAGGGAAGGGGAAGAGAAGGGGAGAATGGGAGGGAAGGGGAAGAGAAGGGGAGAATGGGAGGGAAGGGGAGGGGAGTACCTGCGAGCTGGCTAGCGAGAGACGCTATGGAGTAGTTTTGCACCGTCAGATGCAGCACGTGGTTGGGCAGGATGCTGGGATCGCCGTTGATCTCCTCCACTGCCATGACAGAGGCTGGGGCGGGGAAGAAGGGGAACGAAAGGGCGGGAGAGGAGAGGAAGGGGGAAGGGGAGATGAGATAAAAAGGAGCGGAGACGAAGATGGAAAGGAGGGGAGAGGGGGAGGTGAAAGGAGAGGGAAAGACGACGAGAAGGAGCGACTCGAGGAGGAATAAGCGGCAAGAGGGGGGCGTTGGAGCCACACTGTGGCACGAGAGCTCGGTGGACGGAAGGCGGGAGGAGAGAGAGGAGGGAAACGCATTCGCAGGTATGGAGGGCGAGGAGGGGGGCAGCGCACCAGCAACCATATGACGCAGCCTATTTTTTGGGGCGCCTCAAAAGCAGGAGCTGCGTACCGGCCAGCATGTCGACTCCCCCGGGCAGGTCAGGGGCGAACAAGCATCCCACCGTCAGCACCGCTTTGCTCTTGTCGCTGCTCGAACCTCTTCCCGTCGCCGCCTTTCTCCTGCGAGCGTCTATCTTCGTCCCGCCGTTGATAGCCAGACTTCTCATCGCCGGTCTCGCGTTCGTATACGCATCGCGGCCGTTGAAACTAGAGCTGCTGCTCAAATCGTGACCGTCGACGCTACTAGAGCTGCTGTTCGCGTTACTGAGCTGTACCCGGTTTCTATCAGAATTAACGGTAAAATTGAAGTCAGCGTTTTGATCAAAATCAGCGTTAGCGTCACGATCAGAGTTAAAGTTTAGGCCAAGGTTAGCCGCGTGTGTAATAACATCCGTCGCAACTGTTAGCCCTGGAGCTGCAGCAAGCCGCTCCGGAATGTCCCTTTTGTACCCGACCAGATTAGAAGTCGCTCCTACGTCATTAGCAAGGTCAGCATATTTCCTGTACTCTCCAGCTTTCACCCTTGAGTCTGTCGCGACGGCGCTTCCCGTACACTCCTTAAGAAGCTCCGCTAACGCTATAGCGAATGCTAGCGCGAAAATGAGAACCCGAGAGGAAGATTCGCGGTGTCGACGAGACGAAAGACGCTTGCCATCCGTTGGTGCTGCATAAATAAAATTTCCGTGGGTATGCATTCCTAGTAACCCTAATCCTGACGCGATCTCGGTGCGCATTGGCCAGTGCGACCGGCATCGCACGCTATCTCTGTCGCACGCCATCGCATGCTACCGCTGTCGAATACCCTGCGATTGTCATTCGCTGTGGTACCTGATACTCAGTCACAAAAGGAACAAGGAGTAATTTACACGAGAAGATAGGAACACCCTCTGCGACCTAATTGGCTTATCCGCACCGCGCAATGCCCACATGATAACCCATGGTACTGCGATGCTCCTCCTGAGTCCTGACCCGAGTCCAGAATCCTGATTCGATATGGCTGGCTTCAATCAAACTCCAGGTCCAGGAGGGGAGGGGAGCACGCTGCGCACGCCTGAGGCCCTGAGGTACAGTAAAACCAAGGCCCTTAGGTCAGCAAATTGTCAACGTTCGGACCGACAACTTTCGGCGTGCGTGAGGTTCTTGTTGGTTGACTGAGGGCGATGCAAGGATGGAGGTGACCGTTGACAATTGACAACGTGGCATTCGTTCCTTTCCCGCGTGTTCGGTGCGCACCGAAACACCCGCCCGCCGCCACCCCTTGATCGCACCACCTGCTGCCGCCCCATCGGCGGCAGAACACAAGTACACCATGTACAGCATAACTTATAGGAACAAACCCAACAAATATTAACGTGGCGTTACAATGACTTCATAATCATGAGGATCATACAGAACAGGGATTACATGTTTGCTAACTTCAGGGATTAGGCTGAGGTGATTTTGAAAGTCGAAAGGCGCGAACTCGCTGAACTCCTCCAAACTCGGGCTTGACGTTTGTATCCGCATCAAATGTGGATCCCGGCGATAGAACCTTGTCAAGATTTGCTAACTTCTTCCCCACTTCCCCCTTGATGCTGCAAAGCAAGCAACACAATGCACGACAATATTCGAAGAAGGAACAGATAACAAAACCAGATATGAAGGTTGGAGGAAGTGGCATTAGCAGACGAATTAAGGCGAGCCAGCAGCATTTTGACAGACTCACCTGGTTCCTGGCTTCTGTGTAACGTCATATGATGCACTGCGGCGATGAACACGGGCAGTCTTACGCAGCCTGGCAGCCTGGTTCCGCTGCTGCTGCTGCTGCTGCTCCTGGCTGGCCTGGCTAGACATTGCATGAGAGTTGACGAGAGGAGAGTTGAGCCGCCCATACGATGCCTTCGGTGGCAGCTGCTGCCGCAGAAGCAGGTGATGTGGCTGCTGCTGCTGCTGCTGCTGCTGCTGTTGCTGCTGCGGCTGCTGCTGCTGCTCCTCAGGAGGGAATTGCGAGAGTGTCAGGGGTGAGCGAGTCGGAGAGTCTGATTGCTCCTCCATACCAAAGGTGATGCTTCTCCTCTTTGAAGCCCTCAGCTGTGCTGCTGCTTCCAGTGTCTCGGAATCAGCTTCCGGTGGGCAAGGTTCGGCAGGTAGTGAAGACGAAGAAGGCAAGATGGTGCTGGTCCGCCTTTGTCTTTTGGGAATCTCTGCATGACCTGCAGCATCAGAACCACCGACGCTTCCAGCAGGATACATGCTGCCAGAACTAGCTGAGAGGTGGAAGTTAGGTGCACTGGGGGAACCACCGGCGCTGGTAAGAGCAACAGCAGGAGAGTCAGCAGCAGTGGGAGCAAGGACGAAAATGCCTGGAGCAGTGGAAGGGCTTTCACGAGGAGGGGCGGCTTTGAGAGAACGATCTGAAGAGGAATCAGGCTGATTGAAAAAAGCGGCACCTGCATCGCCTGCACTCCCGGCACTGGAAGCACCGCCTGCACTGGCAGCACGGAAGAAGGAACCAGAGGCAGTGGAGGGGCGCTTGGAAGGGAAAGCAGGCGAGCCCTGCAGAGATCCCCAGCTGGGACGGCCCCGGGACGGCGAGGCAGCAGCAGAGGCAGAGGGAGAAGCAGATGCAGAGACAGAGGCAGAGGCAGGGCCGGCTGAAGCAGCAGAGGCTGAAGCTAAGACACCACCCGAGCCACGCGCTGATGGGCTGCTGCGTTTTCTCGCAGAGTTGCCCGGGGAAGAGAAGTCCGGGAGGAGGGAAGTGGCGGAGTAGGCTTGCTGCCTCTGGATGTTCTTTGGGTCCAGATACTGCCCCCGGCTCCACTCCTTGCCCTGCACACAGTCAAGTGGGGGAGAGAGGGAAGAGGATTCTTCGCTATATTTGAAAATTGACTTTGCACGCGCGAGATTTAAATTCGCACGGTCCAGGTACTGCCCCCGGCTCCACTCCTTGCCCTGCATGCAGTCACAGGGGTTGGGGGGAGAGGGAAGTGGATGTTTTGGGCTTTGAAGATTGACTTTGCACATGCAAGCTTCAAATTCGCACGGTCCAAGTACTGCCCCCCGCTCCACTCCTTGCCCTGCATGCAGTCAAAAGGGAAGAGGGGAGAGAGACCAGACTTTCAGGCGCCACAAAAGGGAAACAGCAGAACGGGCTTTCTTCTGACCTTGCTGAACCTATCCGCCTTTCTGCTCACCTTGTTGAATTTATCCATTAGATCGTCCACTGTCCGCTGCACCGAAACCACACCCTCCTGTGAAGTTTCCACCATCATCCTCTGAACAGACACCAAGCCAGTAAGCACATTGGTTACGCCTCCCAGACTCGGCATGCCCGTCGCTAGCGGTGCCACAGCTAACACATCGGTAGGAGGTAGATTACTCGTGCTGTTGGCGGTGGTAGTGGTTAGTTTGGGCAGGAAGCTGGCTGCTGCGTCGAGAGATGCTCCCACGGAGGATAGGATACTGGTTGACCCGAGGTTTACAGGGGGTAAACCTGGAATTAACCTGGATATCCCATGATCAGTTGTAGGTGCATTGTCAGAGAAGAAAGCTTTTCCAGCAGGGGCGGTGGCAGCAAAAGCAGCAGTGGCAGCAGCAGAAGCAGCAGCAGTGGCAGCAGCAGAAGCAGCAGCAGTGGCAGCAGCAGAAGCAGCAGCAGTGGCAGCAGCAGAAGCAGCAGCGGTGGCAGCAGCAGAAGCAGCAGTGGCAGCAGCATCAGCAGTGGTGGTAGTAATGGCTAATCCAGCTGTTTCTGCTTCTGCTTTTGCCTTTGCGTCTGCTTTTGTTTTTGCTCCTCCTTCTCCTGCTGCTTCTCCTTCTCCTGATGCTTCTCTTTCTGCTGATGCTTCTCCAACACTGCTTTCAGACACGGCCACGTGCAGCCCTGATGGTGCTGCATCTGCTGTCACTTCCGCTCCGGCCGCTACTTCTGCTGCAAGTGCTGCCCCTGCTGCTGCTGCTGCTGCTGCTGCTGCTGTTGCCCCTGCTGCTGCTGCTGCTGAAGCAGCACCTGAAGAGGCAGCTGCATCCAGGGCAGAAGCAGCAGCACCAGAGTCAAAACCCACCACCACATCCCTTACAACTGTACCAACACCAAGTCGAGCCGCAAACTTATCCCCACCAACACCCAGCTCCGCATCCTTTTCCTCCTTCCCGACCTCCTCCCCTATCCCCCCATCCTCACTCCCTTCCTCCAGAAGCGGGTCTAGTACCTCCGGCCGCTTGCTGCCCTTGCCAGTGGCGGAGGCGGGGCCGGCGGCGGCGGTGGTGGTGGTGGTGCTGCTGCTGCTACTGCTGCTGCCGTCAAAGCTGGTTGCAGAGGCGGGAACAAATGAGAAGGGACTGGAGGAGGGACCGGGACCAGCATCAACATAGCCAACACTGGAGCCTCCACCCTCCTCGTTCCCCACACTTGCTCTACCATCCCCATCCCTGCTTCCTTCAGGACCACCATTATTATCAATGTCAGGACGGCTCTTCCCGCCCTTGCCTGTTCTGTAACTTGTACCAGAATTCCCACCCTGGCCGCACGACAGGCCGAAACACCGCTGCTGCAGCAGCAGCTGCTGATCGTCGTCCTCTTCCTCGTGTGGTGACGAAGGACGATTCTTGCCGCCCTTGCCTGTTTTGTAACTTGCACCGGAATTCCCGTTCGTGCCGCACGACAGGCCGAAACACCGCTGCTGCAGCAGCAGCTGCTGATCATCGTCCTCTTCCTCCTCGTGTGGTGGCGAAAGATGGGGCCCGTGTGCTTCCCTGCAGTATTGCCATGCCAGCATCGCATGCAGCACAAGTAAATTAGCAGCCCCAAATAGGCGACTCTGAATAGAATGCTGGACAGGCTTACTGGGTGTACAGTGTAACATGGAGGGCGTACAGTAACGTAATTGTAACCAAAGTGAGGCAGGTCGTACCGGTGGTAGCGGTAACCAGGTCTTACCTGTGGTAAGGGGTAACCAGGTCGTACCGGTGGTTGCGGTAACCGCGGTAGATGAGCAATCCCACGTAGGTGATGCAGCAGAGCAGCGAGACGACGAGGTAGAGGATGAGCAGCGCTGAGAACTTCTGCACGTTCACCTCCGTTAGCACTGCTGAGGCCGTCTGGTCGTCGACACACATGCTGTCCTTCTGAGAAGGTGAGGGTGTCAGGTGTAGGGTGTAGGGTGGGGGTGCGGGAAGAGGGTAGGTAGAGGATGAGCAGCGCTGAGAACTTCTGCACGTTGACCTCCGTGAGCACTGCGGATGCCGTTTGATCGTCCACACACATGTTGTCCTTCTGAAGAGGATGAAGGGGCGGGGGAAGAGGGAAGAGGGAAGTGGGAAGAAGGAAGAGGGAAGAGGGAAGAGGGAAAATGATGAGAGCGATGAGAACTTGTGAATGTTAGCCAGCCTCCATCCATCAATGCTGCCGAGTTGGTCCAGTCGTTGCAGCACATGCTATCCCTCTGAGGAGGTTTGGGGGGGTTAGGTGGAGAGGAAAGACAGAGGAGCTGAGACCTTTTGCACGTTGACCTCCAAGAAAGAAGTGAAGTTTTGCACGTTGACTTCCAAGAAAGAAGGTTAATTTTGAGACATCTCAAAACTACACTCTCTCGCACCCACCCACCTGCAAGTACTGTGCCTTGAGGCGCTCCAGCTCCCCTTCTTGAGCTGCCACCTTTTCAGTCCCCTCTGCATCTGTCTGACTGAGGAGGTCAACCAGAGGTACCGAGTGGACGAACTCTTGAGGCGCCTCGAAAATCATAGCTTCGTCTCTCTCGCACCCACCCACCTCCAAGTACTGCTGCTTGAGGCGCTCCAGCTCCCCCTTCATTGTCAGCTCGAGGATGGCCTGAGAGCATGTTCTTCTTTCACACCCACCTGTATGTGACTACAAGTGTGCCTCCGAATCCTCACATCACACTCCTCTCTCACGCACCCACCCACCTGCAAGTACTGCCGCTTGAGGCGCTCCAGCTCCCCCTTCATTGTCAGCTCGAGGATGGCCTGAGATATGTCCTCCCCCACCTGTGACCCTTTGGGAAAGGCCTGTTAAGGGGGAAGGGGAAATTATACAAATGAGAGGGGGAGAAAGGAGAAAAGAGAAGAAAGGGCATCTCTCAGATATGGGCAGACTCCCCCTTCATCTCCTGCTCTAGGATGGCCTGAGATATGTCCGCCCCTACCTGCGACCCCTTGAGCGGAGGAAGGGGAGGGAGGAGAGAGAAGGGAGGAATGCAATTCAATTCGCTTTAGAAAAGCGAGGAGTGGAGTAGGGATGTGGTGTTGGCCTTTCATTGCTAACGGGGATGAGCAGCCCGTCTCCCAAGGTTCACAGGTAAACTCTTATGCAGGCATGTGTATGGGAGGTGCACATGCACATGCACATGCACATGCACATGCGCATGCGCATGCACATGCACATGGCGCATACACACGCTCTGATGCACGAACACACAAATTGTCGGAATCTCCTCCGCTTGCCCCTTCTCCTGTCTCCTTCATTCCTCTCTTACTCACCTCTCCCGTCCCCACTTCCATGTCCCGATGTTAAGCTCTGCCCTCTCTGTCTTGCCTCAGCTACTACCGAGAGACCCGGGCTCCCACACGGTGGCTACCCTGAGTGGCCTTGTCACCTGGCTGCAGTAGCTTAAAACGGCAACTTGTATCCACTATATTAGGTAGACAAACGAGAGAACAGGGTAGTCTGTACTAGGCTAGGCTACTTATTCCCCCTTCCCGTGTCGTGATTGTTTCTACGAACTGGGTTGGGTTGGAGTGGCCTGGGCCGTGGATTGGCCGCTGCCGATTTCCTGTCCCTCGAGGCGCCTTGAGCTCTTCCCAATGAACTTCGCAACTCCCCTTGTCACCAACTTCGCGTCACTCCCCTGGAATTCAACAACCCCTCGGCACTTTGACATAACCCACTTCTACACCCCTCTACACCACACTAGCATGCAACAGAATATAATGTTCATACACTATCTTCTGTGACAGCTGTCGGAATCTCCTCCGCTTGCCCCTTCTCCTGTCTCCTTCATTCCTCTCTTACTCACCTCTCCCGTCCCCACTTCCATGTCCCGATGTTAAGCTCTGCCCTCTCTGTCTTGCCTCAGCTACTACCTGCCCCCTCCTGTGCTCGAGCTCGAGCTGCTCGGGCCCGAGTCACAGGACTTCCCATCTGAGGCCCTACGGTCGTGAAGGTCTGGTGGCACACGGTCTGTTTCCTCTTTCTCTTTGCCAGCACCAGCAATCTCGTACTCCTCCGATTCCTCGCCTGCCCTCTCTGCGCGCCCGGCATCATTTCGAGAGAATCCTTCTTCCTCCTCCCCAGGTACACCTTTTATCCCACTTCCACTGCTGCCTTTGTTCTTGTTGCCGGCCTGCTGCTGCCGTTCCTCTTGCCTGTGTGCCTCGCTCATCTGCGCTGGATTCAAGTTCTTCAGGGCTTCTGGCAGCTTTTTATTCGGGAACCTTGCCCTGTCTCTCGCCCGTGCCTCACAATTCTCAGCCCCTCCTATTCCCACTGTTTCTGTCATGGGTATGAATTCTCTCTCCTTCCTGGTCATCACCTCCCTCTCCGCCCACTTGGCTTCTTCCTTTCCTGACCCGCATGCCCATGCCCCAACCTTTTCGTCCTGCCCCATCACTTCTGCCGCCGCTGGTACACACACTCCTGCCCCCACCTGCTCGTCCTTCTCTTCTGCGTCCGCTACTGCTAGTGCACACGCTCCTGCCCCCACCTGCTCGTCCTTCTCTTCTGCGTCCGCTACTGCTAGTGCACACGCTCCTGCCCCCACCTGCTCGTCCTTCTCTTCTGCGTCCGCTACTGCTAGTGCACACGCTCCTGCCCCCACCTGCTCGTCCTTCTCTTCTGCGTCCGCTACTGCTAGTGCACACGCTCCTGCCCCCACCTGCTCGTCCTTCTCTTCTGCGTCCGCTACTGCTAGTGCACACGCTCCTGCCCCCACCTGCTCGTCCTTCTCTTCTGCGTCCGCTACTGCTAGTGCACACGCTCCTGCCCCCACCTGCTCCTCCCTCTCTTCGGCTTCTGGTGCTGCTGGTTCGCACGCCCCTGCCCCCTCTTTCTCGTCCTTCCCTTCCCCTTCTGCGGCTGCCCATGCCCCCACCTTCTTGTCCTCCCCTTCAGTGTCTACTGTTCCTAGTTCACACACCCCCGCTTCCTCCTTCTCGTCCTTCTCTTTCCCTTCTTCCACTGCCCATGCCCCCACCTGCTCGTCCTTCCCTTCCCCTTCTGCCGCTGCCCATGCCCCCACCTGCTCGTCCTTCTCTTCCCCTTCTGCCACTGCCCAGGCCCTCACCTTCCTCACTTGCTCCCCTCCTCCGTCCCTGGCCCCGCTGCGCCGCCCCACGGCTTCACTGCTATGTACCACCGCACAGGAATATTCTGGCTCCTGCTCCCCTTCCTCCTCCTCCTCGTCCTCCCTTGCATACAACCCTGCCTGCCTCTCTGCTCTTCCTCTCAACGCCCGCCCTTTCCCTCCATTTCTGCCCCCACTGCGCAGACCCAGTTTCTCACGGCCACGTAGCGCCAGGAATGTGCACTCTGGCTCCTGCCCCTCCTCCTCTTCTGCTTCTTCCTCCCTTGCGTACAACCCAGCCTCTTTCTCCTTCCTCCCTCCCAGGGCCTGCAACTGCGCCTGCAATTTCTTGATCTGGCTCTCGATCTCCTCTGACGACCTTTTTGTTCCGCCTGTCCTTTTATCGCAGCCCCTTGCCTCATGCCCCCTTTCTCCGCATTCCTTACAAGTCGGTGCTTCCGGGCAGTCCCTTCGGCGGTGCCCTGGCTTCCCACATACATCGCAGTTCCTACAGTGGATCCTTATGTGTCCCGGCTGCCCACACCTGTAACAGGTGCGCGTCTCTGGCCTGCTCTCTTCTCCTGCTCCCTCCCCTGGTATCATCGCCGCTGCCCAGGTAGGACTCTTCTTCTCTGTCGTCCTTGGCAGGTATACCTCGTACTTCCTCTGCGCCAGCTCCACTCTCTCTGCTAGCTCAAACACCTCCTCAGGTGTTGCGTCCGCCCCTAGCTCATAGACTCGCATTCTCAGTCCTCCTGCCAGTCCCCTGTCCAACCCATTCAAAAACTTACTGATGATCATACTGCTGTCCGTGCACACTACGTCTTCCGCTAGATTCATCAACCGCCCATAATACGTCAGCAGGGATTCCTCGTCCCTCCTTCTGAACTCTTGAAATTCTTTGATGCGTGCTGCAGTGTGCCCCGGAAACTGCTTTCTCAGCCGCTCCAGGAACAGCACCGTCGGGTCCTCCTCATCCTCCTCCGCTCTCCTCAACCATTCTCCAATTTTCATACGGTACAGAGTTTCTGCCTCCCCTCCCAGTGTGTTTGGCAGGCTTAAGAAGAAATCTATAGGGTCCATCCCGCTCCGGTCACATCTGTACTTAACATTGCTTATCTGCATCAAGTAGTTCTTCAGGCTTGGGCCTGTGCTCTCGTTCCCTGTGAAGCGTACCGGCACCTCCACCCGTGGCGCTGCCGTCGTGCCCCATCTCCCCATATCCCAGCTCCCAGAGCCTCCCCGATCTGACAAAGCAGCCCCTCGCTGCCTCCCCTTCTCTCCTCTGCTTCCCGTGCTTGTCCCGTACAGTGCTCGCTCCAGCCCCTCACGAGCTGCTCTTGCCCCACTCGATCCCTCTCCGTGTTGTCGTAGCCTTCTATTTTCAATTGGACTCGCACCCCTCCTCCGATCATCTTCGCGGTCCTTCCTGTACCCCTCCTGATCACCCCATCTCCTCTCTCTTTGCACAGGCGAACGTTCCTGGCGATGCTGCTCTTGCTCCCTCCGCTGCTGACCTCCTCCCTCTGCTCTGGAACCGTGCGGTGATCGCCTTCCCCAGCCCCTTTCTCCTCCTTCTCCGTTGCGCCCCCGCTCCCACCTAGGCGGGCTTCGCTGGTGTCGCTCCTCGTAGTCCCGCTCGTCTTCCCGCTTTTCCCGATCTGCTTGCTGACCTACACCCATCGCCATGCGCCGTACGCGATCATACCCTGGCCTTGGCTCAGGCGAGCGGAAGACACCTGCCGATGCCCTCTTTCCCTCTCCCTCTTCTCGGCGCGCCCCCATTTGGCGCTCCACTGCCCTGACGCTCCTTCGTGGCACCTCTTCGCGCCGTCCCGCAGGTGAGCGCTCTCCATTCCTGTCTTCTTCGTCATCCTCCCGCGCCATTTCGCGTCGGACTCGCTCCCCTTCATCCCTGTTCTTGTACCCTTGCCTTCCTTCTTCTCGCTCAGCAGGGAGATCCTGCTCATCGTTGGCGATGTCGCGCTTTCCGCCGCCCCGCGCAGTGGGGAACTCCTCCTCATCGGCCGCGTCACGCCTTCCGCCGCCCCGCGCAGTGGGGGATCCGTCGTCGTCGGCCGCATCGCGCCTTCCGCCGCCCCGCGCAGTGGGGGATCCGTCGCCGTCGGCCGCGTCACGCCTTCCGCCGCCCCGCGCATTGGGGGATGCGTCGTCGTCGGCCGCGTCACGCCCCGCCCCGCGCAGTGGGGGATCTGTCTTCGTCGGCCGCGTCACGCCTTCCGCCGCCCCGCGCAGTAGGGGATTCGTCGTCGTCGGCCGCGTCACGCCTTCCGCCGCCCCGCGCAGTGGGGGATTCGTCGTCGTCGGCCGCGTCGCGCCTTCCGCCGCCCCGCGCAGTGGGGGATCTGTCTTCGTCGGCCGCGTCACGCCTTCCGCCGCCCCGCGCAGTGGGGGATCCGTCGTCGTCGGCGTTATCACGCCTTCCATCCATCCCGCGCTGGCCTCCTGCCAGGTTCCACGGGTTGCTGATCGCGGGCCGCCTCCACGGCTCTGACCTGACGCGCAGGTCCTCCCCGCTTTCTTCCCTTCGCACGCCCGTCGGCGTCACTGGATCCGCGCGATACGCCGCCCATCGTGGCGAGCGCATCGGCGATCTCCCACGCTCCCTCGAGCGCCTCATCCGCGACGGAGATCGTTCCCGCCGTGAGTACGTACGCTGCATGCGCAGATCGTGGCGATCCATCTCGCCGGTCAACTTCTCTCGTTTGTGAGAGACCCGGGCTCCCACACGGTGGCTACCCTGAGTGGCCTTGTCACCTGGCTGCAGTAGCTTAAATTGGCAACTTGTATCCACTATATTAGGTAGACAAACGAGAGAACAGGGTAGTCTGTACTAGGCTAGGCTACTTATTCCCCCTTCCCGTGTCGTGATTGTTTCTACGAACTGGGTTGGGTTGGAGTGGCCTGGGCCGTGGATTGGCCGCTGCCGATTTCCTGTCCCTCGAGGCGCCTTGAGCTCTTCCCAATGAACTTCGCAACTCCCCTTGTCACCAACTTCGCGTCACTCCCCTGGAATTCAACAACCCCTCGGCACTTTGACATAACCCACTTCTACACCCCTCTACACCACACTAGCATGCAACAGAATATAATGTTCATACACTATCTTCTGTGACAAAATGCAATTGCACATACGTGTGCATATACATCCCCATCCTCACAACCACATCCCAACAACCAATTTCTAGGATGAACACATGCCATGCCATGGTGCACATGCGACCACATTGCACATGCACCATCTTGCACCACAGTGCACCACAGAGCACCACAGAGCACCCACAAAGGCGAAATTGAGGACCGAGAAGGGCTGCGACGCCTGCACGCCGTCGCAGAAGGACGCGGAGAAGAGGTCGAGGTAGGGGTCCTCGTCCACTATCACCGTCACCCGGCCCGAGGAGAGAGCCGCTGCATACTCGCTCTCTCCCGTCAGGGGCACCAGCTTGTCCTGCGAGGGGCGATGGGGAACACAAGGCAGTGGAGAAGAGGTCGAGGCAGTGACGGCGCGTACTCACTCTCTCCCGTCAGCGGCACCAACTTGTCCTGCCGGTGGGGTTTAGAGGTTGCGAGGAGGGGCGGAGAGAAGGGAGAGAACGGAGACGGGTGGTGGAGAAGAGGTCAAGATGAGGGCCCTCGTCCACTATCACTGTCACCAGGCCCGAGGAGGAGGGAGACGATGCATACTCGCTCTCCCCACTCAGCGACACCAGCTTGTCCTGTCGGGGGAGAGGGGGAACACAAGGCAGAGGTGAAGAGGTGGAGATAGGGGTCCTCGTCCACTATCACTCCCACCCGCCCCGAGGTGAGAGACGATGCGTACTCGCTCTCCCGTGCCAGCGATACCAGCTTGTCCTGATGGGGTTCCAGGGGAGTGTGGAGGGATGGAAAGAAAGGGGGGAAGGGAGAGGGGCGGTTGGGAAGACGTAGAGGTAGGGGTCCTCGTCCACGCTACGCTACGTGGGGATCCATGCCTCCTACGTGGGGATCCATTGGTTGGGAAGACGTAGAGGTAGGGGTCCTCGTCCACTATCACCGCGACTCGCTCCAATGTGAGTGATGCTGCGTACTCGCTCTCCCCCGCCGGCAAGTCCATTTTTCTAGTCATCTCAAAATTAGATTATCACCGCGACTCGCCCCGATGTGATGATACGTACTCGCTCTCCCCCGCCAGCGAGTCCATTTTTGAGTCAACTCAAACATAGACTGATCATTGCGACTCGCCCAGATGTTAGTGATGATGCGTTGCGTACTCGCTCTCCCAGCCAGTCTATTTTTGAGTCGACTCCCAGCTGCAGCAGGTAAGCAGGTACGCGGAGAATCCGTGCTGGTACCCGACCGGGCCACCGCTGTAAGCCCATTCTCTACTTGCCTCAATAATGATCGAGGTGTGAACGAGGCACTCACAGGAGCAACGCCCAGCTGCAGCAGGTACGAGTGCACGAAGAATCCCTGCTGGCAGACAGTGGGGGCATTGCTCTAAGCCTATCCATATGGACAAGGCACTCACAGGTGCAACTCCCAGCTGAAGCAGGTACGAGTGCACGAAGGAGCCCTGTTGGACCCCAATGGGTGAGTGGCTGGTGAGGGCAGAGTAGATGTCCTGGTGGGGTAGAGGGGTGGAGGGGTGGAAGGGTGGAGGGGAGGAGGGTGCAAGGCAAGGGCAGACCACAGGGAGATGGAGTGGTGTGAGCATGCATGCACGAGGTACCGAAAATGCCAGACCATTGGTGCATAAGGCGAATGTATTAGGCGCTTCAAAGATCAGACCATCGGTGCATGAGAAAGGATTGCTGGTCGGCGATGGTGGAGCTGCTTGTGAGGGGGGGGAGTAGATGTCCTGGCAGAGTGGTGGGAGGGAGTGGGGGGGAAGGGGGGCGCACGAGTAGGTCGCAGGGAGATGGAGAGGCGTGGGTCCGTGTTTTTTGCAGGGAAAGGGAATGTAGGGGATGGAGGGATGGATGGGAGCATGGGATGGAAGGTAATCTGGGATCGAATGTGCTAAGATGGAAGATTTTTTTTAGCATTGCACGTGGTAATAAAGGAGAGGAAAATGCTTACCATGTGCAGGAGTGTAGGGAGGGAGAGTGACAACAGGTGCTAGCAATCGCTGAGAAAGAAAGCAACTACAATGCAGGTGATTATAAGGGAAGGGTTGGTCACGAGGATTTGCAGAAGGAGCCTCTGGATTGTGAGGATGGAGGTGAGGTTGACCATGTAAGATGTGGCTATAATGAAGGCGAGCAGCAGCCAGATGTGTGCCGTGCACATATGGGATGTGATTGTAACAGGTGCTCACGAGGATTTGCGGAAGGAGCCTCTGGATTGTGAGGATGGAGGTGAGGTTGACCATGTAAGATGTGGCTATAATGAAGGCGAGCAGCAGCCAGATGCGTGCCGTGCACATAGGGAATGTGATTGTAACAGGTGCTCACGAGGATTTGCGGAAGGAGCCTCTGGATTGTGAGGATGGAGGTGAGATTGACCATGTAAGATGTGGCTATAATGAAGGCGAGCAGCAGCCAGATGCGTGCCGTGCACATAGGGGATGTGATTGTAACAGGTGCTCACCAGGATTTGCGGAAGGAGCCTCTAGATTGTGAGGATGGAGGTGAGATTGGCCACGTAGGAGTTGGCTATGACCCATGCTAGTAGCAGCCATATTAACTTTTGAGACGTCTCATCAGTGCTTACAAGGATTTGTGGAAGGAGTCTCTGGATTGTGAGGATGGAGGTGAGATTGGCCACATAGGAGTTGGCGATAACCCACGCTAGTAGCAGCCATATACATACGACCGCCCTTGCTAGCGTCGTGTGGATGCGGAACACTGTAGCGAGGTGAGGCACATGCATGCAAGCACGCACAGACGCACGCACGCACGCACGCACGCACGCACGCACGCACGCACGCACGCACGCACGCACGCATGCACACGCGCACGCACACATGCACGCACACACACATACACACACACACACGGATGGGAACATGGCGCGCGCATAGTATCATGCGGAAAGGGACAACTGAGAGGATGCCAAACAGTGGAGAGAGGAACAGCACACAAAGTGACGAGTACTGTTGAGGCATTAGGGTAAGTAGCACTGGCTGATGAGCCGGAATTAGTAAAACCAGTGAACTGGCATTAGCATGTGAGTGTATGCCGAGTGGGGAGGGAGGGGAGGAGAGGACCAGGGAGGGTGAGAGGTGGAGTGGTGGGGTGGGAAGAGGTGGGAAGTGGTAGGGAGAGGTGGGGAAGGGACGCACCAGGATTGGAGTAGAACGTGTGGATGCCGTACCTGCAAGCAAGGAGACGAGGGGGAGGGACAACCAATGGCACAAGATGGGCGAGTGTGGGTGTGTGGGTGAGTGTGTGTGTGTGTGGGGGTGTGTGTGTGTGTGTGTGTGTGTGTGCGCACGCGCACGCGTGTGTGTGTGCGTGTGAGTGCGTGCGTGCGTGCGTGCGTGCGTGTGTGCGTGCGTGCGTGCGTGCATGCATGTGTGTGTGATACACATAAACACCACCAAGTTCCAGCCCACTCACTCACCACACAGCTGTGATGAGCCGCTTCCGCAATGTGCCCTGGAAGTCGGGCGTCCTTTGCCTGTCCAGCATCATGGCGAGGAGCCCTGTGGTGATGCAGATGGCGGCAGTGACGGCCCACATGGGCTGCACACAGCTTCAAGTTACTCTCTCACACCTGAAATGTCACCAAGTCCCAGCCCAGCCCACGCACTCACCACACGGCTGTGATGAGGCGCTTCCGCAGTGTGCCCTGGAAGTCGGGCGTCCTTTGCCGGTCCAGCATCATGGCGAGGAGACCCGTGGTGATGCAGATAGCGGCAGTGACGGCCCACATGGAGGCGGTGAACGGGGAGAAGACCATCCATGGGTTGCTGTATGGCCGTGAGTAGCCCATCACACTCAACCCCGATTGCTGGGAGGGGGAAAGCAGAAGGGGAGAGGAAGGGAGAAGGGGAAGAGGAGGGAAGCAGCAGGGGTGGTGTGAGCATGGACTTGAAGGCGAGGCAGAGCAAGGCTTGGTACGACGCAGGCCACGAGTAGCAAATCACACACTCGCATCATGGCGAGCAGCCCCGTGGTGAGGCAGATGGCGGCAGTGACGGCCCACATGGAGGCGGTGAACGGGGAGAACACCATCCAGGGGTTGCTGTATGGGCGCGAGTAGCCCATCACACTCAACCCCGATTGCTGGGAGGGGAGGCACAGGAGACAGCGGGACAGAGATGGGGAGGAGAAGGTAGAAGGGGAAGCAGAGGGCAGCAGCAGCGGGGGTGGTTTGTGCGTCGTCTGGAAGCCTAGGCAGCGATGAGAAGACATGAGAAGGGGAGTGAAGCAGAGGAGTAGAAAGCAGCAGCAGAAGTGCTGCATCGAAACACTCCCAATCATTCATCTTATAGCCAAGTTTCAATGACCCACTCCAAAGACACGCCATGCCATGCCCTCACCCACCTCACATGCCCCCCCAACTTACATGGGCCAGATCGCACATGCGCCTGTGCCATCTGGAGATGGCCTCACCCAACAGTACAGTGTGCCATGTGCCTGTACCTGGGAATTCGAGTACGTACCTGGATGGGGTAGGTGGTACCTGGATGGGGTAGGTGAAGAACACGCGTGAGACTAATTTTGAGTCGACTAAAAAATTGGCCCTGTTTGGCACGTGTATGTCCCCGTACCTGGATGGGGTAGGTGGTACCTGGATGGGGTAGGTGGTACCTGGATGGGGTAGGTGAAGAAGACGACTTTGCTCCGCGAGTCCAACACTGTGATGTCTCCCACTGCTGCATCGTACGTCTGCCAGGCCGAGGGCAGCACGGGAAAGCAGAGGGAGATACAGGGAAGCACGGGACGGCATAGGGAAATACAGGGAAGCACAGGAATACACATGGCCATACAAGGTTTTGAGGCTCGATCGGAGGCTTGGGTTCACTTCACAGCGTAATGGGATTGAGGCTTGCAAAGAGTAAGGCTGCTGTGAGCCTTGTTAACAACAGCAGCCAGCCAGCCAGCCAGCACCGTCTGCGTGTAGCTGAGAGGGCAGCGAACACACACTGCTAGTTTGCTTTTGCGTCGACTCAAAAGCACCATCTGCGTGTAGCTGAGGGCAGCGAACACGCACTCCTAGCCCGAACCGTAAAATGACTTTCTTGATATTCAACACCTTGAAGTAAGAAAGAGAGAGACGCACCTGGTTGCCGACAGCCAGCATCTGTGTGTAGCTGTCCTCATGTATAGAGCGCAAACACTCATAGCCCAGAGCCCATAAAGTAAACTTTCTTGTTGTCCAGAGAAACAGAGAGAAGCGCGCACCTTGTTGCCCACAGCCAGCACCATCTGTGTGTAGCTGGGTTTCTTGCCGCCGTACGACACAAACTCGTAGTCCAGCTTGTAGGGTAACCGCGTAACAGCCAGGCGAAACACCTCCACGCAGTAGCCTGAGAAGCGGCTGTTGCCCTCCCCCAGGGCGTCTGACACGTTCACATACTCCTTGTATTGCTGGGGGGGAGAAGAACGGGGAGCGAGAGTAGGTATTGAGTAAACTCAACAGTCACTATGGCACCTGTTGATAAGCTTCCTACCTGGTGATGATTGAATGTGCTGTGCACCTGTTGATTAGGAAACCTCATGTGGATTCCTACCAGTCACCATTGTGCAAGCACCTGTTTGTTAGGCACTGCGATTCGAAGTCGGGTCTTTGGAAACAACCCTGTTGGCACCTGCAGGAGACAGCGAGGCACGAAGAGGGAGCAGGGGCGGGCAGGGGAAGGGGCAGAGGCAGGGGCAGGGGCAGGGGGAGGGACGGGGCAAGGGCAGGGGCAAGGGCAGGGGCAAGGCCAGGGGCAGGGACAAAGGCAGGCGCAGGCGCAGGGGCAGGGGCAGTGTGTGAAGATTTACAGCAACCAGCGTTTGTGGCACTGTAGGTCCTAAACCCAGAGTATGTTACAACAATGGAGGAAAAACGAGGAGGAGAAAAACGAGTGACTTTAGCGAGAGAAAGAAAGAAAGAAAGAGAAAAAATTGGGGCTGCCAGTTGAACACTCCCACTCCATCTACCTGTGTGAGTCCTCCCGGGAAGATGATGGGAAGAGCGTTCAGGGCCTGCACAGCACAGCATAAAATGCCAAGTTAGAGCTTAGAGTTACGGACTGAACAGGGAGGCACGGCCACGCACAATCACAAGTTAGATGGGCTCTGTCCTGTCCTGTCCTGCTCATACTGATTTGTCCAGAATAGCCCTCGTGTTAGTTTCAATAGCGGTGCTACTTGCGTGCTTGTGCCTAAATAAAGCAGGACAGACCGAGCCCGAAGCATACAGGTTTGTCCTAGCCTACTGTGTGGGGTGGAGCCTATGAGTGAGCCTGGGCTCGACGCAGGTGACGGAGTTGAAAGTGGGGCAGGAGGGCAAGCGGGCAAGAGGCAGGAGGGCAGGAGGGCAGGAGGCCGAGGGGGTGGCAGGAGGGCAGGAGGCCGAGGGGGTGGCAGGAGGGCAGGAGGCCGAGGGAGAGTGACGAACCTGTGCACCGGGGCCTGCGACAGACCCTGGGGGCGACGCAGGGGAAGCGGTGGAAGGTGAGGAGGATTGGAGGGGTGGGGTGGAGGAGGAGGGGACGAGGCCGAGGGTGGAAGACCAGAGCCCCACTTCCACGGGCACCCCTTTCTGGATGTTGAGAATGCGGATCTCGTTTGCTGCCAGGTCGCCGTGTGGGGTTAGTGTGATTCTGAGAGGGCAGGGGAGGGGCATGGGTGCAAAACGGTTGAGAGCGTTTGTGGGGTGTGAAAGCATGGTGAACGGGCTAGGCGGAGGAGGACAGGCAAGGGGAGGAGGAAGTGGGGACCAAAAGGATGACAGAAATGGGGTTGGCCTCCTGCCCTCCTCACATCCCCCCCCCGCCCCCCTCCCCACACTCCCCCCTCCCACACACACCCTTTCCCCTCAACACGCCTCACCTGCCCTGCAGGCCATCAAAGCTGGTATTGAGAAGAGCCTTTCGCAGTGCCGGTCCCACTGTGGTTGGGACGGGTTGAGAAGTGCGGGCAGGCATCAATTCGAGGAGCTCGATTGCATTGCATTGCATGGCGACAGTGTGCCAAAATGGGAGGGCATAGAGCGGCACAGCAGCAACAGAGCCACGAGAGAAGCATGCGACCAGCAGCAGACTACTTATTGAGTCGAACCAGAAATCAGTGCAGGACAGCTACCGATGCGGAATAGGTGCACTTTGTTGAAAGCGCGTGAGTGGTGGGGCAAGTGCATGGGGCAGGACGCATGGGGCAGGGAGCATGGGGCAACGCGTATGGGGCAGGGCGCACGGGGCAGGGCGCAGCAGCATACATGCACTTTGTTGAAGGCGGGTGAGTGGCGGAGCGAGCACGGCTTGGGTGCCGTTGGGGAGTGGAGGCAGCACCGGCAGCTCCAGCCGCTGAAATGTCTGCCCTGCCCCCTCTTGTTGATGCATTCTCCTCTGCTGCCCCGTTTGCTCCTGACCCAATTTCTGCTGTTGCGCTTGTGTGTTCTCGTGCGAGGACGAGTTGGTTGGTGCAGCAGGATCGGAGGGGTAGAGCAGGGAGTGCAGCGCACGTGCGACGAGGGTCACAGCATCGTGTGATGAGAGTGCGTATGTTGACGGATTCTGGCTTGGTGGGAGGAGTTAGGAGAGGGAGGCATGAGGGAAAGGAATCTGAGAAAAACGTTTGTGGATGCAGGGAGGTGTCGACAAGGGGAGGTGTGGACAAGGGGAGGTTGTATTCGAGAAAAAAAAAATATATATATATATATACAGAAATTATATTTATATATTTATATTTTTGAGTTGACTCAGAAATTGACGAGAGCACGTATGGCTTCTGGCTTGACTGAAAGGAAGTGGGGGGGAATCCTTTCGTTCTGAAAGGGAGGTAATTGCTTGAAAAGGGAAGGAGGGAAGTATTGGGCAGGGGAGGTGTGGAGGAAGTAGGGTCAAGGAAAATGGCAGGATACAGTAGCTGGCAGGTATATGAGATGGCAATCCCTACAAGAACAAGCGAAGAAGAACAGATACAACAGCAAGCACAGGGCATAGGGTATGTACCCCCTTGGTGAGTCCCAGGTACTGGGATGCATTCAGAGTAAGAATTTGTTAGTAACAACAGAAAGAGAAAGGGCATAGGGTATGCATATACCCCCTTGGTGAGTCCCAGGTACTGGGATGCATTGAGGAGCTTCCAGCGATCGTAGAACGATGAGAGTCGCGGGGAGGGAGGCACGTGGGTGGCTGTGATGATGAGCCCCTGTGGTCGAATGGGAGAAAGAGTGGTGGAGTGGGGTTGAGAGAGATGAGGAGCGTTGCTTTATCGTTGATTCTGTTCTATATTGAAAAGGAGGACCGTGTGCTAAGATGAGAGGAGAGAAGAGCAGAGAAGAAGAGAGCCACCAAGACAAACACTCGAAACACTGCACATTCACAAAAATCCATACGCACACAAGCCACACTGACATCACCCCACTCGCACCAGCACCCCACTCACAGCAGCACCCCACTCACAGCAGCACCCCACTCACAGCAGCACCCCACTCGCACCAGCACCCCACTCACAGCAGCACCCCACTCACAGCAGCACCCCACTCACAGCAGCACCCCACTCACAGCAGCACCCCACTCACAGCAGCACCACTCTCCACTCACATCCACGTGTGGCACTGATGACAGCTGCGGCCTCCGAGGAGATCCACACGCTGCTCCGCGCATACAGCCGCAGTACCACTCTCCACTCACAATCACCACTCTGCACCAGAGCCACAGCACCACTCTCAACTCACATCCACGTGTTGGGTGGAGGTGGCACTGATGACAGCTGCGGCCTCCGAGGAGATCCACACGCTGCTCCGCGCATACAGCCGCAGTACCACTCTCCACTCACAATCACCACTCTGCACCAGAGCCACAGCACCACTCTCAACTCACATCCACGTGTTGGGTGGAGGTGGCACTGATGACAGCTGCGGCCTCAGACGAGATCCACACGCTGTTCTTCACAAACAGATGCAGCTTGTTGGCTGATCCGCGTGGGGTGGGGTGAAGGTGAGGGTGGGGGTGAGGATGGGAGCACACAGAATACGGATGGAATTTGAGTGGCACGCTCGTGGCCCTTGGAATGGGCACCCACAGCTGCGGCCTCAGACGAGATCCACACGCTGTTCTTCATAAACAGATGCAGCTTGTTGGCTGATCCGCGTGGGGTGGGGTGAAGGTGAGGGGTGGGAGCATACAGAATATGAATGGAATTTCAGTAGCATGCACGTGGGCCTTGGAATGGGCACCCACAGCTGCGGCCTCCGAGGAGATCCACACGCTGTTCTTCGCAAACAGACGCAGCTTGTTGGCTGATTTATGTGGGGTGGGGTGGGGTGATGGTGAGGGTAGGGTGGGTCCGGGAGAAGATACAGTATGATGGGCTTATGCCATTTCCACTTGTTTCTCTCATTCAGCTACAGTATCGGAACCCACCTGTTTCAACGGCAGCAATGGATACAGCAAGAGAGGCATACAGCACGCAGACTGGCAGGCATGCAGCACGCAGACTGGCAGGCATGCAGCACGCAGACTGGCAGGCATGCAGCACGCAGACTGGCAGGCATGCAGCACGCAGACTGGCAGGCATGCAGCACGCAGACTGGCAGGCATGCAGCACGCAGACTGGCAGGCATGCAGCACGCAGAGAAGACTGGCAACCGTAGCGGCGGCAGCAGCCGCTCTTCAATCCACATAACGCACCTGCTTCAACGACGGCAGAGAAGATAATCGGGGAGGCGTGAAGCACATAGACCGCCACGTCTAGCGACTTCAAAGCAGACATGTAGTCGTGAATGGCCTCGTTCGCGGCTGTCAGCGGGATGGCCACCCGCACTGCCACATCCGCCTCCGCCTGTTGAAAGAGAGGGGGAAGGGTTGGGGCAGGTGGAGCACAGCACCGCACAGCACCGCACAACACAGCACAGCACAGCAGGAGGAGATGTGGTGGTCGTGAATGGCCTCGTCTGAGGCTTTCAGCGGGATGGCCACCCGCGTTGCCACATCCGCTTCCGCCTGTTGTGGTGGAAGCAGGGGAACCCCTTAACCGCAAAGCAATACAGCCATGCCACCACTCGAGACCCCTTAACGCACAGCCTCATGTGTGGTCGTGGAACCATAGCATTGCTGGACTGGCCGGGTTTGAGGCACCCCAATAACCACACCCGCCTTCGCCTGTTTGGGGGACGGCAAGGGGGAGCCGTTGCAGGGAGACAGGGATGCACAAAGCAACAGCGGCAGCAGGGAGGTATGCGTAGGAAGGACGCTCGTGCATGGGATCTGGGGCGACAGGCGCAGGGCACACACACACAGACACACACACACGCACACGCACACGCACACGTGCACACTCACACACACATGCACACAAGTGTACGCTTGGGGCAGTTCGAACAAAGTTCTGAAGCGCCCCAAATCTACTGCAACGAAAGGTGTCTCACTCAGACTCAAGGAGGAAAGAGCACACACACATGACCAAGCCATCAGGCGCCTCAAGAAACTGCGACGGCCTCAGGGGGCGAGGGAGGCAGCTCACGCACATGGATGGAGAGCAGGTGTGAGGTGAGCGCAGCCACACCGTTGCGGCCGAAGCGGTCGTCGCTGTAGACGAGCGCCACCTGCTGCCACTTGTAGTGCCTGATCAGCTCTGCACAGTGGGCGAGGAAGGGGGGGAGGGGGTATGTTGGAAAAAACGCTAAAGTTCAGTTGCGTTTTGAGTATAAACGCACCAAAAACGCGTACGCTGCGTTTTTGGTGTAGAAACGCAAAAATCCGCACGGGCAGACCTAAAAAAAAAAGGTGCGTATTCTGGTCGGTTTCTGCGTATCGCGAAATCGAATTACGTGCGGGCCAAAATCGAGTTACTTGCTCACCAATTTCGATTTCGTGCTCCCCGAGTCGCGACCCCACAAATGTTACACCCCTGCACAACCCACTTCACTGCATTCACTTCCAACCCCTTCCAACCAAATGATGTCTGGCAGTTCATCCCCCAACCTCTTCTTTCCAGGCATAAATGAAGGCGTTCCTTCACTCGTCAATCATTCCTCTCTCAGATTAGTAGTTGTTCTAGCGTTTTGGAAGCATGGCTTCCGTTGCAGAAATGACTCCTCCCAGCAACCCGACTTCAGCTCCTCGTGGTAGTTCCGTCGAGTGCGAGAGCACTCCCCTGTACATCATGGACAGTGACCACGCCGTGTTCAAGCACTTCAAGGTTGCTGTGGGTGTGGATAACGCCCTCACCGCGTCCAAGGTATGCGCTTATTGTGCATTCAAGTTCAACGGCGGGATGTACCGGTGCGCCCAGCACATCACCGGCTGGAACGGCATGCGGCGTCGTGAAGTGCGCTTGTGCTCCGACGCGCCGAAGTCGGCGCGTGATGGCGTCAAGGCGGTTTACGAGGACAAGCAGAAGGCCCGCGACAACAAGCGATCGGCGGAGCGATCCGCTATTGCCGCGGTTTCCAACTCTGCGGGCGCGCCAAAAAAGAGTCGCATGACGGACTTCTACGGCGATGAATCTACGTGCGCTAAGAAGGAGGCGGATGACTCAATTTGCCTTCTCTTCGCGGCCCTCCGTCTTCCCGAGCATCATGCAGACCACCCACTGTGGCGCAACGCGGTTTCCTGCATCGCACGCGCGGGTGGTTCATACACGCCACCGAAGCGACGCTTCATCGGAGGAGCCGGCCTCCGAAACTGCCGGCAACGCATCGAGGTCGCTCTTGCGCCGATCTCCGCAAGCTGGCGCCGTAACGGCGTCACCATCGCTTCAGACATGATGACCGACGCCTCGGGCCGCCCACAAGCAAACGTGCTGCTCATAAACGACAGCGGCGCCGTCTTCACCGAAGCGGTCGACACACAGATGGAGGTGAAAACAGGCGGCTACATTGCGGCATGCCGGGAACTCATGGTGGAGTTCCCACACCTCGAACAAGTCCCGTGCGCGACCCATGTCCTCGATCTCCTCATGGAGGACATTGGGAAGATGAATTGGGCGAGGGTGGTGGTCACGCGGGCGGCCGAGATCATAAACTTCGTTCGTAGCCACCACTTCGCGCGTGGCTACTTGCGGAGCCCCCTCGTCAACGACGGCAAAGGCAAGCAGGTTCTCAAGCCTGCGGGAACCCGCTTCGGGACCCAGTTCATCGCGGTCTCACGCCTGGTCGAGCTCCGCATGTCTCTGCTGCAGATGGTCTTGAGCGAGGAATGGCGGCCTTGGGCGACAGGGGGAAGGAGGGCGAGCGCGGAGGTGTTTCACGGGTACATCCTCGACTCGGAATGGTGGAAGGTGGCCGAATTCTTCACGGTGCTGATGGAGGCTCCCTTCAAGGTGATGCGCGCCACGGACGGCACCGCCAAAGGGATGATGGGGCGGCTTTACGACTTGATGCTGCAGCTCACCGAGGATGTGCACGACATCCTCGAGGCGAAGGGCGACGAGTTCCTGACGCGGGGGGAGATGGGGGAGATCAGGAAGATTGTGAAGGCAAGGTGGGATGAGGGTTTGGCATGCCCCATGCATGTGGTTGGCCGAATTTTAAACCCGGCCAACCAGGAGGAGGGCATTTTCCGCAACGACGTGGAGTGCACCCGTGTTCTGAAAGCCTACATCTCCAAGCACTACGACGATGTCACCATCACAAGCAAGGATGGTGAAGAGCGTCGTGCCTCCTTTGTCTTGCAGGAAGGGCTCACGGCATTCCTGAACCTGGAGGGGAGTTTCGGCATGCCTGCAGCGATTGCTGATCGCGAAGCTGTGAAAGCAGGGACCCACACTGCTCTCCAGTGGTGGGAGTGGCACGGGACGGACTACCCTCACCTGGCGACGCTCGCATGCCGCTCGCTCACGCAGCCCGTGTCCGCCTCGTCGTGCGAGCGGAATTGGGCGGTGTGGGACGGGGTGTACACCGCCAAGCGCAACCGCCTTGGCTCTGAAAAGTGCCGGGATTTGGTGTACGTTGCGCACAACTGGAAAGTTGTGCACAACTGGTACACCGTCCCGGAGGGCCAGGGGGTGGTCACGGGCAACATTGAGGCCCCTCCCCTTCCCGAGGGGTACAAGGTGGCAGAAGAGGGGTGGGAGGAGGAGGCGGACCAGGGGGAGGATGTCATCATGAACGATGAGTATGAGTAGTCCTCAATTTGAGAAGTGCTTGCAATCCTGCCGTGGGGGAGGTGGAAGTACCTTGATGTGTAGTAGGTGCAATGCAACAAGGGGCGGGGGGGGGGGTGTAGGATGCACTATGTAGTAGTATGAGAATAGTGTCCTGTAGGGAGAGGGAAAGAGGTAGTGATGCTAACATGGAATGTCTAGTCGGTCATTTTCTTTTGTAGTAGGCGTATTAATAAAATGTGATGGGAGTTTTTTTTTTTAACCCCCCCCCCCCTAAACATGGTTTTTTCGCTGCCCCGAAACTTTTTTACCCCTGCCCGGACCTGCGTTTTTGCTGCGTATATGCCTCTCATATTCTCGCGTTTCTCGTATATACTCTCTGGAAAAAACGCTTGCGTGAAAAACGCAATACGCGTTTTTTCCAACATGTGGTGGAGGAGATAGGGGCTTTGGTTTGGAGTCGACTCAATAGTACCATCATTCGGTCATCGCTGTACACGAGCGCCACCTGCTGCCACTTGTAGCGCTTGATCAGCTCTGCAGCGGGATGAGAGGGATGAGAGGTGAGGGGAGGAGAAGACGGGATGGGATGAGCGCCACCTGCTGCCACTTGTAGCGCCGGATCAGCTCTGCAGCGGGACGAGAGGTGAAGGGATGAGAGGAGAGGGGAACACCTTTAGTTTGGAGTCGACTGCGGGTCTGAACTTCAGCAGAAAGACAGTGGGTCTAAGGTTCCGACTCCACTCAACGGCTCCATTGATCGTCGCTGCAGATGAGCGCCACACGTCTCCACTTGTAGTGCTACCTTCTCCGAGTGGTAGACTAGATGGATGGACGAGAGAGAGGTGAAGGGAAGGGAAGGGGCCTCTGGTTTCGACTCGACTCGACTCAATGGTCGGCTGAATAGTCCCAGCAGCCATCGCTGTAGATGGGATGAACATGAGCGCAGCGCCACCTGCCTCCAATTGTAGTGCCTCATCAGATCTGATTGGTTGAGCCGAGAGGTGACGGACGGACGGGGGTTGTATTGTATGTATGTACCGACCTGCTATGTCCCCTAGACTTTTGAGTCGACTCAAAAGTCACCTGGTTGTATTGTATGTATGTACCCACCTGCTATGTCCCCTGAACGCACGTGCCCTGTGCTGCCCCATCCATGATCCATCCATTCCACGGAACGAAAGAATAATATCCACACCACACCTGCCATGGCGGCCATCTGCACGCCGTCGCTGGGAGAGTTGCGTATGACGAACACACGTGTGCTGCTGCTACCTGTACCTGCAGGGAGTTTTTGAGAATTCTCAAAAACTCCCTGAGAATTCTCAAAAACTCTCTGCACGCCGTCGATGGGAGAGTTGCGCATGAAGAACACACGTGTGCTGCTGCTACCTGTACCTGCACCAGCACCAGCACCTGCGCTGCTCGACCCATGCTAGCATGGAATGAATGAAGCCTGTACCTGCCATGGCAGCCATCTGCACGCCATCGCTGGGCACGGTGCGCATGAAGTAGGGCCGGCTGCCGCCCTGCGTAAGCTGCACGCCAGTTGCTGACGCTGATATGAACGGCACCTGGTGGGGTGGAAAAGGTTGATGGGGAATAGGGGTTCTCAGAACAAGTGAAGGGTTCTCAGAACAAGTGAAGGGTTCTCAGAACAAGTGAAGGGTTCTCAGAACAAGTGAAGGGTTCTCAGAACAAGTGAAGGGTTCTCAGAACAAGTGAAGGGTTCTCAGAACAAGTGAAGGGTTCTCAGAACAAGTGAGGGGTTCTCAGAACAAGTGAAGGGTTCTCAGAACAAGTGAAGGGTTCTCAGAACAAGTGAAGGGTTCTCAGAACAAGTGAAGGGTTCTCAGTACAAGTGAAGGGTTCTCAGAACAAGTGAGGGGTTCTCAGAACAAGTGAAGGGTTCTCAGAACAAGTGAAGGGTTCTCAGAACAAGTGAAGGGTTCTCAGAACAAGTGAAGGGTTCTCAGAACAAGTGAAGGGTTCTCAGAACAAGTGAAGGGTTCTCAGAACAAGTGAAGGGCTCTCAGAGGCGACCAGCAAAAGAATGACAACGGATTACGTGGTGAGAAAGTAAGGTTGATAGGTCATATCGGGCATGATTCTTTCATGAGACTATGATTCTTTCATTCTTGGAAACATGTATTTGGGTGGCATTGGTTGTCTGTTGTGTTACCTGGGTTGCGGCTGCAATTGGGCTGAATCGGGCGGCCTGGTCAGATGTGTGCGGGCCAATCACAGCCACTGGATGGTTCTCGAGAAGTTGAAATGCTGCCACGTGGAAGCAGGAGATGAAGCCACGTGGAAATGAAGGGGAACCAATAACAAGGGTAAAGGGAATGGGAGAAAGTTGTCGAGGGGGTGTGGACGGGGGAGGTTGAAAGAGGAAAGGCGAGGAGGATGGGAAAGGACGGGAGAGCTCCAGCAATGGCGGCAGAGTGAAGCGGCGGAGAAACGAGCAGAGGGGGAGGGGAAGGGAAGACAGGAGACGGGCCTTGGGGTTGGGAGAAAAAGGGAAAACCGGAGCGCGGAGGGTGTAGGGAAGAGGGGACGGTGGGCGAAAGGGGGGGGAGGTGACGGGAGGGGAATACCTGCGAGCTGGCTCGAGAGCGAGGTGACGGAGTAGTTTTGTACCGTCAGATGCAGCACGTGGTTTGGCAGGATGCTTGGATCGCCGTTGATTTCCTCCACCGCCATGACAGAGGCTGGGCGGGGAAGAAGGGAAGCGGAGGAAGGGAAAAGGGGAGAGGGGACAAAAAGGAGCGGAGCCGAAGAGGGAAAGGAGGGAAGAGGGGGAGGAGGAAGAAGGAAGGCAGGGGGAGGGAGAGGGGATGAGGGAGGAAGGCGGAAGGAAGGAGGAGACGCACTGTCAGGCACGAGAGGGCGAGGAGGGGGGCCGACAACCACATGACGCGACCTATTTTTGTCGCGCCTCAAAGGTAGACACAGCGCTGGCAGCGTACCGGCCAGCATGTCGACTCCCCCAGGCAGGTCAGGGGCGAACAAGCATCCCACCGTCAGTACCGCTTTGCTCTTGCCGTTGCTCGAACCTTTTCCGAAAGCCGCCTTTCTCCTGCGAGAGTCGCGTTTCGTCCCGTCGTCGCTCGCCAGTATTCTCACTGACACACTCGCTTTGGTAATCGCATTGTGGCCGTTGAAGCTAAAGCTGTTACTTGAATCGTGACCTTCGACTCCAGAGCTGCTGTTCGCGCGACTGACTAATACTCGGTTTCCATCAGCATTAACGGTCAGATTAGTGTCAGCGTTTTGATCAGAATCAGCGTTAGCGTCACGATCAGAGTTAACGTTCAAATCAGAGTTAGCCGCGTGAGCGATCACGTCCGTCACAACTCGCCTCGGAATGTCCTTTTCGTAATTAATCAGATTAGAAATCGGTCCTGCATCGTTAGCCAGGTCAGCATACTGAAACTTCCTGTACTCTCCAGCTTTCGCGCCTGAACCTGTCGCGACGGCGCTTCCCGTACTCCCCGTAAGAAGCTCCGCTAACGCTAAAACGAACGCTAGCGCAAAAACGAAAAACCAAGAGGAAGCTTCGCGGTGTCGACGAGACGAAAGACGCATGCGTGGTGCCGCGATAATAGTTTCTTCGTGGGTATGCATTCTTAACCCTAATATCGACGCGATCTCGGTGCGGATAGGCCAATGCGACCCGCATCGAACGTTATCTCTGTCGCACGCCATCGAATGCTACCGCAGTCGCACACGCTGCGATTGTCATTCGCTGTGGTATCAGATAGTCGGTCATTAGAATGTACGGAAAGTATGTTACACGAGAAGGTAGAACACCCGTCGTGTGACCTAATCGGCTTATCAGCAGCGTGCAGGCCCACGTGATAACCCATCGTGCTGCCATGCTGGTGACGTGTATGGCTTCACTTCACCTCAAATCAAATTCCAGGAGGAGGAGCAGGAGAACCGATAGATTGTCAACGCCTGGAGGATTCTGGACCGATAGATTTCGGCGTTCACAACCAAGTTGCGTGAGGTTCTCGGATTCTCGTTGGCTGGGGACACAAAACAGTGACTGAGGGCGAGGCGAGGGATAAAAGTGACCGTTGACAAATGACAAGTTGGCTTGGCATTCGTTCCTTTCCCGCGCGTTTGGTGCGCACCGAAACACCCGCCCGCCGCCATCCCTTGATCCACCTGCCGCCCCATTCCTGGACACAATTACACCATATCCGCGTCACGGGATAACCTAATAGGAACAAACTCAACATCTCTAACAGTGGTATTACAATGACTTCATACTCTAAGGTCTCATCCTTCCTTCCAAATTGCAATTGAAATCACCCACCACACCACCCCCTCACAGCAATACTTCACATTTCAGGACAAAACATCACCCCCACACCACCCCCTCAAGCTAGAAACGCAGCCATGCCTTTCTGATAGTGTTTAAAACGTTAACTGCTATATTTACAACAATAACGCCGTACAAATACTGCCGTGCATAATAGCATGTTAGGAAGCGAACGGACGACGGGGAGGCAACGGATCAAGGATTACACATCACACACACGCACTCTCTTTCACTCTCCCACTTTCTCACCTGAGAGCAAGCAGCCCTCACATCACTGCACTCTTTCACACTGTCTCCTGCCTTCGCATGTCCTGTCCGGGCCGCGTCTGTGTATGCGTCCGCATCTGTGCTTTGGTCTTCATGAGAGCAGCAGTCTTCACTCTTCGTCGGGCCCGTGGCGAGTACTGCACCTGCACCTTCCACGATGCCCGCTGCCGCCGCGCCATCACGGACACAGGCCGCCGCTGCCCAAGTGGCCGCTCAGGTGGATGCTCAGGTGGCTGCGCAGGTGGCCGCTCAAGTGGCTGCGCAGGTGGCCGCTCAGGTGGCTGCGCAGGTGGCCGCTCAAGTGGCTGCGCAGGTGGCCGCTCAGGTGGACGCTCAGGTGGACGCTCAGGTGGGCGGCCAGCTGGGAGACCAGGTGGATGGCCACTAAGACATTGACCAATCAGGGCATTTTCGATCGGGCCTTGAGTTGACGGGATGGATGTTGGAGGCGTGGGATGGTCTGAAGAGGGATGACTGTGAGCTTGGGCGGGCGTTTTTGGAGGCAGTTGCTGTTTGGGGTGAGTGGGTTTGCAAGAGGGTGAAATGCCGCTTGTGCTTGTTGCTGCAAGTGATGGTTTTCTGGATGCTGCAACTGCTGCTGCACTCGCTGCCACACTGGATGCCCTTTGGACTGGTGCACATGATGGTGCATGGAATCGTGCGTGCGATGCAGCATGGGTTCGTGCATGCATTGGCACACGTGCTGACGCATGCAAAGGCGCATGTGATGGTGCGAACGACACCGATCGAGCTGGGCCACGGGACGTGGCCTTCCGTTGCAGTCGTGGTGGGCCTTCAGAGGCGATCGAAGATGCAGGTGAAGGAAAGCCGTGAGCAGACGAGGCAGGTGATGCAAGGCTGTGAGCAGACGAGGCAGAGGGTGATCGGAACTCAAACGCAGTGGTGGTCTGCTGCGGTTGAGAGTTGTAGGCTGACAGGTGCCTCTCCCTGCTCCATTCCTTGCCCTGCCATAGAAAAACGAGGGAAGAACGGAGAAAAAAAAAAAGGATGGACAAAGGAAGAGTGAAATGAAACGGGGGACCTAGAAACTTCAGAAGCAGCCCTTTACTCGTGGTTTAGATGCTAATAGTCGGGCTAATCAATGAAGAGATTGAGATTCCTTTTGATGACATTGAGAACTCACCTTGTGGAATATATCCAAAAGACTGTTTTGAGGCGCCTCAAATGACCCTGGGAGCTCACCTTGTGAAATTTATCGACAAGGCTGTCCACTTTGTTGTGAAAGGACTCCATTCTTGGCTGACTCCAGTCAATGGAGCCGAGCGAAGGCAGGCTGGGGAAGGCCGGCAGAGTGGAGGAGGGCGGCAGAGAGGGGAAGACGGGGGCCGTAGAGGAGGGTAGAGAGCGGTTTGTGGGGAAAGTGTTTTCAGCAGAGGGCAGACGGGGGACGATCGAAGTGAGCCTGGGAAGTTTTAACATCCGAGTGGCTAAGCTTGAGTTGGTGCCGCTGCTTGGTTGGGAGGAGAGGCTTGGATGGCTGCTGCTGCTGCTTGGGCCGATAGCAGTGCTGGTGGCAAGGCTGGTGTAAGAATCAAGATGGGAGGGAGGGACCTGCTCCTTGTCCATGCTGCCTTGCTCCTCTCCTCCACCCGCCTCTTTCCCTCCTGCTTGCTCGCTAATAGCCGCCTTTTCTCTGTGGGATCCTGACTGTCCGTGGGATACTGGCTCTATGTAAGGTGCTTCATTGCTGTGGGTTGCCCGCCCTCTGCTCAACTCATCTGCAGCGCTCTCATCTTCTTGCCCGTCGTGAGATCCTCGACTTCTCTTGCTCCCCAGGGATGACTGTGACGCACGGGAGAGCACAGGCTGTGGGTGTCTTGGTGGTCTGCTGCTGGACGCTGCTGTTGGTTCAAATGATGAAACAGCAAGAACAGGGGCAGGGGCATGCGCAAGGGCAGGGGCAGGAGCTGGAGCAAGAACAGAGGCAGGGGTAGGAGCAGGGGCAGGAGCAGGAGCAGGAGCAGGAGCAGGAGCAGGAGCAGGAGCAGGAGCAGGAGCAGGAGCAGGAGCAGGAGCAGGAGCAGGAGCAGGAGCAGGAGCAGGAGCAGGAGCAGGGGAAGGAGCAGCGGCAGGAGCAGGAGCAGGAGGGACAGCTGATGCTGCTACTAGAAGCCCCTTCAGCTGCTGCTGCTGCTGCTGCTGCTGCTGCTGCCGCTGTTGCTGCTGCTGCTGCTGCTCCTGCTCCATTTCTTTCTTCAAGCTACTAAACGAGCTTGGACCAGCTGAGGAAGAAGACTGGCTGCTGCCCACGAGTGTGTGGTGGGCTGCTGAGTTGGAGCAAGGTAAGGAGGCCGCTCGAGCAGTGGGAGACGGGCGAGAGAGGGAGGAGGGAGAGGAGGTGATAGTGTTGCGAGGCACCCCAAGGGACGAGTGCAGGGAGGAGGAGGAGGATAGATTGATGTGAAGCGGGGCAATGAAAGACCGAGCACGGAGCAAAGGGGATGATGAGAAGAGGAGAGGCAGTGGAGCATCTGACTGCTGCTGCGCATCTGACTTGTTGCTCTTCTCTCTTTCCTCATCTCTTTCCAGTTGCTCTACTGCTTCCCACCTGTTGCTTTCTCTCATACTCCCTCTGCTGCTATCTCTCATACTGAGACTACTGCTCTCTCTAATACTCCCTGTACTGCCCTCTGTCGTTATCGCTCTACTGCTTTCTCGCATACTTGCTCTACTGTTCTCTCCCATACTCCCTCTATTGCTTTCTCTCATACTCCCTCTACTGGTTTCTCTCATGCTCCCACACGTTTGCTCTCTCATACTCCCTCTACTTTTCTCTCTCATACTCCCTCTACTGCTCTCACTCATACTTCCTCTTCTGCTCTCTCTCATGCTCCTGCTACCGATGCTCCCTCTCATGCTCCCACTCATGCTCCCACCACTAATGTTCTCGCCCAATTTCCCACTCCTGAAGCTCCCTCTGTAGCTTCCTTTGCCAGTGCTCCCACTCTTGCTCCCTCTGCTCATTCGGAAACCAGGCAAGGGGCCAAAGCTGTCCTTGTCAGAGTCTGAATCAACTGAGTCTAGAGAGTCAACTGAGTCAACGCCTTCCTGAGCGGTGCTACTGGGCGGCTCTCTCCCAAAGCTCTTCACTTTGTCCACTAGCGACTGCACACCCTTCTCCCTCACGTAGCAGTAACCGCGGTAGATGAGGAGAGCAACATAAACCATGCAGCAGGCCGTAGAGATGACGAGGTAGATGATGTACAGGCCTCCGAACCGCTGTATACCGAACTGCACCGCAGTGGTCTTCTGCGGGCAGGCGCTCTCAGACTGCACGGGGAAGAGGAAGAGAGGAGGGAGAAGAAAGGCCGGCGAAGGGTTAAGGAAGGATGGCTATTGTGGGCAAACGAAGCCTTCGTGAGAAATTAATGGCAAAGCAGAGGGTTAAGGCAGAGTGCCTGGAGGAGAAAGGGGCAGGGGATGAGCACGGATTGAATGAAGCTGCGTGGCAGGTGTAGCAAGTGGATCATAGTTGCACCCTTACACTGAAGTACTTGGCATGAAGCTGCTCCACCTCCTGTGTCATGCGCAGCGCAGCTATGGCGTTTGAGATGTCCGGGCCCAACGCACTGCCCTTCTGGAAAGCCTGTGGGGAGGGGGGGTTTTGGTTTGGGGACTTCTCAAAGCTCAGAAAGTCCGGGTCCAGTTCGGTGCCTTTCTGGAAGGCTGTGAACAAGGCGAGCAGAGAACACGCACCATAGGACAAGGTCGAGCGATACAACAAATACATGCAAGCTTGAGCAAGCACGAGTGTCAAAAGCGAGAGGAGCACTCAATGTGACATAGAAATTTGACAAAGTCAAACAAATTAAACGAGAGGAGCACTCAATGTGACATACAAATGCGAGGTTGAGGGAGGAGAAGGGCTGTGCGGCCTGCATGACGTCGCAGAACTGCGATGTGAAGACAGCCAGGTAAGGGTTCTCATCCACGATCACTGCCACCCGCCCCGATGCCAGCGAGGACGCATACTCGCTCTCCCCACTCAACGTCACCAGCTTGTCCTGATGGCGTTCCGGGGGTGGATGGAGGGAGGGACGGAGAGAAGCGGGGGAAGGGAGAGGTGCGGAGGAGAAGAGGTTAAGGTGGGGGTTCTCGTCCACTATCACTGTGACCCGCCCCGATGCCAGTGATGACGCATACTCGCTCTCCCCGCTCAAAGTCACCAGCTTGTCCTGATGGCGTTCCGGGGTGTGCAGAGAGAGGGAAAGTGGCGGGAGACAAGGCAGAGCTGCAGAGGTTGAGGCAGAGGAGAGGGTGCGACAGGGCAGGGTTGTTGCGGACTTGCGCACTTTTCGCACCCCGGAATGCCATCAGGACAAGCAGGTGTGATTGGCCGCGGATGACTAGCTACAGCAGGTAGGAAGAGGACGAGACGAAGGTTTCACAGAACGGAGGTTAAGATTTCATTTCATGCAGTGGCAAAGTCACGAGCCCCAAGCATGCACCAGCACCAGAACCACAAGGTACAAGCATGCAAACACCGGAGAGACTCCTAGCTGCTGCAGGTAGGAAGAGACGAAGGTTCACAGCAAGGGCTTTCATTTCGTGCAGTGGCAACATCACAAGCCCCACGCATGCACCAGCACCAGAAGCAGAAGGTACAAGCATGCAAATACCGGAGAGACTCCTAGCTGCTGCAGGTAGGAAGAGACGAAGGAGGCCTGCTGGTAGCCAATGGCGGCATTGCTGTTGATGGCCGTTGTGATGTCCTGATGGGGCGAGGGAGATGACAGCAGGAGAGGGGAGTGTGGGCAAAGGGAGGGGGGAAAGGGTGGAGGAATATTTGAGTCTGCTGAGGAGCCCTGCTGGTAGCCAATGGCGGCGTTGCTGTTGATGGTCGTCGTGATGTCCTGAAGGGGCGAGGGACACGATCACACGAATGGTGTGGTGAGCCCCTGAAGCGTGAGGATGGCAGTGAGATTGGTTAGAAATGTGAGAGGAGAGGAAGAGAAAGGGAACAGCATGAACAAAGAGGTCGAGCGAGCTCACGACAACAGTGAGGGAGGAGTGGAGCTCACGAGAATGGTGGGGATGGCAGTGAGATTAGGGGTGTAGGAGGCGAGGACGAGAAAGTCAAGAACAAGAACAAACAAACTAAGCACACGCACCAGAATGGTGGGGGTGAGCCTCTGAATGGTGAGGATAGCAGTGAGGTTGGAGGTGTAGGAGGCGAGGAAGAGAAATGCGAGAATGAGCCACATGCCCAGCACCGTTCGCGCCAGCACAGAGCGAATTGAGTAGACTGCAAAGTGCGGGATCACAGGACAGGACGTAAGATGGCGAAAGAGGATGACGACGTTTTCTTGGGAACTTGAGCAGCAAAAGCGTGTTCAAGTCAACTCAGGGAGGCACCATAGATTGGCTGGCTCCTTTATCAACCGACGCAGAGAATGTGAACCCTGCCTCACTGCATGTCATGATAAGCTGGCAAAAAGGGGCCTACCTATAACAGAGTAGAGAGTGTGAATCCCAAACCTGCCACACCACAGCCACAGGACACAAGTGGTACACAAAAGCAGCAAGCACTTGGCAATGAGCGCATTTATAGCATGGATGGACCGTACGTACAGACAGCACCCAACAAACATGGGATGGGACAACGGCATGGGAGTGAGTGTGCATAGGAGAATTGCCAGCCCTCAACAAAGTGGTGTTCGGTGCTGCTCCGATGTGACTCTTTGAGTCTGACTTGACGTGCCTTTCCCCTTTCTCTCACCACGTGGCGGTGATTGCCAGCTGGTGCAGCTTCGCCTGGAAGTGATCGTTCCGCCGGCACAGCCCATTGGCCCGTATTCATAGCCTGGGCTCAAGCCGCCTCACTGCATCACACCCCAGCTCCCCCTCACCATGTGGCGGTGATTGCCAGCTGGTGCAGCTTCGCCTGGAAGTGCACGTTGAGGCGCCACTCGAGGAACACCATAAGTACGCCTGTCAGCAGTGAAAGGCCTAGCAGGGTGGCCCACATGGAGGGCGTGAAGGGCAGAAAGGCCGTCCACATGTTGTTGCTCTCCCGCGAGTACCCTATCAGACTCAGACCTGATTGCTGAGGAGGGAGACGAAGGGTGAGATGCGAGGAGGATGGAGAGAAGAGGGGTGGGCTGCGATGCGGAAGGGCAGAAAGGCCGTCCACAGGTCGCTGCTCTCCCTTGAGTACCCTATCAGGCTTAGACCCGATTGCGGCGAGGGCGAAGGGTGTTTTGGGGAGTCAAAATTCCACGTCATCTCTTGCATTCAATCAATAAACGCACGCACACGAGGAAACAAGGAGATTTTTGGGATGAATCAAAGGTCTTTTTCTCGCCTATTCACTATGTTACGTTACATGCGGGGATAATACGTTACACTAAAAGGATGGACTGGGTGAAGTCGTTTGCAGAGCTGGAAGAGGGAGTAGGATGAGTGGAGAAACATGCACTCACTATAGTATGCGGGCACATACGACGATGCCTTTGAGTCGACTCAGAAGCCACGTCTTACAGTCACTTGCGGGGCGCACGTACGAGGATTGATTGGGTGAAGTAGGCCATTTGCTGCTGTGAGTCCACAACTGTGATGTCACCTGAAGAAACAGAATAGTCTACCTCCCTTCCTCCCCCCCTCCCTCACTCCCTCCATCCCTCCCTCCCTCCCTCCCTCCCTCCCTCCCTCCCTCCCTTCCTCCCTCCCTCCCTCCCTCCCTCCCTCTCTCCCCTTCCCTTGCATTCAATGTATCATGCATACAATGCATCACGCAGGCAGGCGCACGTACGAGAATGGATTGGGTGAAGTAGACCATTCGCTGCCGCGAGTCCACCACTGTGATGTCACCCACTGCCCCGTCAAAGTCCTGTGGGTCGGGGGGTGAGAGAAGGGAGCACACAGGGGGGCGATTGAGCAGCGATGACTGGGAGGAGACATGGTAATGGTAATAATAATGGTAATGGTAATAGTAGTGGTAGTGGTAATGGTAATGGCTAAGTGGCAAAAGACGCATGCGTCCTGCTGCGTCCTGCGTCTGGACGCAGAGACGCAGGACGCGCGTCCAGACGCAGGACGCACCCTGTTTTTTTTTTCGGTCTGCCCCTGGAAAAAAAAAATCCCGAAACGCGAAATCGACATTCGCGAATTCGACGCGAATGTCAATTTCGCGAAAAAAACGACCTCCCAAAAGCAACTCGACATTGAAAACAGCCCCCCCCCCCCCAACTTCAAACCCCTCTACACAAAATTGTAAAGCCCCCAACCCAACCCACCCAACCACTCTACATCTAGAACATCCAACCTTCGTGGCCTCCAACCAAACCCATTTTAGGGTTGCACACATCTCATTTGTGCTCCTTCATTCACAACCCCAATTCTCCTTAGTAAACCCTTAAGGTTTTATTGTTGGGGAAATTTTTGCATTGAATGTGTGCAAAGGTCCGCCCCCCCCCTCCTTCCCAAGCCCTATATTTTTTTTTTACAGCTGCTCAGGGGTTTTTTTTGCCCTGCCCGGGCATGCGTCTTTTCATGCGTCCTAAAGGCCCTCATCTAGCGTCCTGCGTCTAAGACGCTGCGTCTGGACGCAAGCGTCCTAGACGCAGGACGCGTCTTTTGCCACTTAGGGTAATGGTAATGGTAGTGGTAATGGTAATGGTAATGACAATGGTAATGGTAATGGTAATGGTAGTGGTAATGGTAGTGGTAATGGTAGTGGTAAGGGCGTGTTGCAAGTAGAGGATCGATCGCCTCTTCGAACCGATCCTCACTCTGGTCAACAAATGTAGTGAAAGGTTACCATACTACAGTGTTAGCACTGTGCACGACCGAGGAGATTGGCGGAAACCAGCACGATCGCCTCGCCACGAAGATCGATCGTGTGATTGACGATGCAGACAACATACAGTCACGAAACCCTTTCGCGATGCGCAGAAAAACTCGCATGTCAGTGTTATGCGGGCTGAAAATTTTGACGAGGCAGTGGCGAACAGGGTGTTTATTGTTTCTGCGTTTGAAAAGCCGAACCACACAGTCGCAATACTCTAGGTGGTAGTACGCTTAGGCGGTCGTGGTACAGTGATCGATAACGCAGTGAGCCCAGGATCTCCAACAAGGGATCGGTGTGCAGCCACGATCCTTCGATTTTCGAACTTGCAACACGCCCTAATGGTAATGGTAATGGTAATAGTAATGGTAGTGGTAATGATAATGGTAATGGTAATGGTAGTGGTAATGGTAATGGTAATGGTAATGGTAATGGTAATGGTAATGGTAATTGTAATGGTAATGTTAATGTTAATCGTAATGATAGTAGCAATGGTTGTGGTAATGGTACGGGTAATGGTAGTGGTAATGGTAATGGTAATAATAATGGTAATGGTAATGGTAGTGGTAATGGTAGTGGTAATGGTAATGGTAGTGGTAATGGTAATGATAGTGGTAATGGTAATGGTAATGGTAATGGTAATGACACCACCACTGTGATGTCACCCACTGCCCCGCCAAACTCCTGTGGGCCGGGCGGCGGAGAAGAACACCAAGGCACGAGTGAGAAATGGGTGAAGAGGTGGCAGGAGGGGTGGCAACGGGAAAGAGAAAAAAAGGGGGCAGAGGGGCATGGCGGAAAAAGATACAAAATGGGTCATGAAGACTCGAGGACTGTGATGTCACCCACTGCCCCGTCTAACTCCAATGGGTCGGGCGATGAGATGAGATGAGAGACAATTACACAAGAGGTGCAGAGGGAGATGATGTATGAGTGGGACAGAGACTCACGAGAGGAGCAGAGGTGCAGAGAAATGATACGAAGTAACAAAGATGTGATTCATCTGCAACACATATTGAACTTCACCTTATTCTGTACAGCCTGCACCATCTGGGTGTAGCTGATGAGGGCACCCGTGTACTCTACAAACTCGTAGTCGAGCTTATAAGGGAGACGCGCCACGGCCAGGCGGAACAGGTCCACACAGTAGCCCGAGAACCGCTTGTTGCCCAGCGACTCGTCTGAGGAAATATTGGCAAACTGCAGGTAGATCTGGGGGAGGTGGTATTAGGGGAGACAGGGACAGAGAGAATCTTAGGCGCTTGAAAAAACGGGCGTTGCTGATCGTTTGCGGAAATATTGGCGAGTTGCATGTGGAACTGCAATAAAATGAGGGAGTTTGAAAAGAAAGTTCCATAGTTCTTGCCAGACCCAGTTTGGGTGATTCAAACCTGATTGCATCAATTCTCTAACCCACCCCCCCCAGCCACGCCTCACATGCGACTAGAAGGTCCAAGAGCCAAGTTGGTTTGGGCGGTGCGAGCAATTATAAAAAACACTTGACAATAGTGGTCCTAAACAAAACTAAACAAAACTATGAATGCTTGGGTCGAACAAAACCTACCTACAGTGCCAGCTTCTCGTCTGCTGCAAACATAAAGAGGGCTTACCAGCTTCTTTGGCACGGCGATACGGACTCGCCGCTTGGGAAAAGCTCCTGTGGGAGGCTGAGAGTTGGTAGGAGGAGAGAGAGTAAGGGCCGAACAGCCAAATTGGAAACGGAACCACACAAGTCGCACACGGCATAGAAAGAGCACTCTTTCAGACGTTTCGAATGTCAACTCAAGCTGCAGGAACGGTTTCACGATGAGGTATGCACCACAGGGAGATGTGCGCCACAGTGCTGTGCTGCGCACTCAACAGCTGGGCTGAGAATGCACCTGTGTGTGAGGAGTCTAGTTTTGAGGTGCCTCAAAATCAGAATGCACCTTTGTGAGGCCGCCAGGAAAGACAATCTTGACTGGTTGCTGTGCCCCACCAGCTGTAGCATTCTCCTGTAGCATGACCGATCGAGACAAGGAGGAACAAGGAAGACTGAATAGACTTTGCAAGCGAGCAACAGGGGACAAGGGAGACTGAATCGAGAGCAGTGTGCAGCAGCTGCTGCTCCACAATCCATTCACCAAAAACTCTTGCTCCCATTGCAATTACTGCAGTCACTCATAAGCGCTCACCGAAGCAGCTGCTGTTTGATAGAGGCGGCGGGTGGGAGACCAGTACCCCACTGGCACCACCTTCGCGTTCCCTTGCATGCTCACTGGCCCGATCACTGAACCACTGAATGACCCCCTGACTGAACCAATGGTGGTGCTCTGTGAGGCTTGGCTCTGAATGTTGAGGATACGCGTGAGGTTGCTCTGCTGGTCGCCCCAGGGGGACAGGGCGATGGTGCCTGATGCGCCCACGAATGTAGTTCTCAGCATGCCTGCTCGCAGCATGGGACCCACTGGAGTTGGTTGGGGGGGTTGGGAGGGGGTGCCGGAAGGGGAGAGCATGCTGATTGGTTGTGGTGGATGTTGAGGATGCGAGTGAGGTTGCTCTGCTGATCGCCCCAGGGGGACAGGGCGATGGTGCCTGATGCGCCCTCGAACGTGGTTCTCAGCATGGCTGCACGCAGCATGGGGCCCACTGGATGGAGTGGGGTGGGGAGTGGGAGAGGGGGTCGGAAAGGGAGAGCATGCTGATTGGCTGGGGCTGTTGAGGATGCTAGTGAGGTTGCTCTGCTGGTCGCCCCAGGGGGAGAGAGAGATGCTGCCTGATGCGCCCACGAACGTGGTTCGCAGCATGGCTGCTCGTATGGTGGGGCCCACTGGAGTGTGAGGGAATTAGAAGGCAGGGTTGGGAGGGGAGAGCATGCTGATTGGCTGTGGATGTTGAGGATGCGAGTGAGGTTGCTCTGCTGGTCGCCCCAGAGGGAGATGGTGCCTGATGCGCCCTCGAACGTGGTTCGCAGCATGGCTGCTCGTATGGTGGGGCCCACTGGAGTGTGAGGGAATTAGAAGGCAGGGTTGGGAGGGGAGAGCATGCTGATTGGCTGTGGATGTTGAGGATGCGAGTGAGGTTGCTCTGCTGGTCGCCCCAGAGGGAGATGGTGCCTGATGCGCCCTCGAACGTGGTTCTCAGCATGGCTGCACGCAGCATGGGGCCCACTGGAGTAAGGGGTTGGGAGAGGAGGGGTTAGGTGTACGTGGAGATGATTTATGAGTTGACTCATAATTCATCCCCAGGGGGACAGGGCGATGCTGCCTGATGCGCCCTCGAATGTGGTTCTCAGCATGGCTGCACGCAGCATGGGGCCCACTGGAGTGAGGGGGATAGAAGGCAGGGTCGGAAGGGGAGAGCATGCTGAGGGGGACAGGGTGATGCTGCCTGATGCGCCCACGAACGTACGTGATTCTCATCATGGCTGCTCGCAGCATGGGGCCCACTGGAGTGGGGCAGTTAAGAGGGGGGATCGGGAGGGGGGAGCTGGGTATGTGAGCTTGGAACTTGGGATGGGTGTGAGGGGAGAGTTGGTGGTGGTGAAGGGAAAGGGGAAGTGGGGGGGTGGTGAGGGTGTGGGTGTGGGGGTGGGTGTGGGGGACAGGAAAGCATATAACAGAGTTGTAAGCAGGTGGAGGGAATGTGATGGAAGAAACCACAAAGAGGGAGGGAAAGAAGAGGGGGCTGTGGAGGGGAGGGACCAGGGCGGGGAGTGGGAAGGGAGAGGAGGGAAAAGAGGGGGAGCTCTTACAAGGGCTTCTTTGGAGTGACGCTAGAGGAGGGATAAGAGACTGCTCAGCACCACTGCTGCTGGCGAGAGTCAGTTGGAGACGTGGCCAGGGAGCGTCAAGTAGAGCCGTGACGTTGCTGTGGGGTTCTGTGGTGTTGGTAGTGGTGCTAGGAGATGACGAGTTGGTGCTGCTGGCGGAGCTGCTGTTATAGAGGATGGAGTGTAGCGCGTGGGCGATGAGGTAGACTGCATCGTGGGAAGCCAGTGCATAGGCCATAGGCATCTGTGTTGGGGGGAAGGGGGCAGCAGGGGAAGAAGCACAGCAGAGGAGAGTGGCACGCATTGATTGGGAATAGAATGACGAACAATAGCAGCAGAGGTGCGGGTGGAGCTCGAGGATGGGGAGCGCATGCACCCTAGTGCATGTGAGCATGGAAGGAGGGTGAGTGCAGGCCTGCCCTCCCTGTCCCGCCAGTGTGGTGACCTTTCCTTGTAGTGCCTCACTCTTGAAAGCTCATGAGAGTGACGGGTGTGACCTTTTGAGTCAACTCAGCAGTCAACTTGACTCAGAAGCGGTCTGACCTGGCGGCTGACATTGGGGAAGCGCATAGGGTCGAGGGTGAGCCAGTCTGAGACGAACGAAAGTGAACTTTGAGTCAACTCAACTCAACAGCCACCTCAATCCCGAAGTCGCCTCAACTCAGAAGCAGCAGGTCTGACCTGGCGGCTGACGTTGGGGAAGCGCACAGGGTCGAGTGTGAGCCAGTCTGAGACAAAGGCAGTCAGGGGAGCGGAGGTGGGGATGTCTGTGGCCGTCACTATCATACCCTGCCACGGATCGTGGGGGAGCAAGGCGTGGCAGAAGTCCCAGGAGAAGCACAGAAGGAGGGAGGAGAGCATGAAGGCAGGGAACCATGAAAGAAGGGGGAAGCATCGAAGGGGGGAAGAGCATGGTGGGGTGGAGCATTGTGCTAGGGAGGGCGGGAGGGAGGACGAGGGGGGAGGAATTTTGTGGGGTGGAAAACCGATTCATCGCATCACAGCATTACGATCGGCAGCAAGGTAGGAGCATAATGCCAAAATCAAAACAGAGCCTTCGACTGGGAAGCAATTGGGAAGCAATTGCAACGTCCAAACCAAATGACGAAACTGGGAACGGGGAATGAGGAGAGAGCAGCAAACCTGAGCAGAGTGCAGGGCGGAGCCAGTGAGGAGCGCACTCCCTTCCGTTGCAATCCACACATTGTTGGCCGAAAACAGACCCATCCTGTTCGCTGCACATGCACGGGGAAAGGAGGAAGAATGCACACACACATTGGGAGGATGCAGGGAGAAAGACGGACAGCAGTGGAGGGAGCAGGTGGCGTTGGGAAAGGGAGGCGGAGAAGGCGCACCTGCTAGAATGACGCTCGTGGCAACAGCAGCGGACGCATGCAGCACGTACCCAGCCGTATCCACCTCTAGCAGCACCTGCAGACGCTGCTGCTGCGTGAAATGAGACGAGTTTTACTGTCTCTCAAGAATCCACACGCACCTGCAAGTATGACGGCCGTGGCAACAGCAGCAGATGCGTGCAGCACATACACAGCCGTATCCACCTCCAGCAGCACCTGCAGGCGCCGCTCCACCTCTGCTGCCGTGCTCCCTGGAGTGATGGCCACACGATGAGCCATGCTGATGCCTTGCTGGGGATGCAGAGGGGTATGTGGCCAGTGGTGAAGGTGGAGGGGTTGGAGGTGCGGAGGGGAAGGAGAGAGCAGAGCTTTGAAGAGCACAAGCACGCATGTCTCTAAGGCGCCCCGTAATAGGACTGGGTTGGAATACTGGATGCTCACATCGAGCGCACGCATGCATGCTTCCAGCTCCGAAATGCCTTTTGCGGCGCCTAAAAAGGCAGGGATGGGGACAGACCAGGGATGCTATACTGGATTGACTTTTTGAGAAATCTCAAAAGATATTGGATGCTCTCACGTTGAGGGCGAGCACGCGTGCTTCCAGTGCCGTGATGCCATTGCCTCCGTATCGGTCGTCGCTGTGAACGGCAATAAAGGCCTTCCACTGGTATATCGCCAGAATGTCTGTGGTGTTGAGGCAAGGAAGGATGGAGGGATGGACGGATGTGGCATGAGCGATAAATATGATAACGGATGATAACCAGCATTGGAACGAGAGCATACGAAGAAGGAGGGGGTGTCGCTTACTGTGAGCTGTGCACTGGTAACCAGCAGCTGCAGATACAAGGCAGCTCGAGAAGCTGCAGCAGAAGTGGGAGAGCACGCGTGCAGTGCAGCGTATTTTGAGTCGACTCAAGAAGCTACAGCGGGAGTGGGCGGGAGAGAAGAGCACGCATGCAGTGCAGCGTACAGGCAATGGCGTGCATCTGGTGGTCGCTCTGCACGGTGCGCATGAAGAAGGGGCGCGTGCCGCCCACAGTGAGCTCCGCACTAGCAACTTAACAGACGCGGACACGCAGAGGGCCTGGGGAATAGAGGAGAGGATAAGGAAGAGCGCACACATTAAAACCACCCACTTACCGGCAATGGCGCGCATCTGGTGGCCGTCGCTCTGCACGGTGCGCATGAAGAAAGGCCTGGTGCCGCCCACAGTGAGCTGCGCGTCCGTGGCAGAGGCGGACACGAAGGGCACTTGAGTGGCCGTGGCGAATGGGCTTACGAGTGCTGCTTGCTCCGATGTGTGCGGCCCTATCACTGCCACTGGCCGCTGCCTCACCAGGCTGTAGGCTGTGGGTGGGGGCGATGAGAGTGGGGGGGTGTTTGATTGAGTGAGACGTCTCAAAGCGTGTGGCCGTGGCAAATGGGCTCACCGGCGCTGCCTGCTCCGATGTGTGTGAGCCAATCACAGCGACCGGCCGCTACCTCACTAGACTGTAAGCTGTGGGGCGGAGGAGTACGGGGAGAGAGAAGTGGAGGGTATAAGTGAGTGGCCGTGGCGAATGGGCTTACGAGTGCTGCTTGCTCCGACGTGTGCGGCCCTATCACTGCCACTGGCCGCTGCCGCACCAGGCTGTAGGCTGGTGGAGGGGGTTAATTCATTGATGTGGGGGCGGAAGGGAGAGAACGAGAGAGGAAAGAGCGACGCAGGTCACACATCAAAGGACGCTGTTGCACCACCAGGCTGTAAGTAAAGGGGGTCTGTTGCGGACGCGAGAGGGGAGAGAGAGCATAGAAGGGATTTGCAGAAATATGTGAAGCAGTGTGGACTGGAATGTAGGTTTATGGCACCCGTCCTCATGCTTCTCACCTGCCATCATGCATCCACCCCTCTCTCACCGGCCATCATGCTGGCGATGGGAGCAGTCATGGAGTAGTTGGCCGTGGCAAGGCGCAGATGATGATGTGGGAGGATGGAGGGGTCGCTGTTGATCGCCTCTCAACTGCCATCATGCATCCAGGCATCTCTCACTCACCGGCCATCATGCTGGCGATGGGAGCAGTCATGGAGTAGTTGGCCGCGGCAAAGCTTCGGGTTATGGCAGCATGCTGTGATGCTCTCTCACCTAGCAGCAGCTGCCATGCCATGCCTCTCACCTGTCATCACGACATGCCTCTCACCGGCCATCATGCTGGCGATGGGAGCAGTCATGGAGTAGTTGGCCGTGGCAAGGTGCAGACGGTGGTGTGGGAGGATGGAGGGGTCGCTGTTGATCGCATCCACTGCCATCACACTGCCTGCATGCATGGGGTACCCACATCACATGCACGCATGCACCATGCACCATGCACCATGCACGCATGCATATGCGCATTCACGTGCACGCACGCACGCACGCGCGCACATGCATGCATGCACCATGCAAATGCGCATGCACAAGAATGCATTACATGCAGGCACACACGCATGCATGGAGGAGGCACAGGGAAGGGAGAAGACCGAACACACCAACACAAACAATGCAACTGATGTCGAAGGAAACAGAAAGATCAAATCCCGACTTCTCTCAGTAAACACAGTCCACCAAATTTCTTGGACCCCTACCTAGGTCAACCCAGTCAACCAACCTTCCCGGATCCTCAGTCCACCCAGTCAACCGCCTTCCTAGACCCCTCAGTCAACCCAGTCAACCCGTCTTTCTGGATTCCTCAGTCTACTCAGTGAACCCGCCTTCCTGGACCCTCAGGCAACCCAGTCAGACCAGTCAACGCAGTCAACACACCTGCGAGCATGTGAATGCCTTCAGCGACGTCCGTTGCGACGAGGCATCCGATCGTCACCTCATGCTCCTCCCTGAGCGACTCTTGAGGAGTCTCAGAAACCCTCCTGGACCCGACTCCACTGACGGGTTTCAACTTCGATGCATCACCGTTATAAGTCGGCTCGTTACCAGACACACTGTTGGACGAACTAGTAGGAGTAGATAGAATATACGGATTTCCAGCATATGCGTTAGTACCCGTCGAGCTAATATCGTCAGTCGTTAAAGCACGCAATGTTCTAGGAGCTTCTAGATTCGTGTCAGAAGTCAATAAGGGACTCAACTGGCGGGAACGGGATACGTGTTGCTCGCCATCAGCACCTGCCGGTTCGCTCGTGCAATTCAGGCATCTTACGAATGATGAAGCGTCAGCTCGAAGCTCAATATGAGGGTTTTCTCGACCTGGTGACGACGCAACAGGTCCACAGCAAGAGCTCACTGCGATTATTGCGACGACAATGCATCGCGTATGAATAAACGACCTAAGGGAATACATCCTGTATGTACATAGCTGTTTTCCTCGTGTCGGGAAGAGGACTGATAGAACTGTCAGTGTACCCGATAGAATGTCGTTCACGGCGAGTGTCGTTAACGCTAAAAACTGTCGTCAATGACTCGGTTCGCACAGGTACTCGGTCGCCTACGCCATCACTCGTACTACGAGTACGGCATTGACTTATGCCGACGATCAGTCAGTAGAAATTGGATTGGTAGGTTCCACTGGACACTTGCTAGGATGCCACTCTCTAGCAGAACTGCGGTGCGTGTGTGATTCAACACGGAACCACAGGATGCGGTAGCCAGTTCCCTGTGTTATGGTGTCTTCTCTCAAGCTGCCTCGATTATACCGAGCCGACTCCTGTCTGTCAGTCTACGATTTTCGCGGTGCCACCCTCCCACCCCACTCATTTTCGTGTTCCTTCAGTTATTCTCGTTACGAGCTTGCCACGCTACGAACGGCAGGCTTTGCCACCCCTCTGATGCAAAAACAATTGTTGCTTATTTCAATTTGCCACGTTCCTGAAACGCTTTTGCTCGTACTAAACTGTACTGAACCGAGATCCACCACGCAAGTCCCCAGAATCCCATCCCCTACGAAAAACATGATACGCTCCCCCCTGTTTTGTAAGGAAAGTGAATTCCAGTGATGTCTTATCACTTTTCTTCCCCACTTCCAGCACGTATCCCCACTACCAGACATAACGGGAATTCCTCCTGTCGTGTTTCGTAAGTGTCACTCCTTCGAGTATGGCTCTACCTGGGATGATGCGCAGGTCGGTCCGGCGTTTAAAGGACCCGTTACAGTCACAATGCGTCGGCCTGATTGCATCGCTAAGATCGCACATTGTCGGTCCCACTCTGGGCGATGCTGGCGGCAGCAGCTCGCATCGCGAGACCGTTCAGTCTGCTATTTTTAACGATTTCCGTCCAAATTCGTTCATCTCTGATGCGTCCGACAGCACTCCGCCCTTTGCATCCGGATTGTCGCCCGATCCTGATCCTCCGGTCAGAAGCATTCCTGATGTACGATCGGGATGTATTTCTACGGTTCAGGTTCCTCCTGATTCAAGAAATCCGACCCACAATTCGTCCCGAGTTCATCCACCCTTCAAGGTCCCCGGTTTCCACCCTTCGTTACAGTCACCTCCCAGACAGCACGTGTCCAGACCGATACACTGGAGACAAGAGGACGATGAGAGAGGAGCAGTTGAACACCATACTATAGTTAATGCAAATACACCTGCTAGACCAACACCTGTACCTAGATCAGGCTCGCTTGTCTCTGTTGCACAGTACCACCCGGTTATAATAGGAGTTCGCACGGTGCAGGGGCTGTTCCCTGGCCTCACAAGACTCTCCAGCAGCACCTCTGAAGGCAGCAACAGTGATGGCCGCACAGCGGCAACAGGGGACGAGTGCAACAACAGAAATGCCAGCAGCAGCAGCAGCATCAGCAGCAGTAGCACCAACACCACCAACACCACCAACACCACCATCAGCAGCAACAGCGGCGGTGGTGGGAGCACGTCGTGGGTGGAGCGGTATCTGCCTCCCCCAGTGCAGCCGTTCGCCCACCTCGCCCGCCTGGACAAACCCACCGGCACCTGGCTGCTCGCCTGGCCCTGCTTCTGGTGCGTGCACTTCTTCGATTCAGGCGCCAATCTACTCAGAGCCGGGGTGCACCATGAACGACCTGCCGCTTTGACAGTTCAATACCAACAAATTCCAAAGCTCTTGCTTCCTGATCTCTTCCGGCCCATCCCCACTCATCTCTTCCCTTCCACAACCTCTATCTAACCCCTCCCGGCCCCCTCTCCTCCTCCCCCACAGGTCCATCGCCCTGGCTGCCCCAGCGGGCTCTCTGCCCGACCCAATGCTGCTCTTTCTCTTTGGATCAGGCGCCGTCTTGCTGAGAGGGGCCGGTTGCACCATCGACGGCCTGTTGGGTCTCCTCCCAATGCTACCCCAGACTTTGACCTGCTGGACCGAGAGTTTGATGCCAAGGTGGCTCCCTCATCTCCTCCCTCACCCCCGCAGGTCGATCGCACTGGCTGCTCCAGCAGGCTCTCTACCGGACCCAACCCTTCTCCTTCTCTTCGGGTCAGGTGCCGTCTTGCTCCGAGGAGCCGGTTGCACCATCAACCACCTGCTGGACTGAGAGATTGACCCCAAAGTGCCTCCCTCATCTCCTCCCTCACCCCCACAGGTCGATTGCATTGGCTGCCCCAGCAGGCGCTCTACCTGACCCAACGCTACTCTTCCTCTTCGGTTCAGGCGCCATCCTACTCAGAGGCGCCGGCTGCACCATCAACGACCTGCTGGATCGGGGCTTTGACGCCAAAGTGGCTCGTACTAGGTCCCGCCCTCTGCCCTCCGGTGCCGTCACTCCCTTGGGAGCAACGAGTTTCCTGGGGCTGCAGCTACTCCTGGGCCTGGGGATATTGGTGCAGCTGAATACGTTCAGGTGGGTGGGTGGGGGGATCGCTGTCATGTTTCCCTGGCCTTCGTTGAACGGCTGAGTCAATGCTGGGTCAGTTTGGTGTTTGGCACGTCAATGCTGCCGTTTTACTCCGAGGCGCCGGCTGCACCATCCATCAACGACCTGTTCTCTCCCACGCATGTGCCCCGTGCCGTCCATCCTCATGCAGTCAAGTGCTGGGAGCGGCGTCACTGCCCCTTGTCTTCTCTTACCCCCTCATGAAGCGCTTCACTCACTGGGTAAGGCTTTGTAGCTTAGGCTATGTGATTTTGCTCTGAAGCCTTGCAAACAAGACTCAAGATGGTGAATGCAAATATCACAAAATTCTAGGAAACATGTCGTTCTCTCCGCCTTTATATTTGCTTCCCCTCTCATGCCATCTCATCCGCCCTCATCCCCTCTCGTGCCCTGTCATCCCCTCCTCCCCGTTTTCCTCCCACATCCAGCCTCAGCCGTATCTCGGTCTTGTCTTCAACTGGGGAGCTCTCCTGGGCTGGGATGAGATGAGACGTCCTTTGAGGCATCTCAAAACGCATGCCCTGTCATCCCCTGCCCTCCGTGCTCTCCCACATTCAGCCTCAGGCCTACCTTGGTCTTGTCTTCAACTGGGGAGCTCTCCTGGGCTGGGCGGCAGTGCATGGCTCGCTGCACCTGCCAGCTGTGCTACCCCTCTACATGGGCGGCATCTGTTGGACGCTAGTGTACGACACTATCTATGCGCACCAGGTACGACGAAGCAGAGCTCTCTTGATAGGCGATGGACCGTATGTGTGTTTCTGGCGTGCCTAGAACCATATGCATGCTGTAAGCGATATTATGCACCGGAGGACGGACAGAAGACGTGTTTGTAGCATGCATACCCTACCTTTGCATGTCAAAGCATGTCTCGCTGCTGCCATGCCCTGTCCTCCATGTCTCCCATCCCCTCCCGATGCCTCCCATGTGCATGCAGGACAAGGCGGATGACATCACAGCAGGCGTCAAGTCCACTGCGCTGCTCTTCGCCCATCACACCCCTCTCTACCTCTCCCTCTTCAGCGCAGCTGCCATCACCAGCCTCGCTGCTGCCGGCTCTGCTGTGAACCTCGGTACTCACTCGCTCACTCACTCATCTACTTCTGACTCACTCGCTCACTTGCCTTGATAGTACTGACTGTTGCAATCTCTGTTGGAATGTGCGATCCTTGGAATATTCTGATCGCTGCGATCCATTCCCGCTGGGATTCGAGATGTCTCGGAACCAGTTTCTTTGGCTGCCGTTGGCGCTTTTTGCACTGCTCCTTCTCTTCGGCCTCTTGCTTCTGTCCAGCATCCGAGCCTTTTGGTACCAATGGGCCTTGATGACGCCTTTCCTTGCAACCTGCCTTCCTCTGCTGCCGCCTTAACTTTGCTCTTCTTTGCTGTGGCTGGTATCCCTGCTTACATCGCTTCCGTATCGTTCCACATCGTCGCGTCCCCTCCTGTTTTCGAGTTGCAGGCTCCCCGTTCTATGCCTCGCTAGCAGCGGCAGCGGCACACATGGCATGGCAGATTGCCTCCACGGATTACGACAGCCGGGAGGACTGCTACTCCAAGTGAGTCATCACTGTCTCTAGTAAACCTCACCAAAGAAACAATTACAAAACAAAACAAAAAGTTTAGCGAGTAACCAGCGGCAGCGGTCCACATGGCATGGCAGATTGCCTCCACGGATTGTGACAGCCGCGAGGACTGCTACTCCAAGTGAGTCTTTTACCCTTTCTAGTCACCCTCACCAAGTGAGCATGCACACACATGGTTAAGTGTGCAACCAAAGGTGCATGCTAGTGATTGTTGTTGGAAATTCGCCTGGCGTGCTCTGATCAAGAGCTACCTGCCGCTCCTCTCATACCGGTATGCTCCCTTCTCTCCCCATCATCTACTCTACCCTTGTCTCTACCTCACCCCGATCCCATCCATACTCCCTTCCAGGTTTGCGTCCAACTGGACATTCGGTGCTCTGGTCTTTGCTGGTATTGTGGCAGGCAAGCTCTTTGGTGTGTAACCTGGGAAGACGAGTCTTCTGACAGCTAATGCAGACAGAAGCTGTTTGGTGCGTAACAAATAAAACGATAATGATCGAGACAGCTTGTGTTATGGTATTGACTTGTGCAGAAGGCACGGTGTCCTTCATGTGTTGAATGGCAGAGTGTGATGCTCGATTGCTTCTGCGCAAGGCTCATCTGATCTGGTGGTGTTGGAACTGAAAGAATGTTGAAGAATCAGTGCGGGAACAGAGTTCTAGAGGGTTGGCTTTGGTGCTGAAATGAAAGAATTAAGAGAGGTACACTTACCATAATGAAGAGATGTGTAGGTTAAGATTCTTCACCAAACCAACTCACTTTCATCTCAAACCGCTACTTCAAGCCTTGCCTAAGCTTGATTTGTCAGAGGTGGTGAGAGAACAAGGAATACTGGGAGGGTGTGGGAGAGGGATGGTGGAGATGAGTGTAAACGGGAGGGTTGGGGAGGGTGGGAGGTAGTGGCGAGAGTGACAAGGAGGGTTGAGAGATGTTGGGAGAGTGGAGGAACACAAGCTATAGGGGGATGGCAAGGGGTATGGGGACGGCTGAAAGGGCAAACCTTAATAAATACCACCCCTCCAAATTTGAGCGACTTTGGGTAGCATATGCGGAGCTGGGTGGGTTCATGAATGACATCCTTGTGACGTTCGGCTTGTTTTGATACGTTATGTTTTAGATTTGAAGGTGTACCCACGTCAATGGCGACCAGAGCCGTGACCATCCAGTGGCAAGGACATCACACCTGCGATTTGGAGACGTGTGGGCTGTTGCGGGGAAATTTTCCGTTTCACAAGCTCGGAACTGCCGAAATAATATAGTCGCAACCGTGTAAAGAACTCGATTCCAGATTTGTGACTTCTCTAGAGAGTAAGGATTTCAGTCGCAAATCGCTGGTAGAGGTGGCCTTTTGGAGAACAAGAATATGTATAAGATGTCTTCACCCTTCACACAAACATTTCGCTTCAGGGTAATTTTCCAACTACTGTGCCGGTGTTCCCAAGGGCGATCTCGCTGCCATCTGCCTGCCCTCCACCTCCGCCTGCACTACACGCACCTCAGCATTGATGTTTGCGAGCGCAATCATGTTTTTAGGTCCATGGACCATGGCAGTTTAGGGCGGCTGTTCAACCATTGATCCCCTTAGCTTACGCTTAGCAGTTGCTGCTTCGGTGTACTCGCTAGCTCCTAACTCGATCTTCGCCGTCGTTTAGCAATGACGGCGCCTCATCATTCTTAACAACGACGGCTCGTTAGCTCAGATAATGTCCGACACCCGTTTCCTAACAATGAGGCCGTCAAGAACTCGAGAAAGACCCAATACTGAAAACTTGATAACAACGACAGGTCCCAGACGCGTCCGTTTGCAATGACGACGCTCGTCCTCCTTTACCCTTTCCGAATAATGATTGGCGGGTGTCAGAATTGACTTTACGACATTTTACGTCTGTCCATCAGCAAAGCGTAGCTACCCAGCATGAAACGTATTTTAGGCCCGTCATCCAACAACCAACCAAGGAAACTGACGGGGCTGTCTTGAGATACTACATCCAGGTCCATTCCAGTATCCAATCCAACGCTCATCCTAAGACTGCCCGAAGTGCGTCTGTCGTTCCATCACCAATGCCTGTCGTCGAAAAGCCCATGTAGGAGTCGTTTGCCGATCAGTAACGGAAACTGACGGACTATTCTCGAATAAGTCGGGCCGTCAGTCCGTCACCAACGCTCAGGAAGCCGGCGTTGAAACCGTCACCCGAGCTCAGTTAGCCAGGAACCGTGGAGGGTCGTTCGTTAATTACTGACGGAGACGTTTTTGAGACGTCTCAAAAATCGTTCGCTGATCGCTGACGGAGATTGATCCGAGTGTTTCAGGTTCCACAGCCCCCTTATCAGAGCACCCAGTATACACCACCATAGTTCGGATAGCCAGCCACAGCGCACCGGTGAATCGAATAGAGGGGGGAAGGGGGGGAAAGAGAGGGGGCGGCTGATTAGGCGATTGCGAGCGGAGAGTGACCGCATTTCATAGGATAAGTCCGCTCGCTGATCCACATCGGTCCGTTCGGTTGGAACCATGGCGGGGTCGTTCGACGATCCGGATTTAGCGGTGGAGGACTACATTCCCAAGGACAAGGATGGTGCGTTCAATCTTGGCCGTACGTTCTCATTACAATACAGGCTGTTTCCGTGCGTGCTGATTTATAACCGTACATCAGCTAACCACCGGATTTAGCGGTGCAGGACTACATTCCCAAGGACAAGGATGGTGCGTGCGATTCAATCTTGGCAGTTCTCTCGATCTCGAGACAAGTTCGTAGCACAAATCACTTTAACCTAAAACATCCGTGCCTTCATGCAATCATTCCCAACCCCTCCTTCTCCCCCTCCCCTCCCCCTCTCCCCAACAGACACGCGGCTGATGCGCGAGCGGTGGTCCAAGCTGCTGCTGGGGGACGAGTTCTGAGCTCAAATGCCTTCTACATGGAATTCCGTGGTTTCAGATCATCATCCCCAACCCCTCCCCCTCCCCCTCTCCTCATCCAGACATGCAGCTGATGCGCGAGCGGTGGTCCAAGCTCCTGCTGGGGGACGATCCCTCTGGAGGGGCCAAGGGGTGCGGCCCTGCGCTAGCCATGGCCAACGCCATCACCAGCGTCTCAGGTACGTCGTTACGGTCTTCGGCGAGGTGTCAGGGATTCAGGTACGCTGTACGGGTTTCAGATACGCTGTTAGGTGTTTCGGGCACGCTGTTAGGGTGTCAGGTACGCTGTCAGAGTTTCAGGTATGCTGTTAGGATTTCTAGGGTTTCATGTATTCTGTTGGGGTCTCAGGTACGCTGTTCCGACTGTTACGTTTCCTCCCCGCCCTCTCCTCCCCCCCAACCCTCTCTCCCCTTCCCTTCCCCCCAGCATCCCTCTTCGGGGATGGGTTGCGGCTGCGGCCGCTATCAGAGGAGGACGAGCTCTCTTGTTCCTAGTGCCACAATTCCTCACCGCCTTTGCCAACCCCCCTTCCCCCCCCCCCCCTCCACGCACACCTCTCCACACCCCTCTTCCCCAGCATCCATCTTCGGGGATGGGCTGCGGCTGCGGCCGCTGCCAGAGGAGGACGAGCGCAAGTGGCGGAGGGAGATGGGCATCATGGTGTCGGTGTGCCGGCACATTGTGGAGCTGGCGCCCGCCTGGACCACTCGCCCTGACGGCAGCAGATTCGAGGTGGGGTTAGGGACGGGACAGGAGCAGTGATAGGTTCAGTTTCAGGGGCAGGGGCAGGGGCAGGGGCAGGGGCAGGGGCAGGGGCAGGGGCAGGGGCAGGGGCAGGGGCAGGGGCAGGGGCTTGTTGTGATGGTGGGGAAGATGGGGAAAGGGAAGGGGAGGGAGATGGGCATCATGGTGTCGGTGTGTCGACACATCGTGGAGCTCGCACCCGCATACACCACTCGCCCCGATGGCAGCAGATTCGAGGTGAGGAGGGGTGGAGAGTGGTGTGAAGTGTAAGGGGGAGTGGAGGGCGGTGGGAGGAGGGAGATGGGCATCATGGTGTTGGTGTGCCGCCACATTGTGGAGTTGGCGCCTGCCTGACCACTCGCCCTGAGGGGTAGGGGGCAGGTTGGAGCTGAGGGAAAGAGGAGATACGGTTAGAAGGGCATTGTAAAAAGGTTCCGCACTTCTTGTTTCTTGTTGGCGCCTTCTAATTGGTCCCGTGCTGTACTGTGCGATGCTCTGGGGTGCTGTGTTGTGCTGGCAGGTGATGCGTCGCAGTGTCCGAGCTGACCTGCGGATTCAGCTGCCAGCCCTCAGCCAGCTCGATACCATGCTGCTGGTAATGTCCCCCTGCTGCTGGTTGTTTTGTTTGCTGGCTATCTCTGGCTGGCTGCTGCTGCTGTGTTGGCGTGTTAGTGTGCTCATACCAGTCCCCTTTACTTCACCTCGCTCCTCACGTTCCCCCGAGCAGACCATCCTGCAGCACAGCCAATCAGACGAGTACTATTACGAGGACGAGCTGCCAGGTGGCGACCTAACACAGGAGGACGGCGAGGAGGACGAGGATGGGGAGGGGGAAGATGAGGAGGTTGAGGAGACATTGCGTGGGGATGATGATGATGACGACGACAGGGAGAGCTTCGGAGCTGTCAGCACGGGCGGCAGCAGCAGCGGCATGGGCGGCGGCATGGGCGGCATGGGAGGGTCGGCAGGGGATCTGTACGGCGCACCGGATCGACTCATCAGGCGCAGCGCCACGGCTCCCTCGGAGCGGCCTGCGACTCATGCCGGGCCGTACGGGTCTGGAGGGATGAGCGGGCGGATAGGAGGAGTGGGTGGGGACGGCGGGGAGAGGGGAGGTGGGGGTAGGAGAGGTGTGAGCCATGGGTCTGCACATGGTTCGGCGCATGGTTCGGCACATGGGTCGGCGCAAGGTTCGTCGGTTCACGGATCGTCCACACGAGGGTCTTCAGCGGATGACGAGGAGGATTTTGCAGACGACGAAGGGCAGTACAGCCAGGGAGGGGAGTTTGAACACAGAGGTGCGGTGCATGCAGGGAACACAGGAGACACAGGAGGGTCAGGAGGCACAGGAGACGCAGGAGAAGGAGGGGACAGGGGCTCAGGGCACTACAGACGGCTCTCCTCGCCTGGGTTTGAGGCGGAGAGGCGGGGTAGTGAAGAGGACCTGATACAGCAGCGGGGTGGAGGAGGGGGAGGAGGGGAGGGTGAGGATGCGTGTAGCAGTGGGAGTAACACGGGGAGCAACGCAGGGAGTAACACGGGCAGCAGGGAGGGGTCGAGTCCGAACCCCGGGTCATCCTGGGGGTTTCACCAGCGCTCCAGCAGCGCAGCTGCTCCTCCTGCTGCTCCTGCCTCTTCTTCAGGTGTTCCGTCAGGTGCTTCTCCAGGGTCGGGGGGTAAGCGGCGGGTGTCGTCACGCTCGTCCAGCTTCAGCTATGACTTCTCAGCGCTTCTAGGTGGTGGAAGGAGCCGTGGAGGATCAGTTACTGGTGCTGCTGCAGCAGGGGCAGCAGCAGGGGGAGCGTCAGGGGCAGGGGGAGGACTTCCGCCTGGTGGAGGCGGAATCATGCGAGGACTCAAACGAAGCGTGACTGACGTGCGGGACAAAAGGTTCAACCCAGAAGGCATGGGCGGCGGAGCCATGGGAGGAATGGTAGGAGGAATGGGGGGAATGGGAGGAGGAGAGGGGGCGGGCAGTGGGGGCCGGCAGGTGTGGCGGTGGAAGATGAAGCCGCGGGTGCGGGGGCCGCTGGGGGAGGCGCTGGTGCGGTGGTTGGAGCAGCAGATGGAGAAGACGAGTCAGATCATGAAGCTCGCCATGACCATCAACCAGCAGGTCCTGCAGGACATGCAGGTTCCCGATGCCTTCGTGCAACGCCTCCCCAAGGTAGGGCGTGCCTCCCCAGGGTAGGGCCTACCTGAGGTAGGGCCTCCCATCCCATGGCAATGCCTCCCCAAGGTAAGCTTACCAGAGTTGGGGTGTATTTGAACCGAACAGCACGTAAGGTGCATCTCCTCTGGGTGCGGGGGCTTTTGGGGGAGGCGTTGGTGCGGTGGTTGGAGCAGCAGATGGAGAAGACGAGTCAGATCATGAAGCTAACCAGCAGGTCCTCCAGGACATGCAGGTTCCCGACGCCTTCGTGCAGCGCCTCCCCAAGGTAGGTAGGGTGAACCTGCCCAAGGTAAAGCCTGTATGACCTGGGATGTGCTGAAGCTCGCCATGACCATCAACCATCAGGTCCTCCAGGACATGCAGGTCCCCGACGCCTTCGTGGAACGCCTGCCAAAGGTAACGCCTTCCCAGGGTAGGGCCTGTCTGAGGTAGGGCCTCCCATCCCATGGTAAGGCCTCCCATCGCCATGACCATCAACCAGCAGGTCCTTCAGGACATGCAAGTGCCGGATGCCTTCGTGCAGCGCCTCCCCAAGGTATGACCTCCGCTGGGTAGGGCCTGCCTGCCCAAGGACCTGCCCAAGTAGCTCCCCCCTGAGCCAGTGCCTCCCGTACCATGGTATGGCCCTCCAAGGTAAGCTATCGGAAGTAGGGTGTATTGAAGGCGGCCCTCAAGCTCTTCCCTTGCTCTCCACCCATTCCCTTCTCTCCCTGCCCTCTCCTCCCATACCCCCCAGAACGTGAGGGCAGTGGTGGGAGACAGGGTATACGCGGCCCTTCACGCCAATCCATTCACGGACGACAAGCTGCTCTCCACGGTGAACCTCTCCAATCAGAAGGCGGCTCTCAAGCTGCTCCCTTGCTCTCCACCTGCTCCCTTCCCACCCGTCTGTGCTTCCATACCCAGAACGTGAGGGCGGTGGTGGGCGACAGAGTATACGCGGCCCTTCACGCCAATCCATTCACGGATGACAAGCTGCTCTCCACGGTGGACCTCTCCAATCAGAAGGCGGCTCTCAAGCTCGCCTGCAAGCTCGAGGCAGCCGAGCAGATCTGGATGCGCCAGCTCGCGCTCGCAAGGTATCGTGCTGTGCAGTACGGTGCGGTGTGGTGCAATGCAAAGCGGGTCTGTGCGGGTCGTAGAGGTGAAGCTGATTCTGTGACCTTGATGCAGTAGATCTCGCCCTTTCACACGATGACCCCTGTTGATTTTCCATGTGCGTACTGCTTTGCATTTCACCTCACATGAGCACACCCAATTTCTGACCTATTTCACTCCCTTTGGTCCTCTTTCACTTGCGTTGACCCCCCTTACACTGCATTGACTGGCGTTGACTTGGCATGACCAGGGAGCCCCAGCTGAGCCACACGCTGGGCGGCAGTTATTTGTCCACTACCAGCCGGGACGTGGTGCGATTGGAGGAGAGCCTTCAGCGCGTGTCCTCGTGCCTCGCTGCCATCCGCCGCCGATGGCCCGACCTGCCGCAGACCACTCTTGATCTAGCCAAGATCGCATTCAATGGGGTAAGCAACACTACTTTCGAAATTCCAGAGGGGAGGAAAGGAGAGCCTGCAGCGCGTCTCCTCGTGCCTCGCTGCCATCCGCCGCCGATGGCCCGACCTGCCCCAAACCACTCTGGATCTAGCCAAAATCGCCTTCAATGGGGTAAGTTCTCTCAGCGCCTAAAAAAGTATATGTTTGAGGCGCCTCAAGAACAAAACCCGCACAAGAGTGCATTTTTATGGGGTACGTTCTCTCATCTCTTTGAAAAGGCTTGCTTCAGAATACAATGAGAGAGGAGGAGATGCAGCTCCCGAGATGTGACGTGATGCACTCCGATCCGACTACCTCTTTTCCATCTCATGCCTTCTCATCACCCTCTCTCCTCCCCCGTGCTCCCCTATGCTCCCAGGACATCGGCAAGGCAGTCCTGGAAAGCTACTCACGGGTGCTGGAAGGCGCTGCCTCCAACATCCGGTCGCGCATCCGAGACGTGCTGCACGCCAACTATCTCTTCCTCAACCCATACCCCCTGCATCCCCTCCCCTGCCCATGCATCCCGACCTCCGTGTTCCCAGGACATCGGCAAGGCCGTCCTAGAAAGTTATTCGAGGGTTCTTGAAGGCGCTGCCTCCAACATCCGGTCGCGAATCCGGGACGTGCTGCACGCTAACTACCTCTTCCTCAACCCGTGTTATGCCCCGTGCATCCCCTCCATCCCCTCATTCCCCCCCATGCTCCCTGGACATAGGCAAGGCCGTATTGGAAAGCTACTCACGAGTGTTGGAGGGAGCAGCGTCCAACATCCGCTCGCACATCAGAGACGTGCTGCACGCCAACTACCTCTTCCTCAACTCCCTGCCATGCCCCGTGCATCCCACGCATCCCCTCACCTCCCCCCTGTTCCCAGGATATCGGCAAGGCCGTATTGGAGAGCTACTCACGAGTTCTTGAAGGCGCCGCCTCCAACATCCGGTCGCGCATCCGGGACGTGCTGCACGCCAACTACCTCTTCCTCAACCCGCAGCAGTTCGTGGACCTGCCCTGCGACCCGCACCCTCAAGGCCTGCGCCACCCCACCTTCAGCGTCCTCATGCCTGGAACCGTATTCGACGCCGTCTCCATGTCTAGCGACAACAGCGAATCCACCAATGGCAGCGTCCGATCCTTCGACTCCAGTCGCAGCGGCGGCAGCGCCCGGTCCGGGAAAGGCGCGCGGGGCGGCGGGGGAGGAGGGGCGGGAGGAGGGGGAATGGGAGGGGATGGAGGAGGCGGGCTGGGTGCGGCGGTGGGAGTGGGCATGGCGCCGGCGGGGCCGGGGTATCCGGGTTCCGGGGTGCTGGGGAAGGCGTCGGCCAAGTGGGATATGCGGCCGCCTCGCAGCCCTGAGCTTCGCAGCCCGCTGATTTCAGGCGCCATGGGCCGGCTTTCTGTTGGCGGTGGCGTGGTGTCCGGTGGTGGGGGTGGCGGTGGTGGCGGCGGTGGGAGTGGGAAGTACATGCGCAGCCCTCTTCATAGCCGGAGCACGTCTGGTGCTGGCTCGGGTGCTGGTGCAGGTGCTGCCAGTGGTGGTGCCGGTGGTAATGGTGGTGGAATGGGTGGGGGAGTGGGTGGGGGTGGAGGTGGGATGGTGTATCCCTCGTCTGGATCCGGGGGAGGTGGATCTGGGGGAAGCTCTCCCTCCGCCAGTCCCAGCCGGGCCATGCTAGGAGACAGGTTTCTCCGGCGCACTGGGTCGCTGCAGCCTAGGGGAAAGCGAGGAAACCGTGCGCTGGGGAGGAGTCAGAGCGGAGGGATGGCAGATGAGGTGATGTGTGGGATGGGAATGGGTGGTGGTGGTGGTGGTGGTAATGGTGGCGGCGGTGGCGGTGGTGCTGGTGGTGGTAATGGTGGTGGTGTGGGAGGAGGGCGTGGAGGGTCTCCTGGGTTCCAGGTTTCGCCTTCCCGTGGGCCGGTGCAATTCTCCCCGGGTGCGGGGTTGCCGCCCCAGCCTCCGACGAGGACTCGATCGGCGAGTGCAGACTGGAGTTGAGGTGCTCTTTCTTGAGAAGGAATCCTGCTGGGAAACCTACAACTAAGACCCGAGAAGGAATCCTGAGAACTTGTCTGCAAGGGAGGGGGGGTGTATAATCACTATGGCCTCATTCTTATTGAAATAATGTGGGTTCTTTATTCCTTGATTTCTTGCTGCCACAAGAACATGAATAATTGTCCACATATGGCATCCTGACATTTCGCTACGCCAGTACGAAAAGTAATTACGACGTAATTTCTCTCGCCTCTTCGCGAACCAGTCATCTTATATCGCGAAAATTGAGGTTCATGGAACCGGAAGCGGCATGAAGCCACGTGGAACCCGAAACACGAAGCCTATCCACCTAGATAACTCCGTTCATTCCATCACCATCTCCTTTTACTCTTTTCATTCATTCCCGCCATTTCTATTTGTGCGCCCTAGTCTACTCTGGCCTAGGTAACTGGTCGACCGTCATTATGTCTCTAATCATGTCGGCCAGTACCGGAACGGCGGCTGCCACCCTAGCGGGCGCTCCGCTTCAGCCGTGTGCAGCGGAGCGTGCGGACACATCCGCGGTTCGCTGCTTGGGAGGCTCCTGGAGCGTCGTAGCTCCCAGACAAACCGCACGAGTAGGCTCGAGTCGCAGAGCGTTCCGAGTGCGGGCTAGCCAAGAACCAGATAGATTGTCAGCATCCTGGGGTCCAGAATGTTCTACGAGTGGATCGCAGGATAATAACGGAGCCTCCTCTAAGGGAGCATTTTCTCGCAGAGCTTCAATTCTTCTCGCCGCATCTGCCGGCGCGCTGCTTGCGGATTGGTCCGTACTCCCCGCGGCGCAAGCGCTGCCGTTCTTGCTCCCGCCTGCCGGTTTCCGTCTGTACGTGGATCGGCTCGACGGCTACTCGTTCTTCTACCCCGACTCGTGGGTAGAGGTGAGCTGAGGATCGGGATGAATTCTGAGCCTCTTTCGAGGATTCTGAAGGAAAGAAGCGACTTTTGAGTCGACTGAAAGTCATGGTCGCATTAACGGCTACTCGTTATTCGAGACACTCATTAGATCGACGTTGATATTTCTCCAAGGACTCTCACTAGTTCTCTCATCCACCTGCTGAGGTGTAGACTGGCTAGTCTGCGCGATCAACGTGGTGAGCTGAATGACTCACTAGACTTCTGAGAGACCTACTAAAGCCGCGTGAGTTTTGGCACTTCCGCGCTCGATACGGATCGGCGTGATCAGCCTCATGTGCTTTCTGGTCGGCGTGCTTTTTTTATTGTTGGCTCGCTCGTCCTCTTTGAGCTTCCAAGCTTCTCGTGCTCGCCCCTGAGTCATCTGACATCCTTGTTCGTAAGTTCCTGAGCTTCCAAGTTGCGCATTGCCAGACCCCTCCCTCATTCAACCTCCGCTGTTTGTTCTCCGCCATTCTTGCCGTCATTCCCGCCGTCAGGTGCGGGGATCCGGGCAGGACTGTTTCTTCCGCAGCTCGTTCAACCTCGACGAGAACGTGAGCGTCGAGGTGTCGTCGCCCTCTTCGTCGCGATTCGCGGTACGTGCGCCGTGCGTCGTGTGGCGTGTGTTGTGTGCTGTGTGCTTTTGAATCGACTCGAAAGTCAACTCGACGAGAACGTGAGCGTCGAGGTGTCGTCGCCCTCGTCGTCGCGATTCGAGGTACGTGCGCCGTGCGTCGTGTGGCGTGTGTTGTGTGGTGTGTGCTTTTGAGTCGACTCGAAAGTCAACTCGACGAGAACGTCAGCGTCGAGGTGTCGTCGCCCTCGTCGTCGCGATTCGTGGTACGTGCGCCGTGCGCCGTGCGCGGTGCGCTGTGTGTGTGCTATGTACCATGCCTTTTGCTGTGCCGGGAGACGCTTTTTTCGAGTCTTTTGAGACAGTTGAAAACTGCGTTATTCCACCATACTCCACCATACTCCCCCATACTATCCTGGTAAATGTCTGTACAGTCCGTGCGCGACCTGGAAAACCCCCAGGCAGAAGAGGAGCGAGTAAAGGAGCAGCTTCTAACGGAGTTCGTGTCCACGAACCTTATTTTACCCCTCTGCACTCCCCCATTTTCCCTGTCGATCCCCTGTACAGTCCGTGCGGGATCTAGGATCCCCCCAGGCGGCAGGGCAGGGAGTAGAGAAGCAGCTTATCAACCCTTTCTATACCCCCCCATACTCCCCTGCACTCCACTCTACTCCCCTGTTATCCCCTGTCAATCCCCTGTACAGGCCGCGCGGGACCTGGGAGCCCCCGAGGCAGCAGGGCAGCGAGTAGAGAAGCAGCTTCTAACAGAGTTCATGTCCACGCGGCTGGGCGTGCGGCGCGAGGCCTCCCTCATCTCCTCCGCCAATCGCATCGTGCCAGCTGGCACCGGGAGGAGAGGCGCCGGGGAGCAGGAGGAAGACGCGGAGTACTATGACGTGGAGGTGAGGGAGGGTGAGGGTGAGGGGGGGGGAAGGGGTGAATGGGGGCGGAGGAGAGTGAGAGGTGGGGTGGGGATGGATGGAGGAGAGTGGAGGCATGGGTTGTTGAGGAGGATTTGGAGTACCATGACGTGGAAGTGAGGGGGATGGGGAGCGGGGGCGAAGGGGAGTGAGCGGGGGAGGAGAGGGGGGAGTGAGGGGGGAGATGGAGACCAGGGGTGTTGGGCGGATTCGGAGTACCATGACGTCTAGGTGAGGGGGGGATGGGGGGAGGCGAAGGGGGTTGAGGGGACTGAGGGGGCTGAGGGGGGCCGGACGAGAGTGGGGTGGCTGGGGAGGGGTGGAGGAGAGTGGAGGCGAGGGTTGTTGAGGAGGATGGGGAGTAGCATGACGTGAGATGGGAGGGGTTGGAGGGATGGGGTTGAGGTGGGTGGGGGGCCCTGGAGAGGGGTGGAGGAGAGTGGAGGCGAGGGTTGTTGAGGAGTATGCGGAATAGTAGGACGTGGAGGTGAGGGGGGTGCTGGTGCTGAGGGGCGTGAAAGAGAGGAGGGGGTTTGGGGAGGGGTGAGAGTGGGGGGGGCTGGAGAGGTGTGGAGGAGAGTGGGGGCGAAGGTTGTTGGGGAGGATGCGGAGAGCTAGGACGTGAGATGAGAGGGGTTGAGGGATGAAGAGGGGGAAGGGGGGTGGAGGTGGGTGGGGGGCTTGGGAAGTGGTGGTTGGTGGGGAGTGGAGGCGGGGGTTGTTGAGGAGGATGCGGAGTGCTAGGACGTGAGGTGAGGGGGTGTGGGGATGAGGGGGTTGGAGGTAAGGAGGCGTGGGGTGAGGGTTGTGAGGGTTGCAGTGGAATGGGAGGGGAGAAGTGACACCTTGACGTGCTAGAGAGGTTGTGCTGGACTGCTGGAGCATCACCAGCAGTCTTTCTGGCAGCAATTTCTGCCAGCGGACCTTGCTGCTGCTCCCCATGCGTGTTGCTGCATCTTTGTCACCCAAACCCAAATCCACGGTCTTGCCTTGCCTCACTCACTTTGGCCGTTTCTAACCTTCCTTTTCGAACCTTGTCACAGAACTTCAGGTCTTTCTTCCCTATCCCAAACACCAAATTCCACCATCTCCTCCCCACCAACCAACTCCTCCCTACCCTCTCCCCACCCTCTTCTTCCCTGCACACCCCGCGCCATGCCTCCCATCCCTCTCTCCCCCGCAGCTGAACGTGAAGTCTTTCGCCAACAACAACCAGCTGGCCATAATGCCGGACGAGCGAGTGCAGGTGCTCGAGTGGAACCGCCGCTACCTCACAGTGCTCGCAGTGGCCAACAGACGCCTCTACCAGCTGCGCCTGCAGGTGCCCGAGAGGCTGCTGGATTCCGAACGGCCCGTGCTGCGGCAAGTCATGGACTCTTTCCGCGTGTTCAGCGTTGCCGAATAGGTTGGTTTGGTTTTGTGTTTTTTTTTTTGGGAGTAGATAACTGTCACGAAGAGTACACCTTCAGATTTAGCATACAATAACAATCTTGAGAGAGCCCTGTGCTTCACGAAGTATAGTCATCCCTGGACAAGCCCTGCTCCTCATTCTTAACTGTGCGCAAGAGCATTTTCCAGGCCAGAGCCTTGCAACATAACTTACTGTTCCAAATAAAGGTCCAAACACACCACACCTAGGTATTTCCAAACCAAACACACCACACTCAAATGTAGGGGGCTGTATGCTGGAAAAAAGTTTGCCTTCGTAAGAAGGTGTGGCAACATTTCTGGGTGTTACGACGGTGACCTTGTATGGGATCACGTTTGCAACATTTTTTGCGGCACTTGGAGTGTCTGCGGCTTGGCCTGGCATCACGCCGTAACTATCGCTGGCAAATCAAGCTGGGAAATTTTGACGTCAATGTCACACTATTGCGGAGGGTGGTTCTTCAGTGGTTTATCCCCCATCCCGCCGGTCGGCAGGAAGAATGTTCTTTAGTCCTGTATCGGCATGCTCGTGTTCGCACTCGAGCTCAATTCAGTTCTTTTTATACGATTGGTTCCTTGTTCCAGTCTAGCCACCTAGTACGCGGTCCAGGATTTTGACACTGGTACCAAGTTTTTTGGCTCAATTGTTTAAATATCCAGCTAGCGAGTCTGCACACTGGTGGTTTCGGGTACAGTAAACTAAAACAGAACTATTGAATTTCCTCCGAGATGCGGACCATCACCAAGAGGATCAACATTGTGAAAAAATGTCCAAGGCGTGAACCTCTCCACAGAAACCTGCGCCTCGATATTTTTGCGAAGGTGCCTGACTCGGGCTGATTGGGTTTGCGTGGCCGCCGGGCTTGGCAGAGTAACCGCATGGCGAAAATTGTTTGCCTGCGAAACTTGCGCAATGCACAACTGCCGCATTTGATTCCAATGTCAAATGTGTCTTCCCGCCAAAAAAAATTCCTGTGAGAGACTCCATCCCCTCCTCCCCACCCTTCGACTGGCAAGACAAAATTGTTTCGTGGAAGCGCGCACTCCCAAGGCTATATAAACACGCTCGTCATCCCATTCTCATCAGCAGTCACCCAAATTCATCGCGAATTCCTTAGCCAGCCGCTCTCCCTTCTGCTTTTTCACCGGTTTTCATCCTCTCACCGGTTTTGCGAGTCGGGATTAACTCCTTTGCCAACTATGGCTCGGACAAAGCAAGGTGTTGCCACCACGGCGGTCCTGCCGGTGCTTCTGTTTGTGCTGCTCCTGACGTCAGCATCGTATGTCGCCGCAGGTAAGCTCCGCGTCTACTCGTATCACGGTGCAGTATTCCGTTCAGTTTCGGATGTAACATTCAGCTTCGGTATACTCCGCCTCTACAAATGACATCATTCTGCATCCGGTTAATTCGGGCAGTACTACATGATGTATAGTCTACTCGACCTAATCCCTTCCGTTGTTCTCTGCGCCGCAGCATCCAAAGGATTCGTCGCCACGCGGCGCATGCTGGGATCTGCACTTGGCGGGGGAGGCGGGACTGTGTATCACCTCGAGAACTCCGCCGCGACCACCCCGACCGCCGTGAAAATGTCGCAATCCACCACCTTAGCGATGGCCGACCCGGTCAAGTCAACCACCCCCACGAGGCCCGTGAAATTGTCGGCGCCAACCACAACCACCACGACGACGACATCACCGACCAAGACAACCACCACCACGGGCCCGACCGCCGTGAAATTGGCTAAGCCGGAGACGGCTGAGGAGCTTCAGAAAACGGTGACCACGTCGACCCCGACCCCCGTGAAAATAACAGCAGGTTTTGGGTGGGGCGGGAGTGTGTACCACCTCCGGGAATCCGAAGAGACCACCCCGACCGCCGTGAAGACGACCAAGTCAACCACCTTGTCCACGCCCGTAAAACTCACGGCCTCCCCGACCAAGACAACCACCACGAGCCCAACGACATTCCCGACCAAGACAACCACCACCGTGGTGAAATTCCGAGGGTGCACAAAATGTGTACGGTAGCTTTTCCTGCGGGAAACCACCAACCACCAAGTCAACCACCACGAGGCCCGTGAAGATGTCGCAGTCGAAGTCAGCCACCACCACGCCCGTGAAAATGGGCCAGGCATACAACATAGGCTATTTTAATGTGGCAAACCCGTGAGCTCGTGAGCCGTGACTGTAGTGGTGTGGCATAAGGCAAGCTGTGATTTAGAAGCATGTTGTGTGTTTGTAACATATGGGGTGAATTGTGCTGGTGTGTGCTAGGCTGACTTGTAATGCATGTTTTTTTCCCTTTTCCGTTCCATGTCTTGTAATGCATGTTCTTGTAATGCAGTGGTGATTACAATGGTGTCTCTCTTAACCATTGGTTGGTAGTGTCGTTCATGGTAACATCGTCTACTGGAGTTTTGAGCCAACCAGCACCCAGTTTAGCTGAGTTGGTGTGATGCTGATTCGCCTGAACGGAATCACTAGCACTGACTGACGGTTACTGGAGCTTGATACATGTACCAACTGGGGCTTCTGCCGTTGTCCAAACAACAATTCCATGCACTAACAACAAACAACTCTGCAAGCGTGGCGTGGTGTCAGTCAGGAATTCAGTCCGCTAGTGGCAAGTGCTTTTGGACCTGTGTGGAAAGGACACAAAAAATTAGGGGAGAAATTTTGAGGAAAAGCTTCAACAGTAAAAAAACTTCCTAGGTTGCTCTTAATGAGTAAAGACATGAGGTGCAATGAGAGGGAGAAAAGGAGGCAGGAAGGGCGAGAGGGGCGAGAGAAGAGGGAGAGAGAGCAACGGAGACCGGGCGAGAGGGGTTGAGAAGGGCTGAGAGGGGTTGAGAGGATTGCCTGTTGAAGGAACTTGGCAAAAGCTGGATGCGACCGCGCTGCTTCTAGTGCCTGGGGGGAGCACAGCGAGGGGATGAGAGGGGATGAGGGCGTTGGAAGGGTATGCGGGGATGAGGGGATGGGGGGATAACTGGATGCGACAGCATTGCTTCTAGTGCCTGGGGAGAGCACAGCAGGGGGATGAGAGGGGATGGGGGCGCTGGGAGAGCACGAGAGGGTGGGAGGATGAGGGGATGGGGTGTTGAGAATCTTGAGGGGAATGAGATGAGATAGTAAGGCAATGCAAACAGGTGCATCGGCGCACAGGTGCATTTTTGACAATCAAACATGACAGGGGCGACCGCTGTGACAAGGAAGAGACGGGAAAGTGGAAGGGGCGAGCACTGGCTGCTCTGCTCATCCAACGTCACAGTTGGGTGCGGAGAGCTGTCAACGAGGAGAAGCATGCGGTTTTGGGACTTCTCAACACATGTTTTGAAATGGATAAAAAAAACAGAAGTGGCGATGAGAAGGGGCGAGCACTGACTGCTTCTGGGTGCGATGAGCTGCCGATGAGGAGAAGCATGCGCTTATCTTTTTGAAACTTCTCAGAACATTTTTTGAGATGTAAATAGAGCACAAGTGGCGATGAGAAGGGGCGAGCACTGACTGCTTCTGGGTGTGGCGAGCTGTCGATGAGGAGAAGCATGCGCTGC